CGCTCTTTCTGTTCATACTGGCCATTTCGACATCGGATTGGCGCTTTTTGGACGGAAGAAGAAGCTCGCGAATGCGCGACTTTTGCTTGGTGTCGGGGACTTGACGAATAGAAGATCTGTCGCCGCCCCTACCCACAGACACTCTGTCAAAACCAAAGACCTTTTCAAGTCGGAGTGCTGCCAACCGTCTGTTGACTTGGCTTTCGTCGAGCTTGTCGCCGAACTCTTTGGTGGCTTCTCGCGTTTTCCGGCGTTCTCGTCGGACGTACCACCAGCCAGCGAGCGCGATTGCGACGACCGGTATGACGAGAAAGATGAGAAAGAGATACTTTTCGGTGTTGGTAGAGAGGAAATCTGACAGACAGATACCAAAACCCGAAGCGAACCCTCCAGAGTTGCAAGTCACCGACACACACTCGCCCGACTTGAGCATCGACCCGTCAGGACAGGTACTGCACATTCCAATCCCACTGCCTACGCAGCTGGCGCAAGTCCAGTCACACGCCTGACAGCTCCCCAAAGCCGAGTCCCAGTAGGTGTCCTTGGCACAACATGGCAGACACCTGCCGTCTTTCAAGACTGGGCGGTCGGAAGGGCAAGACGCGCAAGTGGACGTGGAAGAGCACGTCGCGCAGTCGAGAGGACAAGGGGTACAAGTCCCGTTTTGGTAGATGGTGTCGGACGGGCAAGAAGAGGACGAGATACACGATCCGGCTTGAGCAGCAAGAGAGGTCGGGCAGGAAGTACAGGTCGTTGAGGTGCCGACACAGCTTGTGCAGGATGAGTCGCATTCTACGAGGCGTCAGTGAATCTTCCCGGTGTGAATTGAGACTCACGTTGACAAGTTCCGTTGGTAGTAGCGCTACCTTCGGGAAGGTAATAGCCTTCCGTACAAGTCTTGACACATTTGCCGTCCTCGAGCAGGTAGCCTTCGTTGCAAGATTGACAAGTAAGGGTGTCATAACTGGCAGCAGAGGAAAAGCTAGGTATCTTGCACGAAGCACACCCGACAGGGCAAGCTGTTTTGGATCAGCTAGTGCCAACCAATATACAAGGCTACCCACAGTCACATTCCGATTTTGCGTTGTTGACCACAAACATACCATCCAGCTGAGTTAAGGCCGAATCGCAGACACCAGTGGATGCGTCGTATCCCACACATGATCCTTGAAGGTGGACTCTGGGAGATGCGCAGGCAAGGCAATCGGATGTTGAAGGACCTGTACAGGTCGAGCATGCTGGCGAGCAGCTGTGACGGGTAAGTATCGGTCCCACACATATCTGCGAGACCTACCTTTCACAAGAACTGGTTGAAGAATCGTAATAGGTCCCGTCCGAGCAAGAGCCGGTCGAAGCTGTACAGGTAGCGGGGACTGCAGTGGATAGGGATAGGGTGGAGCTGCAAGAGGTGCAGGAGGCGGTAGAATTGGTATTACTCTGCAAAGTACAACTTGTACAGCCAAGGGGGCAGGCTAGTGGGAAAGTCAGCTTATGTTTGCCAGACTAGAGGATTCATTCACCTAGGCAGTCACCAAAAGCGTCCTGGAAGAAGCCCTCTGCACACGTGTTGCAATTGGATGCCGATACTGTCGAATTGGTTACCCAGCCAGCCGAGCAGATGCATTCTTGGTCTGATGTGCAGGTTCCATGAACGCAATCGCATGCTAATGTACTTCAGTGGGTGTCAAACGATGCTGGACAAGACACTCACTCTCCATAGATGACGAGGCAGTCCCGATGCACTGTCCAGTACCGGTATACCCGTCGTCGCAGACGGTGCAATTGGATGGACAAGCTGGTGGCTTGTTAGCGGTAGGTCTCTCGACCTGTTCACACTCACCTTGACACAAAGTGCCATAGTATCCGGAGGAGCATTCGTTACACGTTGACCCAGTCCATCCCTCGTCACAGGAGCAACTCGCTGTGGTGTTTGTGAGAGTACAGGTACCATGAGAGGAGCATCCAGGGTCGCATTGAGCTGGATTGTGGATTAGCTTGCCCAGTCTTGTTCAGTACACACTTACAGTTACCAGCACCAGAGATCCCGAGACCTCTGGCGCTGCTAGGGAGGAGACTCCGGTCCGGGATCGCTCCCCAAAGAACCTGGCCATTGCCCAGTCCGGCGTACCAGCCATCAGGTAGATATACACTCTTCCAGTCTTTCAAAGCCCAGTCGTTGTCCGACCATACGTCTCCAGAAGACGAATAGGAAGATGAGGTGAATCCTACGGGAGCCGATGGGGTTGATATGCTGATGGATGAGGATTCAGTGCTGATGGTGCTGTTGAGAGGGGTCGAAGGAGAGTAGGATGAGGCAGGGTAGTCTTCACCAGGAAGAAGGTAGGTTGATGATGATTCGTCGTAGGCAAGAACTTGTGGGTGTCAGCCTGGGGTCAAGGGGCGCTTCTGGTAAACATACGAGGAGAGGTGGCCACTCCTGTGAGGCATGCGTCTGATGAACATAGTTGGGTCTTTGCCCATACACCTAGGCTGGTCAGCATGTTGGTGTGAGCAGACAGACGTTGGAACTCACTTGTGGCGGACAAGGCAAAAGCTGCGGTGGTGGCATAAGTGAGGGGTTGCATGGTGGACAGGTGGGAGGAAGGAGAGATGCATGCTCGATCGTTTATACGGACTGGGACAATAGAACAATCACAATAGCAAGACAATAGCAATTTTGATCCAAATCTGATCGATGAAACAAGGCACAGGCACCGCGTTTCAACTGCCCACACATCAACACCTTCCGGATGCGGCGGGGGTCTCCGCCGGGGGGCTATCGCGCTGCCGGCCCGGGATCTCTCTCTTCTGCATCTCGCCATGTCCCTCTACCAGGCGGACCTCCCCGCCCCCGCTGCCCCCGTCTCCGGCGCAGCATACATTGCCAAGCTCCACAAGTTCCTCACCGCAAACGCCACCCGCCTCGCACCCAGGGGCCCACCCACGGCCTCCGCCCCATCTGTCTGGCAGCAGGGATACACCCTCCTCACTCTCGGCCTCGACCCGTCCTCGGCTCCCCTGACTGCCAAACCCACGCTGGGACTCGGGAAGGGCAGACCAGGACAGGCAGGAAGAACGCCCAAACCACTGCTACTACGGCTGCCCCCGGACCGCCTTCTATATCTCCTGCTGAGGTGGCAATCCCTCCCTCAGTCGCTGCCCCATGTCGACAGGACAGACACCCCTATAGAAGAAGGGGTGATCATCGCCGCACGGGGAGAGACGGGGTCTTCCGGTAGGAGGGCCGAGGGAGACGTGCGCAGTGTCAGGAGCTGGGTCGGAAGCATGAGGAGTGTCAGCGGAAGCCTGGCGAACGTAGGGGGGCGAGACGGTGGATGGTTTGGAAGAAAGAAAGAGATCAGCGAGGGTATGTGCACCTGCAAAGGCCCTAGCAATGCTGACTTCTGCCAGACGAATTACTGCTCGCACTCTATTCAATGTTCACTCTGATACCGGCCCTGCTAATCCACCCCCCAAACTCGCACGAGGCCCCGATAGCAGAGCTCGTTGAAGTCGGTGGGTATACTCCCCTGGGAGGAATAGACGTCAGGGTCCCGCTGCATGTTTTGCGGAATCTCCAAATGTTTGTACCATCATTGTCATACTCGGCATCAGCTGACTCTATCGCTAGTCTGGAACTGGAATCTTACGACCCCAGAGCACTACAGATACCGTCAAATTTGGGGCTACGCAGCCTCACTGTCAGGGATGTTCAAGACGGAGACGACTGGATAGCAGATCTCCTTGTATCTGGGGACGGAGAATCACAGGCCAAATTCCCCAGCCTGCGCCATCTGTCCCTCGTACAAACGTCACTCCTAGCATTTCCTCCCCTCCCACTCGACTCTTTGACCCACCTCGATCTTTCCCACAACCTCTTGGACTCGGTTCCAGCATCCCTGGCAGCCCTCAGCAATCTGAGATCGCTCAATCTCTCCCACAACTACATTACTTCTCTTCGCGGCGCCTCCAGCTGCTTGGGCAACGTCACTTCCCTGAACCTGTCCAGCAATCGCATAGACTGCCTTGTTGGATTGGATCGCATATTGGGCCTCGAGCGCGTGGATATCCGGGACAATGAGATTCACGATGCTCTCGAGCTTTCCCGACTTGCGGCTCTGCTCTACCTGCGCGAGGTGCACTGTTCTCCCAACCCGTTCACCGAGTGTCCAAATCCCGCCATGTTATCCGAGGGGCTCGAGACGTGGCGAGTCGATCTGGGCAGACGTTTCCGAGAAGAGGGACGAGATGCTATAGTGTTTGATGGGACACCCTGGAGCTGGAGTGAAGAGAGAAGGATCGAAGCAAGCGTCTTGAAGCGGTCGGGGTCTGCCGACGCTCGAGGTGCTGCTGTTCATGGAAGTGGTCTCTCCGACAGCCATGTCCCTCACAATGCAGAGCCGACGTCTGAGCCTCGCAAAGGTCACGGCCGTGCAGCCACGCACGACCATGCTATCTCTCGCCAGAAGTCAAAGGTCATCAGGAACAGGGCTTCTGTCTCTTTCTCTCCTACTGGCGAAGGCTCTCGTTCACCCGAACCTGGCCCATCGCGTCAAAGGTCTCCTCAACCACCACCTTCTGCTTTCCATAGTCACGCCTCCCATCTCCACGAGTCCAGTACGGCCTCCGAGTCGCCGAGCGCGAAGAGTGGCAAGGGCAAGAAGAAGGGGAAGAGAAGGGTCATCGATCTCGATGGGAAGCATGAGGCGGACGAGGATAACGGGATGGGGATCGGGAGAGAGCTCAAGGATGAACTAGTCGCGATCAATGAAGCCGGGCAACAGAATGGAAAAGTTGAGGAAGTGAACCAGGCTGGGGAGAAGGCGCCCAAGCCGGTCGAAGATGTGGCGGTCAAGGTGGTCAGTAAGAAGAAGAGTAGAAAGCCCAAAGAGACTTAATTTTCTGCTTGTCGCGATCGGTCCTCGAGTCGATATAATCTGTGCATACATAGAGCACCATGTTACTGTATACCAGGAGACTATGCACACCATTGCACGACACTAGATATATACGCGAGGTCCAGCCTCTCTACTCTGCGACTTCAAAGGCTTCATGGCCCTCTTCAACCACCCTTTTCCTTTTGTCCCCGCCGCAGCGCCCGGCCCAGCTCCCCCACCCTCATACATGGGCCCCATTCTTTCCACCGGAGTGACCGGTTCGAAAAAGCTGATCAAGTCTCTAGTGCTTGTCTCTTCCCTCTGCTCATTCCTCGGCGCCAATCCTTTCCCACCCCTTGACCTCCAGCCGTGTACAGAGTCAGAGTCAACGGTAGTCGGCATGGGTGGTCTGTAAGGGATGTGCTCAAGAGGAATAGGAGGCACAGCTGGGACGGATCCCTTGTGCGGTGCTGGAGCGGCCCTAGGCTTCACAAAGGGCGTGACAATGACAGAGTCCCTGTCTCGGTCGGATTGAGTCATTGACGGTGAGCTGGCTGTGAGGATAGGAAGGCGATGATTGACAACGGGATCGGGGAGATTGATGGGAGGTGGACGGTTGCGGATGCGAGGAGGAGAACTCGACATCTTTCTATCCAGACCAGCCCCAATAGCAGAGGAGTCTAACGAAAGCGCGGGGTAAGAAGACGAAGCGCTGAACTCGTAGCCAGGCAAAGGCATAGGCTCGGAAATCTCATAGTGGGGAGAGACGGGAGCTGGGCTAGATACCGACCTCGCATGTCGGGAGCCGCCAGACCTGGACCAGGTATTGAGATCTCTGGCAGGAGAAATGTCGAAAGAAAAGTCGAGACGCTTGGGAGTCGCAATCTCCATGAAAGAGGAGTCGGGGTTACTGTTGTTGGCCCGACGGACAAGGGGGGGAGGCTGTGGTCGGGATTTGCTGGGAGAGGAAGAGGATGAGGGTGAAGCTCTGCTAGCTTTGGGCTTGGGCACGGAAAGGATAGAAGTAAAAGCTTCCATGTCCCATTTGCCGCTGTCCTCCTCGTCGCTTCCATACAGAGTATTCATGTCGTCGATGCACCTGTCCCTTCTCTCCACGGGAAAAGTTCCGCCGATAGACTCGGACAAATCATCCACACTAGGCAAGGATGCAGGGACAGCAGCGATAGCTTCGCTCATAAGCCATGCAAACTCTTGCTCCTCCTCTACATCAAGCCACATTGAGCCGTCGGTGCCCCTGTGCTTGACTGTCTGTCCCTCTCCGATGTTCCGGTCACAAGCCTCCGGGGCACCGTGCGCAGAGTTGCTCTTATAACAGGAGCTGCTCGCCTTCTTGCCCGTTTTGAGACCCGGTTGAGACTTTGAAGGCTTCTTTGGCACCTCCCCAAAGAACTTTTCAATCTCTGCCAAATCCACATTCGGCAGAGGACGAAAGTGTCTGCCAGCCTTGAGCGCGGACGCCGCATAATGCTTCTTCTTCTCCTGCTCCATCACGGGAGGAAGGTCTACCCCGAGGAGCTTGGCAGCCTTGCGGGGAGCTCGCGAAGGGGTGATGGGGGAAGACGGGACGGCAGGAAGAGGCTTGCGTGGACGCTCAAAAGACTCGTACATGGTTGGAGACGTGAAGTGGCGCTTGTTGGGGGATGGAACCGGCGACGAGGGAGGGGATGGGCCGGGACAGATAGGGTCGTAGCTGGATGAACCGCCCAAGCCGAGATGAAGAGAGGACCTCGAAGACCGAGTGCTTTGTCTGTCCGTAGAAGTGACAGGTGCGAGCCGGTTGGGCTGGGTTACCAAAGGAACAGCCATGGTAGGCGATGGCTCGGGAAGAGACAGGAAAATTCTCGAGATGTGTGCGTGGGCAGAGTCGCTGTCGAAGGAGGTAGGGGAGCGGGGTGACACTGGCGACTTTGGTGACACAGGCGAGCGAGGAACCGAAACCATGGTCGAACGACGGCGGTCTGGGCATGCTGTCAGCGCAATCCCAACAGTGACAGATGTAAAAGACTCACTGGCAACGTGTGTGACTTTGGTGGAACGGCCCTTCTTCTTCCTGACACGCAGCGGCTTTGTACTGTACACTTGAATCTGGTCACTGTCTTCGCTCCAATCCTCTTCAGCCTCCTCTTCGTTGACTTGATAGAGATCGTGCAAGCTTTCAAAGCTGTCAGAGGGGTTGCGGTCGAGAGCGCTGTGAAGCTCTTGTGAGGTGATGAGACCGGTAGGAGAGGATAAGAGTGGGGTGAATGAGGTATGGATGGGAGGGAGGAATGGGCCGTTATATGTCGTGCTGGCCATGATGAAGAGACACTAGAGTGGAGGTGAAGGTGAGTCGAGATGGATAGAAATGTAGGTAGCAAGGCGATAGGGGCGGAAGATATGCGGGGAGAGGACGGTAGCTGTCACGCCAAGGTAAGTAATCTTGCGTAAATGAAGTGGCTGAGCCAGGGCTCACTTGTGATTTCTTTGATTACCCTGGTGACCCTGTTCAAAGGCTGGCAGATACTATCAAGATTGAGGCTGCGTCGGGTAAAGTAAGACAGCGCAAGTTGGTTTGGACAAGGTTAGATGAGAGGAAAGAGAGACGACTTCAATCGATCTTGTCTTATATTCCTGAGCCACCCGTCGGTCAAAAAGCCATTCCTGTGTTGTGAAATACCAAAGTCTTTTGTTGTCAGTCGTAGTCTGGTAACTGGCGAATCAATGCACACGGTTCGGACTCTCAGGGCATGAAATGCTGAAAGGGGAGTCTTTGGAAAGACAATAGCCAAGCTGGGTGGATGTCATCATCACCGAGTTCCGAGGATAACAAGTTGTACAGCAGGAACGATCTGTGACAGGGAACTGCGGATCGCACAGGGAGCCGCTCTCAGAGAACAATTGGAAAGCGGATGTGCCTTGTTTGAGAGTCTGTCATGTCATATGTGTGGTAAGCGCCTTTATCCTCGAGATCGAACGTCGCACAGTAGAGAGCGCGAGGGTGATACAAAGGGGTAAGGGACCCTGTGAGTGGGTGCCCTGACGATAAGACAATGCTGCCGGCCATATCGGCGAGCAGAGGCAGGGACGGGCAAGAGAACAATAAGAAACGAACTGAACGCGAGAACAATAGGCTTTCGCACTTGAAACGTGGCAGCAGGCACGATCTCGCGACGACGAGCGACGATAGTGGTGGAGGCTTGGTGCTTACGTACGCAGTGGCAGCGGACATGGCCGCATTGATGTTTCGTTCTTTCGACGATTTCGAGGAAAAGCTAGAGGCAAGCAGCAGGACCATCCCCCACCGCCACCGCCATGTCTGCCCCTCTCCGACCCCTAGCCACACTATCCCGCCCTCTCCTTAGACGGGCCTACGCCGCCCCTGCTGGCGGCAACCCCAACCTCGTCCACCCCTCCGACTCTCGCTCAGACATGCTCAAGCAGATGCTTTACCCTCCCGATTCCTACGCCCCCACCTCCTCTTCTCCCACAGGTGCATACCATCCCGACCACCTTGAGCGTTTACGCACCGTCATTCCCTCTGCCGAGGCATACGAGACGATCGAGCGCGCTTGGCAGCTGTATCAACGCGAGCAGCGTGAAGAGCGCAAAGTGCAGTTGAAAGCCAAGTACGAGAGCATGGTGGAGGCCTGTGACGAGCTGGAGAGGATAACGAGGCCTGAAGGAGAAGACGCCAAGGGAGGGCTTTATCACCGACAGGTGTATGACCTGGCTGTCGCCCAATTGACGCAGGCCAAGAGGAGGGGCGAGCAGCCAAAGGGCAAGAAGACGGCGGAGCAAAAGTGGTTAGAGACCAGGGTGGAAGGGCTGGTCCCGAGAGAAAGCTGGGTGCCCGTGGAGAGCAGAGGGAAGGGATGGAACTATGACTGGCAGAGACCGGGAAAGTAGAGAATTGTGAGTCTATACGTCCTGTGGCGGTAGCTGGGAGCTCATATTTCACAAGTGTTTGAATGTATTCTGCATATCCTCAAAAGTCTTGTTATGAATGTGCATGGGAGATGCTAGGTATGATCCGACATGGGACCACTCTTCGCCAATGGTATACTTCTTGCAGCGTACATATATGCTCACTTCTTGAGCCGTCCTTCTAATGGCCCATCGTGCCGTATGCCGTGGTCGCGAGTATCTGCGCTATATTGGGTTCTGCACCGTCCAGGATCGCTTGCAGATACACAATGTCGGCTGACGACTGCCGTTGATCATACTCGCCAAGCAACGGGAGGGAGTCTTTCTACGGGCGGCAAGAGGGATGAGCATGGGGGCACGAAAAACGGGCAAAGGAGACGTACCACCTCTTGGATCTTTGCGAGGAGAACGGTCCTGTTCTCTTCCGGTTTCTCGACTAGGTGAAGGTAGCACCGACTGAGGACGAACGGCGATTTGGTGAGACTACGGGCCAGAGTCAGAGCTGGTGGTTTTGTATGGGCGCTTGCTCACGCCGCATTAGTGCCCTGTTCGGCATCGGGCAGGGTGTAGTGTTTGTTTCCCCTAGAACAACGTCAGAGGAGTGGTCTGGGGATGGAGGGGGGCGACTTGCTCGAAGAAAGACATAGGGTCTTGCTGGGTGAGTGTCATGGTGAGGAATGGACAAGGGGGTGGATGGTGGTGTGCTGGGTTTAAGAGGGCGACGGTGCGTGGCTGGGGGATTGGCGTTGGATGTGCGAACGGTGTCTCTTGTATGGGATGCAGGGGTGGCTGGTGAATGGTTCCGTGCTTTTCTAGTGGCTCAAGGGAGCCTGAAACACCCTCCGAGGCAGTGGCGGTCGGTGTGCGCTGCTGCCGTGTCCCCCTCTCTCCCCCTCCTCCCCCCCCTGTGTATGCATATGGGGCCCAGAGATGCATAGCTGCCCCCTCACCCTCCCCGCCAGTGGCCAGTGGCAATGCACAGCACCCAAAGGACCGCCAGCCAGCGATCCCCATCCCCAGTCGACTCACGCCCGCACGGCCCTCGCCCACTTGATCCTCCAACGTCAATTCGCATCTCCATTCCTCATCTGCCTTTCTGCCTCCTCCTCATCAGAACCGCGCTCATCCGACTCTCCCACGCTCCTTACCCCACCCCGCCCTGCCCCCTATGCCTCAGTGTACGCGCTCATCGTCCCGTGTCAGATCAAAGCCATCACCATCCGCCTCCCTGCCTTCTCCAGCAGCCACCCGCACATCTCCTCACGCCTCGAAGTATATCAACCTGCCTCGTGCCTCCTCGGAATCGGCCATCGCCTCTGTTTCTTCTCCGTCTCTCCTCAAACTTCCTCCGTCGCACACTTCCTTCCTGGCTGGCCTCCAGCCACCTGCCACCGCACCCTGGTCTTCTTCCGAGCCCGAAGCATACCTCAAGTGGGTTCCTGCTTGGTGGCACGACGAGTCTCATGCAGAGTACAAGCTCGCCGCGATCGACAAGAAGAGCGAGAACGAGTGGGACTATTTGGAATCCGCCTGGCTGGACAATTCGCGCAGCAAGTCACTTGGGAGGAGGCGCTTTACGACGCCGCAGCTGCAATTGTTGGAAGTACAGTGGAGTTTGGATACATGTCCCGAAAAGGTCGAACGGCAGAGGTTGGCAAGATATATGGGTACCAAGACCAAGCACGTCAACATCTGGGTGAGTAGAGCTGCGCTTTCATTCTATTCACTGACTCTTATCTTTCCAGTTTCAAAACCGCCGGCAGTATACCAAGAAAGCTCAGACTGATGGCGAAGATCCTCAGCCCGCCTATCTTGCGGTAGAGGGTCTGGTTCAGCCTACATCCGCAATGAAGAGCATCGTCCAGATGATTGTTGCTGGTCAGCTCCATCACGACAATTGCCTCTTGCTATGGCAGCTGGCGACCTCACGACAGCTACGTCCAGGCCCGACCGCCCTGCCCGCCGAAAACTCCTTCGCCTGGCTTCAGCCGCTCCTACGCCCGATCTCACAATCGATCTTGGTCTCTCCACGCCCGCCGTCAGCAATAGTAGCCCCCTCTCTGCCAAACGCCGAAGCGCTCCCGGAACCTCGAAGAGACCAGTACGAATGAGGGCCCTCGTATTCCGGTTGGCAAGAGACCTCGAGAGGATGTGACGAGCTCTGACAAGCAGAACATCGACAGCAAATCTCTTGGGGAGATACGACCAGCTGCCGGGTACTCGCCTGCCAGCTCCGCTAACCGCTTTGCGAGTATGACCCACGACGCGCATAGCCCCATATCGCAACGTTCCTTCTCACACCCTGTGGCTTTTGATGACGACCGCCGCCCCCTCTCTGCTGCGCTTCCTATCACCTCTACTGGTTGCGGGCCGTCCATTTGGAGCCCTCCGACCCTGTCTCAAGGAAGCTCCAGTGCATCTTCTACCGGAAGCTTCGCTTTTGAGCAGATGGTTTCAGCGCCCCGAGCTTGGTCATTGAGCGAGGCGGTGCCTACGACGTCTATGCGGAGGGTGCTGGGGCATGAAGGAATGCTCAAAGGCGAGGGTGACGGATACGACACAGTGCGAGAGGTCTGGGACATACTGGATGCTGCAGACATTCTGGTGAACATGGGAAGGGGGGCGAGCGTGTGCTGATACCGGCGCTGAGGCTCAATAGTCATTTTACTATACACATCCCAAAAGGCTACCCTGTTGTTTGTTTGTGTCATCATAATTTGGGTATCTTGTATCGTTCCTTACTTTTGACATTATATCCACGGACTTGTATTTTGTGTTTACCACTCCCAGGATGCTTGCTGCACTCGTGTCCCAGCGACTTTCAGCGAACACCTCACGAAGGACACGCCCAAATGATGACGTCATTTGCGGCGTCCACTGTTCTGTTATCGATATACTACACTTGGATTACACTGCCACCCTGTCAGAATCGCCTGCATCTATCAGCCATGTCCTACTGGAGCACTCTCTGGACTTGGCTCTCCTGGCGCATCAGCACCATCCTCCACTCGGGCTGGACAGGTATCTTCTGGGTCCAGCCCCACTGGGGCGTCGACGATATCCCAGACCAGACTGGCAAGGTAGGCACTCCAGGGACCCCATGGCCCCATTGCTGACTGACCATGAACTATAGGTGGCTCTAATCACTGGCGGGAACTCTGGCACTGGATACGCCACCGCTCTCGCTCTTTACAACGCTGGCGCCACCGTCTACATTGCCTGCCGCGACCTGACTCGGGCTCAGGAAGCCGCAGACGACATCGTCAAAGGTGGTGACCGGGGGATCTGGGGCGTTCGCTATCCCAAACAAGGGACACAGCGGTCTGTGAAGGAGAAAGACGTGGTGACGCAGCTCCCTATCGAGGATCTTGCCGGCGCGGGGCTGAATGGACTCTGGAGAGCCAAGCACATCAGAGGGGCGCAATTCGAGAAAGACAATGGACAGAGGACGAAGGGGAGGATCGAGATCATCCAGCTAGACTTGGCAGATTTGGCAAGCGTCGACAAGTGTGCTGACGAGTTTCTGTCGTGCGTACACCTCTTCCGACCATGCGCGTATGCTGATGGTGTGTATAGCAAGGAGAAGCATATCGACTTGCTCTATTGCAATGCTGGAGTGATGGCCACGTAAGCTAAACTCTTTCAGAAGACTCTGAAATCACGTGGCTGACGTCGTCTGCCAGCAACGAGGGTCTGTACACCAAGCAAGGCTATACGCTTCAATTCGGGACCAATGTAGGTGACTTCCAAAGATGCAACTACCATCTCTGACCATGTCATTGCTGCAGGTTCTCGGACACCATCGCCTCATCACTCGCCTCCTTCCTACACTCCTTCAAAACGGCCCCCAGGAACCTGCCCGAGTCATCATCACATCCTCTGCCGGACATGGCTTTGCCCCTCCAAACGGCCTCGATATCCCTTCTCTCACCCGGTCACCCGAAGACCCTCCTCTGCCCGCTTCCTCTTCTTCTATCATCAAAGCTTCCAGAGGCAAATATGAGCTTGAGAAATGGGCGGCGTATGGACAGAGCAAGTGGGGAGATATCGCCCTTGCCAGGTGGCTGGAGGACACGTATGGGAAGCAGGGACGGCTGATTAGTGTGGCTGTTCACCCCGGATTGATCGCTTCAAACCTGGCAAATCACCTTCCTGGTGTTGGCTTCATTCTCAAACTTACCGCTTACGCTCCCTGGATCGTGGTAAGTTGCATGCTTATCGAAATGGTGCGGGACTGACCATGCACTTCACCTAGAATGTGGTTACTAGATCTCCTGCTACTGGTGCTTTAAACCAACTCTATGCGGGTACCATTCCACTTCCTTTCGCCTGGTATCTCAATGGGCAGTATGTCGTTCCCTTTGGGGTTGTTGGTGAAATGCGCCCCGACCTCTGGGATATCAAGAACGTACACCAAGTCTGGGACTGGTGTGTCGAACAGGGGAAAAAGTTCAACTAGACCTAGTACACGATACAATCTATGTGTGAATAGATAGAGAGAAGCCATCAAGTCCATGCCACAAGCACACGTATACAGTGAAACAATCATGCATGTGTAACAATGAGAGCGATTCTATCGGCCAATACCTTGAACACTGCGCCAGCTTTGTTGAGCTCTTCCTCAGTGTTTTCGTCTCGGACGTGACCTGGCAGACATCAATTCAAGATGTCTTTATGATCCGGCCTGAACTCACTTTCGGGAACTTGCATTGTAAACGACGGAGCGTACTGCTCAAAATGATCGTGGTGGGGGATGGCCATGTCGTGCTCAAAGTCTCTGTCCAGCTACCTCTTCACGTCAATTGCGCAAAAGAGTTCTCTCCGCGACACTCACCAAAACGCCCATGACCTCTGCCCACGCTCGAGCAGCGTTATCATGCCTATAGCCTCCGCCACCCGTCACACAGACCTTGGCATCCCATTTTTTGACCTGTGCCACAGCCCATTTGATCCCGCCTTCACCTTCCACGGCCCAGTTTCCGTACTGCCCTACTCTATCGCCTGGTAGACCATCTGTGCCCATTTGCAGTATGACATAGTCTGGATTCCAGGCTTCCTGTATCGGTTCGATGCACGTTGTCCACACTTTGGCATAGGTCTCGCGCGATGGATACGCAGCAAGAGGAACAGCAAGCGAGAACGGAGATGTTGTATCGGGACTTGGTAGTAGGGACAGTGGGGTAGGAGGAGGATAGAATACGGGGGAAGAATGATGAATCGACAGAGTCAAGACATTGGGAGGTTTGGGGATAGGTTGATCCGGTTTCAATGGGTGTGGATAGGTTTTGGGCGAGTGGAAGGCTGCCGAAACCCCGTCACCATAGTGGAAATCCATGTCCAAGTAGAGTATCCTTGGCGGCCTCGTTTTGACTTTGGTAGTTGGGTCGTGTCCCACTTGTTGAGGAGAAACGGTCACCCGTCCCTCTCTGGAGAGGAGCAGACCGCCAAGCACCAAATCATTCACATAACAGAATCCGCCTGCCTCTTTCCTTTTTGCGTGATGCCGACCTCCATCCCAGCATACTGCCCAGTCCGCTTTGTCTTGAGCAAGTAGCCGGCACGCGGTAGATGTGGCGGCCGAAACCAATGAGACGTACAGAGGAAGCGTATCAAATATAGGGTTGTCATGGGACAAGTTGTAGGGGTCTGCTCTGAGAATCTTCCGAGGTCGAGGAGACGATGATGACGATGATGACCTGGGAGAAGATGAAGGGTGCGTCGGATCTTCTGATGGCTCGTTCACGTCGTTTTCTGGCCGATACAGACGGTCTGACGCTAGTCAGTTCATCGGAGATGCCAGGAATCAGGTACGCACCCAGATACCCTTTATCGTGATATCGCAAGAGACATGCCTTGGTGCCCAGTGACGGGTCTGGCGGAATAATCCTGGCCATGGGTCTGATCCAGCCGCTGTTGTCAGTGTCTGGTATTTCCCTTGACTCTTCCTCATCGTCATCATGGTTCTCTTCCGTCTCATAGCCTAGCTCTGAGTCGAGGAGGCCAAGAGATCGTATGAGGTCATGGACCATGCTAGAGCGGCCGACATTGGAGGGAAGATCGTTCGAGACGCGTTCAAGTTCTGCGGACCAGATGTACGCGACACGGCGGTGCGCTGTGGCGGGGCTCTCGTTGCTGCTAGAAAAGACAGACATCTGCGAGTGATGCGATCGATAATAATGTTTCGTCGCCGAAGGGCAAGACGCCAAAGTGGAGGCAGGTCGGCGATGTCCGCCCGTGCGACGTCATGACATGATGACATACTTTATATAGAGATGCTCTGGAGATGCGAATGCTCCACCGCAAACCACGCACAGCACGATGGCCCCCAAGCAGCACGCCCACCTCCTCGCCCTCGCCAGGGCCATGGTCCCCCCTCTCCACCCCAAGCTCCACAAGGGCCAGGCAGGCAGAATAGGCGTCCTCGGCGGCTCCGGAGAGTAAGCAATGTCCCAGCCGGCCGCTGCCATGCTGATGTCCCAACCCGCCCAGCTACTCTGGAGCTCCTTACTTCTCCGCCATCGGTGCCATGAGGTTTGGTGCCGACCTCGCACATGTCATCTGTGAACCATCGGCCGGAGCAGTCATAAAGACCTAGTAAGGCTGTCGGTGAAGCACAGCCGTACACTGTTGACCTTTGCAGCTCTCCCGACCTCATCGTCCACACCATCCTCGACCCCAAAAAGTCGGATGCCGAAATCAAAGAAGCTATGAAGGGCATCTTGTCTCGTCTCCACGTTCTGATCATCGGCCCCGGTCTTGGAAGAGATGAACACATGCAGAACTGCGGCAGAATCGCGTTCGAGCTCGCCAGAGATATGGACCAGATGGGCGTTGTGGTTGACGCAGATGGTCTCTGGCTGGTACAGGCAAGTCGCAGTTTTCTGGCTATCGCTTCCCGTAATGACCACCGTTACAGAACGAACCGAAAGTGGTCATGGGCTGGCCTGGTGTGCCCAGGATCATCCTCACACCCAACGTCATGGAGTTTAAGCGCCTCTGTGAGAAGATGGTTAGTGATCTTATCTCTGTGGTTGTATATGCTGATAGCAACGAAAGGAAATCGATCCCAAAGCTTCTCCTGAAACCCTATGTCCAAAATTGGCTTCCGCTCTGGGCAACTTGACCATCGTTCAAAAGGGACCTACCGACATCATCTCCAACGGCCTTGTCATCCCTTCTTCTCTACTTCCGGACGAGAAGAACCAGCAAGAAATCTTGCAAAACACTGTAGAGGGTGGTTTGAAGAGAGTTGGTGGCCAAGGTGACATCCTGAGTGGTAGCACCGGTGTTTTGTTGGCATGGGGAAGTGAATGGGTCAGAGGGACATATGAGTAGGTCCTGCGGTTAGCCCTTGGTTGATTGCAGCTTAAAGTATGACTAGATCTGTCGGCCACCCTCCCCCTGAGGATAAATCTATCGCCGAAAACGTTCCCCTGCTTGCTGCCTACGGTGCCTCGACTTTCAATCGCACTGTCTCCAAGCACGGCTTTGCCAAAAAGGGGAGAAGCATGGTCACTGGCGATTTGGTTGAACTTGTTGGACCAGTGTATGAAGAGTTGTTTGGAAAGCCGGGAGAGAACGAAGGGATCAGCAAGCTTTGAAGAAGACAGCATATGTCGGGCGGATGCATGTTGCTACAATGTTCTGCTGTATCCTAGTACATTTCCAAACTCTGTGTACGGTGTCAGCGCAATTCCTAAACGCGATAAGGGACTCACCATCCCGTCGTGGATTTCGTAGTCTTGTAACGTCACATGGTCCTTGAATGCCCCGTACCATTTCTTCAACTGAATCTTTTGCGCCGATGTACCAGTTTGCGCCGCGATGAGCCGCTTGAGGTCCCCGACCGTATCTGTGGGCAAGCACTTGACGCGCACTGTACAGCTGTCAGTCTTCATCCTGCAGGAGTTGCCTAAACTTACCCTTTCGCCCCATACGATCGTTCGCAATCACCTCTATCAGCCTCATTGATGCCATGCTGGGGGCAGCCGCAGGTGGTCTTTGTGGTGGTCCGCCATTGGGACCAACAGCCGGAGCAGTAGGAGCAGGTAGGGATGGCCCGTCATCGCGCTTCTTGTCTAACCCTCGATCTCGATCTCTTCTATCCCTGTCTCTGTCTCTGTCATCTCTATCTCTCCTGTCTCTATCCCGCCTGTAATCTCTATCCCTATCATCCCTCCTGTGCTCCCTACTGTCTCTGCTGTCTCTCCCATAATCCCTTCTGTCCTCTCTCTCCCCTTTGACGCCGTACCGATCAAGTGGGTCGCCTCCTCTCTTGAAGCTCCCTACACTCGCACTCACATTCCCCATTGTATTCCTCACCCCCTGCTCCCTCGATCCTCCGAATCTCTTGGGCACTTCTCCGCGTTCTCTTGCTTCAGCCCTTTCTTTGGATGATGGTTCATCGAGAGGATCGCGCCGAGACGAAAAGGAGCCCACAGGGGCAGAGGACTTTTTGTAGAATGAGAGCTCTTTGGGAGCTTTCTTGCGTGGCTGTGGGGAGCAGGAACGAGAACGGCGGGGTGATGGTGAACGAGGCATTTTGAGAGCTTTTTGATCTTGCCAGTGCTCGGAATGACGAGTGCAGGGTGTAGTAGATGGAAACCAGATGGCCAACGGCAGAGTCAGCGCAGAAGAAAGCGGGGAGTGGCGGCGATTAAAGGGGTGGTCATTTAAGATAGACCACGTTGAGAGATGACTCCTAGTCTTTACCAGTCTTTTCGTGGATCTACGTACGCTAGTAGATGGTAGACTGACTCTCTGAGGCCTAATAAATGACAAATGTGGAAGCTGTATCACATCTTGGGTAAATTTTACACGGGGTATAGAACTATGGGTATATAAAAATGAAGATATCTGGCACACGCTCAGGTGAAAGACGATTATAGACACACGTAAAAGATTATGGCACTGCTAAAGCACGATCAGCCTGATGGATCGAGCACAGCTCAAAGCAACCTCATGCCAAGGTCGGAAAAGAAGACGGAAACTATAGTTATGAACAGCTGGATTGTAGCCGGCATCAAAAGGTGACGAGATGTCCTAGAACTGCAATCGCTTGGACTTCGAGCGACGAAGATGGTTTTCGGCCAAAGATCTCTTCTTCTTGCCCCTGTGATTACGTTGGTATGAATAAAATCTCGAGTGCAGATAGATAGCTTACTTGCAGACCTGGGTTGACGCCACTTGAGTCTGGGTGGCAGTGCTGGAGGTTTCAGACAAAGTGGATGTTTCGGCGATAGCCAAGACTTGGCCCGCTCAAGTGATGTTAGCTCAATCGTAAGCCTAGGTGATAGTCTTACAAGCTGCAGAGACGCTTGCAGAAGTCATGAGAGATGTGGATGCAGAGTCACCCCCTTCAGATGAAATCCACGCTGTTGACTCTGACGACGTTTGAGTAGCGGTGGCCGAGGCAAGAGTTGAAGAAACATCAGAGGCAGTGGAAGCGGTAGTTGAAGCAGTAGAGCTTTCAGCTGTAGATGAGCTACCGTTGGCAGCTCCAACAGCACCCGCAATGATCTCTTCGAGGGTTCCCACAGTCATTCTAGAGGTGTCTGATCCTTCTGATCCCCATGCGACAAGTCGAGAGTCGCCGGTATTGCCCAGCGAAGGCGTAAGCCCAGCGAGATCGGAAGTGATTGTGACAAATGCAGCGGCCATGGGGACGTGCCATCGGTACTGCCAAAAGGTCAGTATCTAATTGGTTGAGTCTTGAGCTTTGACTGACTATCAAGTTTTCAAAGAGGACATTGGGTCCGAACATTGATGGATCAGAGGCCGTCTCGTCACAGGTGGGCTTGGTGGCAACATCGGCTGTCCAAAGAGGGTTACATCCAGGGAGCTTGTCGATTGGCCTTTGGAGACCGACATCCCTGAAAACAATGTCAGTGTCGATGAAGATCCTCCTGCCGCTGCGACTTGCTCATCGGGAATTTTGCCTTCAAGACGACAATCCCAAGTGGCAGACTCGTTGGTCGACTTGGCAAGAGGGGCGCAAGCCGTGAGGTCTTCTTCAGGCCCATTGCCGTCGCCACACTGGCTAATTGCGTCTGCGAGGACATCTGGCGTCCACTGTGTCGGCGTGAGTGATCTGACCGAGGGCAAGGGAGGAAAGGACTCACACCGTTCACAAAATCAGCGTGCATCGAAGATCCCAGGGTATCCCCGTTGGAAAAAACGATGGTGCCCTCATCGTTCCTCCAAGGCTGGTTATCGTCGAGGTAGTAGTTCCATTGAGCAAAAACTAAACCGATGATTCAGTGTTTGCTGGAGCCCCAACTGTTTCTGACTTACTCGTCGGATATTTCAATGGGTGCGTGTCTGGGCAATACTGCCCGTTGGCATCATCTACAAGAACGGTGCCATTGTAGCTCTGAGGCCAGGCCATGTGCGAGAAATGGTCGGTAGAATCCAAGTCGCCGGTCGACAGCCCGCAGCTCGGGAAGTAGGTTGCCGTAGAGATCAATGAGCAGCCACCCGGATGAGTTGTGCCGTTGGGAAGATAGAAACCGTCTTCTCCATGGTCACAAGAGATCCTGACGCCAAAGGCTTTAGTGTCGGACAGGTCTCGAGTTGTGGCAGCGCCAGCAATCATTCGAAGACCTTGCGGGAAAGGCTTGACCTCGGTGCCCTTGGTAAAGTAGTAGACACGGGTACCAGACATGATGGGAGAGAAGGTAACGTTCTGGTGGTGGTAGTATAGTTGACTATCAGACATGAGCTAAGATGCGGAGGGCTCAAATTTGACCTACGGAGCCCAGTAGTTTGAAATGTCAGCATTGACAATGGTGGACGAGCAAGCAGCATTGAGCTGGTCGGATACGCTGTTCAATGTGACTACACCTGGATTAGCTAGATCAAAGTTGGCCAAAGTGACGTACTATCGAAATTGCTCGCTCCGACAATATTGTGAACATGAGTGCTGATGGCAGATGGATTCACAATTGGGTCCATGCGTGCAAGGGCGATTGTCTGTGCATGGGTCAAGATCCAATGGTCTGCGGCACCGAGGGCAACGCCAGACATGATGGCTGCAGCAAGGGCATATAGGGGGGTTGAGGCGGGCATGGCGGGGGTACTCGACCTGCGAGCTGGCTGAGGGAAGGGACGCGGTGATGAGGACAAGCCCAGAAAAAGGAGTGTGATTGAGCCGTGAGAGGCGTTCAAGTGGCTTTCTACAAGGTAGGGTGTAAGGGTGCGGAGGGGGCTTGAGAATATAAATGGGTGAGTAGAGAGAGAAAGAAGAAAGAGAAAGAGAGAGGGACAATGGGGAGATGGATGATGGATGTGTTGCTCAGGTCCTGTTTCAGCCATCCCCGTTGTCCCTTCTGCGGCAGGGGCGCCCAGACGGCCCAGACGGCAGCTATTGTGCTCTTGTGGATGGGTAATTTGTGGTCTACAGCCGTGCATGTTCATGCTGGCTGTGCTCCCCGGGAGAGCCGCCGCTGGGAAGACGCAGTTGAGCCACTACGGCCGGACAACTGGCATAAGGCATCGTCGTTCTGTCGAGGAAAGCCATGCGGTGCCAGGCACGCATGCCCCTTTGTGTTGTTTGTGTCCCCCCACTGCCCGTCCCGGTCAGCAGTACATAGCAGGGACCAGGCAGCAGGAAGCAGTAGGAAGTAGGCCAGACAGTCCACCATCCACGACCACGCCGTCGTTTCCCGGAGCACCGACCTCTCAATATAGGCGGAACCCCCCGCCGCCTTCCACCGCCCGAACGTCGTGTATTCTTTCCGTTTGCGCGCTCACTTTCCACTGCTTTTCCTGCTGCCGGCCACCCTCGTCTTCCATTACTCTCACAGCCCGCCAGTCTGCCAACAATGGAACAGGGCCGCTCCCCTTCCCCCGAACCTCGTCCCTCCAAGTTTCCAAAGGTCGGCCCGGACGGCCAGCCACTCAAGGCTACCGTCAAGTCTGTCGACAGTATGTTTCCTTCTCAAATATGTCGTGGTATGCTCATTGAGATGTAATGTGAATAGTGTCTGAAGAAATGCAGACAAAGGCCGTGGAGACCGTCTTTGACTCTTTCGACCGATACGATGAGATGAAGGACATGGCGATGTATGTCAAGAAGCAATTTGACAGGATGTACGGCACTACGTGGCACTGCGTCGTCGGAAAGAAGTGAGCCTTCACACCTGTGTCTGGCAAGGAATAGAAGCTGACAAAGTTGCGCAGCTTCGGAAGCTTTGTCACCCATGGTCAGTCTCAATCCTGGGGCGGCCCAATCGTAATGACGATTGCTAATATAGGCCTACAGAATCCAAAAACTTCATCTACTTTTACCTGGGGCAAGTGGCCATCCTTCTCTGGAAGACCACATAGTCTCCTCATGTCGATGAGAATATCCTCGTCGCACCATCACACCATCTTGGCCTTGTGGATCGCCTATTGTAAACAAACTTTGCCAACATCAAGACGAAAGATTAGAGAATGAATCGACCAACGCAGGCGGTACTCCGCAGGCGGCTGGATGTGTCGTTCCGTATACCCACCATGCTTATAAGCCTTTAGATATCATGAATGCCATACCAGTACCTTGTCCATGACTCTGGCTAGGACATACGATCCTGACTCTTCTTTGAGTGAAGGTATTGCAGGCCGAGATAGAGCTTCGCGGTGTACCATGCTATAGCCAAGGATTGTATTGTAATGTCTTGACAGCGAAGAGAATAGTACCTTACTTGCATGGTACTCATACTGGAACAAGTCCCATAGACAACCGAAAGCTCAATCTGGGGAAATATGAACACTGGAAAAAAGTGAAAGAACGAACGTGTTCCGAGGACCTTCGCCATGTCCTCGATACCTTTATACACCACACTCCTGAGACCAATGAGATAATGTCACACACGTATCATGATCTTGAAAGATTTTGATAATGGGTGGTAGTTTCCTCGTACTCCTTCATGAAGAGCCTCTTCTGGTCCTTGATCATCCAGCTACGAAAGAGATCAGCTGGCGCACGACGAACAGCAGGCAACGACGAACTCCATGATGTCGTTAATGTAATCACGAAGGATGTTGAGTGACTCTGTATCAATGTTGGTATACGCGATGAAAGGACCGAAATTGACTAGCTGACTGTCAGCCAAAGTCGTTGACCCAAAAGCTTGCTCACCAAACAGCCTCAGCAAATGCTCTGCTCCATAAATCTCACTCATAGGCTTCTCAGGATTCTGCCGCTTCTGCTCCACGTACTGCGCTCGCTCAAATCGGTATAGGAGGTTGTTGCCCAAGGCTCTGTCAAAGTACAGCGTGATGCCAGATATGATTTCAGAGAGTAGAGCAGTAGCTCGGCTACATCCTGGGTCAGCCACAGCCATCCTTCATGATCGGTCCCACTCACGCAGACCGTTCTTGCTTTTTGCTGGCTGACGCGTATTGCCGATATTCCTCCAATAATTCTCTCACGTTTGGCTTCCTGGGTAAAGCTACCAGTTGATTGTTCTTGGTCACATTCTCCCAGTCGTCGACAAGAACAAGCTTGAGAATATCCGGGATGACGATCTTGACTTCTGGTCTTTTCATGAAATCGGTCTCCTGCGAGAAAAGCGGTTAGCTCCACCTCATGCTCAAAGGGGCAAGCAATGGTCAAGGTGCACACAGAACCACAACTTCAGGAGGAAAAAACACTCACGCTATCCAGAGCATCCCTCCCTCTCTTTTTCCCATCCTTTTTAAAGTCCTTCAACGGTTTTCGTCCTGCCGCTCCAATGCCAGGTGACGCTGTTCCGCTCCCCCCACCTCCCGCTGTGCCTGCCGCAGACGAGATGCTCGATCTTCCCTTCTTGGCTTGCGCCTCGAGAAGAGCGCGGCGCTTGGCAAAGCCAGCCTCATTGAGCTTGAGAAGTCGTGATTCGGGCACCCATTCATCCCAACTGTGAGACTGATCAACCGAGAGCTTTCAGGTGGGGCAGGGCAAAGCCAAAGCACAACGGGGTATAGAAAACGTACGTTTGCTTCCAGCCTTTGTAATGGATAAAGTAGTGCGGCCCCACTTGACCCGAAAGAGTATTGGACTCGTCCCATGATTCCGCGAGGAGAACCTGATCAAAGTCAACGGCATGCCCCATTCCGTCTTCCGCAATCGCTAGTCTTGGTCGCATCAAGAACAGTACCCCGTTTTTTGCAGTCGCACTGCACAAGTGAATCGAAGGGGTGTGGTGAGACTTACTCGAGCTTCATAGAGTAAAGGTCCATGGTAGGCGAGGACGTATTCGTCAACCATGAATTGAGGGACGGCACCGGCCATTTTATAATAGTCTGATCATGTTGAGTACAACCCATAGAGATAGTCCGCGGTAGATGGTAGTAGAAGAGATCGGGAGAGGAGAGAGAAGAGGCATTAGTGTGGTGCCTTTGGTTGATGCCACTAGGAAGATGCGCGTACTTGACTTTTAGGTTTATGAGTGTTGCAAGACGAGAAAGCTTTGCTGCTCCTTTGGCCGTAAAATAGACTGTGTTGAGGTTGATAGTTGGTGATTTCAGGTCGCAAGAGAGCAGTAAAGACAAGAACGGTTATTCGAGTTGGATGTTTTGCCCAACGCGACTTGGGGCTGGTAGAGTTCAGACCTGGTACCTAAAGCAAGAAGTAGGGTCAACCAGTGGTTCTGGGATTCTCATGCGGGTCATCTGTTCTCACTGTTCGCTGTTTGGGATGGGGATGGGGTGGTTGAAGGGTGGTTGTGGGTGGTCTGGGAGAGATAAACAGAGCGACGGAGCGCACGCAGACAGAGCAACTCGCGGCAGCGCAAAATGGGGGCGTAAACAAGCTTTCTCGCGCTCATTCCTTGCCTCTTTCCGCTATCAACTCTTTCTCCTCCCCATCTATCTCTCAAAAGTCTATCATCCCTCTTCGACAGGGACAGTAGCTTGGCAGACGGTCACACGCGCAGTAAAACTCAGCAGGGTACCATTGGGACAGCTTCGTGAGTCTCGCCTCCTTCAGCCTCTCTCAGTGGGCTCGGTGGCGAGCCTTAGCTGCGCGACTTTGTATGCTTTCGAGAAGCCGCGAAAGAGGCTTCAAGCACTTCAGGGTGTATCTCGTGGGACGGGGACTCTATGTTTGTGAATGCAAGGCGGATGGCCGATTAGTGTTGAGTGGATATGACGATGAAAAGGTCGATCTCCGCCAGGATGATTATGCTGACACACTTTCCCGCTGCCACTCTTTGCTCATGATCCCATCAACCTTTTTCCTCTCTTGTACTATCACAGATCACTGTTTCTCAATATCAAGTAACCTCGGCTCTTGATCTCACATCTACCGCTACAAGCGTACTCCTTTCACACGCTTTATTGTCATCGACCATGGTCGCTGTGGCCGGGCCCAAACCTTCTGGGGTACGCAGACCGCCTTTGAAGCGCAAATAAGGAGCTAACCATACTATGGAACAGGCGAAATTCGGTCAGAGTATCGTCCCTAACCTGAACATCCGCCAAGTCTGCCCAAATTGCAGGACGGACCCTCCCAATATTGTCGAAGAATATTCCAAGGGTGACCTGGTGAGTATACCATCGAGAGAGATCCGAGTTGGCATTATTAAGCATTTGGTCCAGGTCTGTGCCGATTGCGGAACAATCTTGGGTGACAGGATTGTCGACACCAGAAGTGAATGGCGTGTAAGTCACCAACAGTCGGGGCTCGAGCAAGGACTGAATCATCGGTCCAGACTTTTGCGGGCGATGAGAATGGTGATGACCCCTCACGTGTTGGTGATGCCGGGAACCCGCTTCTAGGATCCAATCATCTCGATACTATCATTTCGCACAAAGATGGCCGGACTGGTATCGCGCGAGACCTTAACCGTGCCCAGGCAAGAGCCAACACTTTGGGAAACGGGATCTACGGCAAGACCAATGCCGCCCAGCTCTCTGCTGTTTTCTCGCGCATCGGCGAAAAGTGCGACGCCATGCAGCTCCCCCGAAGTGTGCGCGACCGAGCTCAGCATGTGTACAAGATGGTAGATGAAGCAAAGACCATCAAGGGAAAGAATGAGGCAGCTGTGATTGCGGCTTGCATCGTCTACGCTTGCCGAGACGCAAAAGTCCACCGAACTTTCCAAGAAGTCGGCAAAGCGCTCAAGATCACCAAGAAGGAGCTTGGCCATGTTTTCAACATTGTCAAATCTACCGTCCAGTCGTCGTCAAAGGGCTCCATGGAGTCTGTTCATGGTTTCAACAATGCTCAAGAGTCTGTGGAAGGTCTTCTGGGCCGTTTCACCAACTATCTCGATCTCGGCAATGCCATCTACAATGTCTCCAAGCATATCTCCGGTGAAGCTGTTGCAAAGAGTGCCATAGACGGCCGTAGCCCCGTGTCTATCGCGGCAGGCGTATTGTACTTTACCTGTGTTCTCTTGGGGAAACCTGTTACCGCAAAGGAGATCTCGGTTATGGGCGGCGTGTCAGAGTCAACTACCAAGCTGTGAGTTGCTTTTGGTAGGCCCCTACTTGATAGCTGACACTTCCACAGAATCACAAAAATGGTTGCTACCAAGGTTGACGACGTCATCCGTCCAGAATGGGTAAGTTTCGCATTCGTATTTTTGGTCTTTACTTATCATCGTCTTTAGAAAAACGAGTATCCTGACGGCTACGCTGCTCTTGCGCAGTTGGGGAGGGCTGCCGACATCAAAAACTCTCGAAGTGGCACCCCCAACCGTAGCGTTGAGAAGAAGCCGGAGTTGGATGATGGTGTGAAGGGCGAGAGCGACCAGAAATGAAAGGTAGCTGGGTGGACAATACGCTTGGGGTCTTTGCGAACAGGTTCCCATCGTCGAGCCAAAAAAAAAAAATGTTCTTCCATTGTTGTACCACCAAAGGCTCTTCTGCCTATCTCTTTCAGCCATGGATCTGATATCAATTCCATGCAGTATATGTATGCCTTTTCCTGAAACAGCATTGCTACTTGGTCTGCATACAAGTGTGTGCTACATGATCTTCTGACCAACGTCTACGTCGCGCTGGATCAATCACTCGTCGTGTGCGTCAACAGCCACATCTTCCCATATATCGTCCCACCACCCTCTTGCAGTAATCCAACCTCGATAACCTGCTTCTTTCCAACCGTGTACGGTCCCCCATCTACGCTCTACGAGCCACTGCCTGAACCACTTCTCTCTGCGGGCCATTCGTCTTCTCTCTCCTTCTCTTTCTTCATCTGGGTTGACTTCAAGGATTTGGCTCTCCACATACTTGAGGAGACGGGTGGCCAGCCGCCCAACTCTCCTGTAGACTTGTCGGAGAGTATTCAGAGTACCTATCGCAACAAGCGCTACTACGAGGGCGGTGCCGATCCCATCGCCTCCTCTACCACCTCTGGCCAGCCGACGTCTTCCCCACGATCCGAGAAAACCCCCTCGTAGAGCATTGGCCAACTGAAGTGGCCCGAACAAGGACATCGAGATGGACAAAGAGAGGAAGGACATGGACCCTAGGAGCGCTATGCCCAGAAGCGACCTGATGGCGATCCCCAGGACAAGGGTTGCGAGAGGCCCAGGTAGCCGGGTTACTAGTACTGAATGATAGTTTCCTAGTTTGTCTGCGATCGATGCAAAGGTCTGGATGGCAGCGACGAGCACGTCCCAGACCAATGTCCCGCCGCCACTGCCGATGATGACCACGTTTCCCTGATCCATGAAACCGTCGTCAAACAAGTCCATGGGACCCCCTAGACGAAGGCTTCCGGGAGAAGGCGACAGGAAAGTCCGCGATAATGTCGATGAATGGGCAAGGATAAAGTGAAAGGTGGACCCTAGAGACAAGGTGAGGAGAGAGAAGAGCGACAATGTGGAAAGGATGAGAACGGGTTTTGATGTCGCGAGACCGGATATTTGAGTCCCTGGGTCTTTTGTGAGTACAGACCATGCGCCAGAGTCTTATACATACTTTGAATCCGGTATCTGAAGTGGCACTGGGGACACTCCATGTAAGCTTTCTGGTAGAATTGTAAGCACGACAGTCATTATACAAAATGCCGGGGCGACTTGCGGCGTTGGTTCCCGTCCCTCTCCAGGCGTTTATACATTCCACTGATAGGTCATATGAGTCACTGTATCTTCAACCTCATACTGGTGCGCACCATGGACAAACTATGGTTGGTGAGAAGTGCTCGGCATCCAAGGCGCCTTGAGATTACTTACACGCATTGAGCCACTACATAGACAGGGGGAGATCAGCTTTCCCATCGATTCCTCCTCTTCTGGTCCCGAAAAGCATATCCGGCACTGCCTCTCGTCCTGCGGAGGCGGGGAGGACTCTGCTGGTGATTCGCCCGGCGAATGACGGAGATAGTCATCGACGTGGCCCTTGTCTGCCTCTTCGTGTTGATGGCGGTGGCTGGGGGCTGTGTCCATCGCAGGGTGCTCCATGGAGTGCTGTAAGGCCGGGGACTGCAACGAACGGGATACGAATACGAATCGGATGGATGCGAGTCGACGTGGAGACAGAAAGCATGACCTTCGGGCATCTCTCGGCCATTGACCCAATTTGCTTCCGCTGAGGCGTGCTTGATGTCCAGGTCAAAGATACATAGGCAACATTTACAGCTACAAGATACCCCAGCTTCCAGGCAGGTTATATATACACTCTTTTTGTTCTGCCATTGTATACACGCTTCAATGAACCGTTGATCAATCAACTTTTACCTTCCTTGGCAATATCTTTCTCCCGTTCCCTCTCAGCGACGCTGACGAGAGCCGCAATACCCGACATCCCTTCCCCATGTCGTCCAGTCTCTCGAGGAGATCGCGGCCTCTCTCTGACATAGGGGTGGCTCTTTGGAAGGTACCGACTGCTGATACTCTGGGACAAGGGGTGTCTGGGGCTAGGAGGTTCTCTGAACCTGCTTAGTTCGACCGAGAGCGGTGGTAGAGTGACCGAATCTCGTTCCCTGTCTGACGACGTGTTGACATACGGCAAATGGTGGGGCGGTGATGGAGAGCGACCGCCATAATATGACATGGCGCTAGCACCGGACGTAGCTCTGGGTCGGAACGGAGGGAGACTCGGCAAGCTAAGACGAGGATTGCCTGAAAAGTGTGGAGTGGAAATTGCCGCGCTAGATGATGGAGATATGGCCGTTACAGAGTCTATGGATGCCCGACCTCGGGGCGAGGTCTGATAAAGCCCCAGGCTCGAGGGCGTCTCAACGGAAGGCATTCGGGACTGATGAAAGCTCGGGGAGGAAGCGGTAGAGGGAAAGGGTAGAGCGTAGAAGCCACGCTGTAGAACCTCGTGCTGATCAATGCCCCATTCTCGGATCTTTTCAGCCCACCAAAGATTTAACCTCTCCTCAGTGAGATGATGCTTGACATCACGGATTAAGAGTTCGGATTTTTCCAAGTGGTCTTGCCAGTTTGAAATGACAAAGAGTGGAAATACAACTGATCTTGGGTCAGAATGTCATACGGTGCAGCAGATAGCAGACTCACAGCAGCTTCCTTCTCGACCAGCGAGACCAATCGTGTCCATGATGACGATCAAGTTTTCGATGGCTTGGCTTTGCCTGCGGGCAGTGACGACGCCGTCACTGACAGGCGCTACAGCAGCCTGGAGATAAAACATCCCACACTCGGCGGCAGCGTGCATGTACGCATACATCCAGCCAGACGTCTTGGCCTCGGGCGCCTGGGACGCAAGCTTTCCGACAGCGTGCGTAAGGTTGGGCTCGTTGAAATGCATGTGGCGAGGAAGGCTCATGGCCCAGTTCTTCAGCGCACCCTCGAGGCGTAGCGCAAAAACTTGCTTGGAGTCTCCAGAGCTGGAATCAGTTGCAAGGGCCATGATATCAGCCAAAATGGAAAGCTGTATAACGTCAGTTGTGTCCACACGTGTGCGCCAAACTCACAATCCGAATCACGTGACCGACCTCTCCTACCGAGCCTTCCTCGTCAGACCAGCTCCCAGTCCCGGGAACCAGACCATCTCGCCTTCCAGGCTCACGTCCACTAGGCCCGCTACCACCCCATCTAGCCCATTGCGTTTCACTGCCAGGGAGTGGTATCGTCCCCAGATCGGCCTCTGTCAACTTTCTCGGACGCCCATTCGTCGATGCGCACAGATCATGCAGGACCAAAGCCCAGAACGTCCTGTTTCGAGTCTCCATATGTGTTGTAAATTCGATAGGATTCGACCCCGGATGAGCGACCGGTGGCTGGATATAGGGAACAGGAGAGGGGCGAAGAATATCAATGCCAGCTTCCAGATAAAACAGGCCCAATTTGGCTTGACGGGTGCACGTAAAGTAGACGCTGAGCAGGTACGCCGTCTGGGCAAGCTCAGTCTCCTGCCAAGATCCACGATCCGTTCTGCGAGCTTCTTCACTGAACTTTTTGCGTTGATGAATGAGACTCTCGGCATTGCGATGCGCTCGAAGAGCAAACAGCTCGCCCCGGTGGTGGGGAAGATGATTCGGCGAGAGAGTCTGAAGAAATATCGGGTTCTCGCAGAGGCGGGCAGCGAATGCGTAGATTACGTCTAGCAGAACCGGGGATACTTGATTGAGGTAGAGGCGGTAGTTGAAGGTGGGAAGGTGTAGTATGATCGGAAGAGGGAGGCATCTTTTAAAGAAGACTGTCACAGCGTCAGCGCCAAAGAGGTGGTCACACAATGCTGCTCACTATCAACGAGCTCGGCACTCAGGCTGGCGTCCATCTCCACTATCTGGAGGAGCCCGACTGACGGTTTTTCACGCATCTCGTGCTCTGCATCGCCCATTCCCTGTTGAGAATGGCTACTGTCGCCACTGGCCTTCCTCTCGTGGCCGGGGCTGATACTTGACGTTTCATTTGAACCAGATTTGCTACCATCCTTCTTGAGAGGAACGCTAGCAGACGAATCTCGGGTTCGAGGAGGGGGGATAGGCTCTCCTTGAGCGTTGACATATTGACACGGACGGTTCGAGAATTCGCAATTCGAACACGGTGCGAAACCGTCGCAACGCCTTTTATTCTTCTACGGCTATCGTCAGATGATGAAACCCGAGGCTGATGATACAACCCACATGACAAGCGCTACAAGCTTTTGCAAGCCTTTTTCTTTTACGACCTTTGGTAGTCAACTCTTCCTTGTCGACATTTGGCAATCTGTTTGATGGTGCAGGGCTTCCTTTGTCCGAGGGCGTGCCCAAAAGACGCGCCGTCGGCATGGGGCCACTGAGGCTATGGTTGGCACGGGCGGCAGGCGGGTGCGGTCTCTCACCCGAGAAATGGAATGATTCTCGGCGATGGACTGCTGGGACAGCAAATTGCCGTCCTGACGTCTCCTGGTGCTGTGGAGGAGACGACTCGCTCTGTGGCACAGAAAGATTGTCCATCGATGCCGGCGAGGGATACGAGGGTACGGTGGTGGGGCTTACGGGGGACAATTCTGATGCACGAGGCTGGGTCGGGTAGTTTTGCAGTTTTGCTCGTTTGGTAGGCGGTGATGAGGGGACGGACTGGGCGTCTGATGGCGGGACAGGGAAGGAGAGTGTCATGAAGAGGCTGGAAAGACGAGTGTGCGGCTTGAGCGGAGTGTGGGGAGGTGATGAGCCCTTTATGAGTGGCTAAGCTCAAGCTCGAATAGGCGAGAAGCCCGCAGAAGAGTCCAGGTCTGGTAGAGCTGGAAGCAGACGACAAGGTTTGGAGGATGGCCTTCTCGAGAGACGCCCTTCTTCTGGACGGCTTCGGTGGAGGAGAGAGGAGGGGCGGTCGCCGCTACTTTGGGGCAGAAAGGTGGCGGCAGAGAGGCTCCGTGCCGAGAAGGGGGAGAAAGGGAGTGCAAGTTGGCGAAACGCCCCAAAGGCGCGCGGGCTGCAAAGGCGTGGCGGCCTGCAGGGCAAAGGACCTCTTCGATTGACGGGCGGACGAGAGCGCCAGTGCGTGTGGGAGGGCTGTGGTCGCCGGAGAATATGTGGGATATGGGGCAGAGAGCGGTCCGATAGCCGGGGAGAAAGAACACAGCACATAAACAACAGAGGGTCGAGGTATTTCCATGGCACATGTGAGTGATTGAAGAACACAGGAGGACGGGTCGCGGTGGAAAGATGGATACGGGTGAATAGGACGGAGAGAGTGTCTGATCAGCCTCGTGCCCCTGTATACAACAATACGGAAGAGTGCCGGTACTTACCCTTCTGGTCCTCTAGGGTCGCTCGAGCGTGGCTTCGGATCGCCCTTGCTTTATAGATGGATGTGTGTCCAGTGATCTGTTCTGGCTGATCCGACAGGCTATAATAGAGGCTGTCGTGGAAAGCTGTGGGCTATGCTGCCGACTATGAAGCCGATGTGCGATGATTCGAGTGACAGTGCTCTCTCTGCGAGTACCTCGGCGCTAGCTTTCTGAGTCGGTAGAGAATAGTTGGTGAACAGTCAAGGGGGTAGGGGGCTGTGAACGGTGGGAAGGAAAGAGAAAGAGAGCGGGCAGGCATTACATCGTTGTTGCATGCTCTGATCTGGATCTGCCTTTCATCCTGGCCGTGGCGGGCCGACGATTGGTATTTCGGATTCGGTCCCTTCTTCCCTCCAGACCCTCTCCGCTTCGCTTCCCCAGGTCCCCCAGGCCCCACGCTTGCCCCACACGCCTCTGCCGCAGGGCTCCTGATGTTTACAGGGAAAATCCAGGGCTCCGCATGGGTCGGAATAATTCTCTTTTGAGCCTTTCAGCCGCCTATGCGTGGATATTCTTAATACGCGGCTAATCTGGAGATGTAAGCCACATGTCCAGAGCTGAGGTTGGTTGCGTGTACTACATGGTGTCAGCTTGAACACCTTCTGGACTTGCGGCATATGAGCAATCGAGCTTATTGGCTGTATGTAGTACGTACGCATCTAAGTGTCGGACTTTTCGGGATACCTTTGGAGTTCGGTACAATCTCTCGGCAGTGACCGACTCTTAACCGCCGGCTTCGGTCCCGGCTCGCGGGCCTAAAGTTGCTGGCTTAGACGACTTGACGTGGTGACCAACAAGCTGTTGCTCTCTCGTCGTCTCAATTGTACGATGAGTACTCTAAACATCGTGATGTGCCTCCTTACTCGCCAGTGGCCTGCTCTACAGTCATGCATTTTCGAGTCTTACTTATCAGTAACACTCATTTAGAATCTGTTCTACTTCTTCAACTGGGCCCACCCAAATTTGGTGTCTATCCGAACGCTGACGTATGCCCTGTTCTTAGCACAAAACTCGCTTCAACAGGATGAACTGCCAAACGTGTCCTTAAAAGTAATACGTGGTGAGGCGGTTGTAGATCGCCTCGCGCATGTCCTTTTCAAAGGCTTCTTGACACCCATTCCATCCCGCTCCGACTGCAAGACAGAGCTGGAGCTGGACCCTAGACTTGCCCGCTTGCATGTAACCAGACGAAATGCTACATATCATTATATCAGCGTCTCCTTTCCGGGAACCGATCATTGACTCACTATGATGGTGCGTATGGTTTGGGCACGGAAGCGCCCGTGACGGGTCGAAGGGAGGCAACCACTGGAATGCCTTGTTCCTTCAACACGGTCGCAGCAGCAACAGCGTCGGGCGAGATTTGACCAGCACCAGCTCCTTGGATCACGATACCCCTGATACGATATCAGCATAAGCAGGTGAAAGCAGGTGTACTCACTTGGCACCATTGGCCACGGCAGCGTACATCAAGGACGCATCAAAGCCCTCTGAATAGATATCAGCTTGGTGCAGCATAGAGTGTGATTATGACTTACGGGAGCCAAACAGTACCACGACACTAGGGAGTTCATCTCCACTAGTCAATCCAGCAGCTTGTAGATCGAAATGACCCCTCGCAACAGGATAGCTGGGCTCAAAGAACCAGTACGGCTGGCCTCCCAAACAAGTACCCAAATTGCCCTGCTCCAGTGCCTTAAAAGTATCGACAGTGTTGCCGTCCGTCTTGATGGCATAAAAGGCAGACGAGATGCGGTCGTTGAATACGACGAGACCTCCGCGGTTCCAAGCCTTAGGGTCGGCGGCCACGGCGAAGGCTTGGTACAAGTTGGAAGGACCGTCATGAGAGATGTAAGTCTGAGGACGCATAGCACCTGTCGTGACAAACGGCTTGGAACAGTTGAGAGTGAGGTCGACACCAAAGAACTATCAGGTGTAAGCGTGGGTAAAGGATATCGAAATGAGATGCATACCGTGTCTTCAAGCGTGTTTGTACCTTCGAAAGCCGTCAGTCACAATATCAAGAAGCATATCGAGTACTCACCTCCGATCAACACTGCTCCGGTAATATCTGAATCAGGCGAGCACAAATGTTCATTCGCAGCTTTGCTGACGTTGAAATAGGTGCTACTGTTGAGCCCCGAGCTCCCGCCACTAGTAGGAAACTTGACAAATGCTATTTGAGCGATGTCGAGGATCTCGCTATAGTTGCTGATGAGCTCCTGAACAGTGGGATTGACACCGGAGCCATAGTTGATATTGTCGAGACGAGAATAGTTGGACGCGGAGACAATAGTACCACCGGTATCGTAAAGACTGTGCTGATATCAGAGTGGTGTCGAGGATGGTAAGAAAGGTACGTACACGATCTTGGGCAGCGAAGAAGCTCCATCTTTGGACATCCACTCGAGACCAAAGTCGTCTCTTTTGATGTGCAGCAAAGGGCTGGCAATGGCGGCAGCAGCGGATGCGGCGGCCAGTAAGAGATGTTTGGCGAGCATGGTGGTTTGATGAGCACAGCTGGGGGATTCGAGTCACCCTTTTGACCCCTTTTCATAAGGCGGGCATGTCCAGCGTTACCATCGAAGTGCCCAATCACCTTTTGGGTCCTTATCTGCCTTGGCAGGCAATCTAGCGCCGGGCAGAACCCCCTGTCTGATTGGCAACAAGGACATGTCGAGCTATACTGAGCCGAAGACGTTCTACCCGAAAGGCAAGTATAATAATGCGATTGTTCAAGGATCTTTTTCCGCCCACATGGTGTCCCGGCGTCTTGAATTCTCAGGTACAACCGGCCGCCGTCGCGGATGGCCGAAGACTCTTATCTATGTACTCGAATTGTATGATTGGCGCTCGCTGACGCTGCCCAGACGAGTCCACAAGCAATGCCCTCGGTATGGCCGCGGCCAGTGGAAAAGAGAGAGAGTAGGGACCGAGGCATGGTAAGCTGGGTAGACGTAGAGTTGGCTTGCGTCGGCTGTCTGACAGATCTTCTATTGCCTCATGGTTCCAAGTCGAAGTAAGATTTTGGCCAGTGATGTGCTTGCTGCATCTATACATGTTCTACGCAAGGCTCATTATAATTCACGATTCGAATCTATTATACTTTTCTACCCTCACCAAGTACTCGAGAGTTGACTCTTGTACAGTACTCTACCTAAACACCACGCTTACGATCAGTCGCCTAATAATAGTATGTAGTGACACTGTTGTAGATCGCCGCGCGCATATCCTTCTCAAAGGCTTCTTGGCATCCATCCCAACCAGCTCCGACTGCAAGGCAGAGCTGGAGCTGGACTCTGGACTTGCCGGCCTGCATGTACCCAGACGAAATGCTAAAAGGGTTCAGCTTCTTCCTGTTGGGGCTCAAGCAGTGACTCGCTACGAGGTCACGTAAGGTGGGGGGACGGAAGCACCAGTGACGGGTCGGAGAGAGGCAACCACGGGGATGCCTTTTTCCTTCAAGTCGGCTGCAGCAGTCACAGCGTTGGGTGAAAGTTTGCCGGCACCGGATCCCTGGACCACGATGCCCCTGATACGATATGAGCATGGTAGAATAAAGCAGGTTTGACTTACTTGGCTCCATTGGCGACAGCAGCGTACATCAAGGATGCATCAAAGCCCTCTATAGAATTATCAGCTTGATGTGACAAGGGGCAATATGACCCACGAGAACCAAACAGTACCGCGACACTAGGGAGCTCGTCTCCGCTAGTCAGTCCGGCCGCTTGCAGGTCGAAGTGCCCTCTCGCCACTGGGTAGCTGGGCTCAAAGAACCAGTACGGCTGGCCTCCCAAACAAGTACCCAAATTGCCCTGCTCCAGTGCCTTGAAAGTATCGACAGTGTTGCCGTCCGTCTTCATGGTGTAAAAGGCCGAGGAAATGCGGTCGTTGAATACGACGAGACCTCCACGGTTCCAAGCCTCAGGGTCGGCGGCCACGGCGAAGGCTTGGTACAAGTTGGAAGGACCGTCATGAGAGATGTAAGTCTGAGGACGCATAGCACCTGTCGTGACAAACGGCTTGGAACAGTTGAGAGTGAGGTCGACACCAAAGAACTATCAGGTGTCAGCGCGGGTAAAGAATATCGAAATGAGATACATACCGTGTCTTCAAGGGTGTTGGTACCTTCACAGCCTGTCAGTCACGATATCAAGAAGCATATCGAGTACTCACCTCCGATCAAAACCGCTCCGGCAATCTCTGAATCGGGCGAGCACAAATGTCGATTCGCAGCTTGGCTGACGTTGAAAAAGACGGTACTGTTGAGCCCCGCACTGTCGCTCGATGCAGGGAAATGGAAAAAGGCGATCTGCGCGATGTCGAGAATCTCGCTATAGTTGCTGACGAGCTCCTGGGCTGTGGGAGAAACGCCGTCGCCATAATTGATGTTATCGAGACGAGAGTAGTTGGATGCCTGAACGATGGTACCGCCGGTATCATAGAGACTGTGGGGTGTCAGAAGGGCGCCGGATTCTAAGACGGGTACGTACACAATCTTGGGCAGAGAGGAAGATGATCCGTCCTTGGTCATCCACTCGAGACCAAAGTCGTCCCTCTTGATATTGAGCAAGGGCCTAGCCATGGCGGCGGCAGTGAACACGGTGGCCACGAATAGGTGCTTGGCGAGCATGATGAAGAGTACAGATGGGGGATGCTGTCAAGTCATTTTCTTTTACGCCAGCCTTTTATATGCTATATAGACCGGCACCCTCGTCCATAATACAGTCCCCGATTGTCTCTTTTCAACGAGCACCCTCCGTAGCATCGGGTCAGCTCCCCGACAGGTCTTACCCGAGAGCTCTACCGAGGGTATACCACGCTAGCTCGAGCTGAAATGCTTGGGTAAAGTGTCATACGCCGATACGCGGGTTTGAAAGAAATGGGTCGATGCGGATGGCCGAAGTTTGTTACATAACATCACTTTCGTTTAGTGATGGACCCCCCAAAATAATAAACGATTTCTGTGACCTTCTGACTTTGATGCATGTGATCATGCTGCGCTGGATAGATTCTAGCTATAGATATGCATAAGACCCCTGTCTTACGTTGTAGAACATGCTAATGCTACCTCTCTATTATGACACGGCAGGCCGTGGGCCGTGGGTACGTAGTATATCCGACTTCCGACTTAGCGAGGAGCAACCTAGCGTCGGGTAAGCTTTGCAGTACAGCCCGAAGAGGAATCGCCAAGAGCGTAGAAAGTCCTACATAAGTGTACTGATCGATGGTAGCCCTCTACCCAAGAGGGCACAGAGGCGAGCAAGGCGAGCCGACGATGTTTGGCAGCCGCCTTCTTGATGTGCGGACGACGGCCGACAACGGTTACACACGTAACATCTGTCCGTTTTATGGCTGTTGAGAGAGGTCGTGGGGCATGACATGGCATATGTTATAATGTATAATCTTGGACGAGACTCGCCCTCGAGAAAACTATCTGCTAAAGCTACAAACCGCCGGCATATGATATGATCAACTCCTATCGCTTCCAAATGTATAATTGTGAATGTCAAGAGAGGTTCTCTTCCAGATCTCTGTCGTCGCACCCCTACCCCGCAGATCTCGATACTAATAAGGCTTACGTCTATCGCGCGGCTCATGTCTATTGCCCCTCGACCCACCGGCCGCCCTGGGGTCCACAGCAGGTTGCAGATCTGTCGACGTCGTCGTCGATCCGCTTTGGAATAATCCTCCAGCAAAGGGCATCGACCCATACATGGAAGCGGTGTCACGTAGAAAGATGGGAGAGGTATTGTTGCGGGACTGAGAAGACGATGCCACGCCATGGTTGGACGGAGCGAGACTGAGGGGAAGTGTACCAGGAGGATAGAGGCTTCCGTTGCGTTTGGCAGCTTCTTCAGCTTCGAGTTTGGCACGAGCATCCTTGGCTACGTGTGTCATCTGGGCGCTGGTCAGTCGAGCACGAGTACAGTGTTGCGACTTACGCGAATGTGTCGTCTGCAGTTGGACTGGACGGAAAAGTCTCGAAGACAGATGGGGCAAACGAAGGCTGAGCCGAGGATGAGCTTGGGATGAAAGAGATCAAAAGACTCACGCTTTTCGCCGGTATGGGTATGCATGTGGGTCGACAGGGCCGATGGCCGTGTGAATCGTTTGGCACATATGGCACTAGAGCATGTCAGAGTTGAAAAGGCGAAAAGGGAGGCGCGTACCATGGATGACACCCGCCTTTGGTGACCAGGCCTTCGTCAGACGGGCTCGACGCATTGCTCTCCCTCTTGGGGGCACTCGAGTCATCTCTCTTGGCAACAGTGGATGACGTTTGAACGGTTGCTACGTTCTGGTGAGAGTAATCGAAAGGCAATATCGTCTCAGGCACAGGGTATCCCCATTGATGGTACGACGGCTGGGTAGAAGGGGCAGCGACAGGCGCAAACGTCTCGACAGGGTGGGATGGCCCAGGTGTGCTAGGGACAGGGCTCGACCAAGGCTGTATAGCAGCAGCTGAATGTCGATACTGCCCGACATTCTCCCAGCTGGATGGGTGCGTGTGGTAAAAGGGAAAATGATTCACCTGCTCGCCATGGCGGGCGTTCGAGACCGGGGGGGTAGGAAGGCAAGAGGAAAGAGAGCGCTCGGCGGTGTGCGGAGGCGAGAGGTAGGGTGAGGGTGTTTGGCACCCTCTAGGCGCCGCCTTTGCGCCCTCTGGCATGGTGGGCTGGGTGGAGGGCAGCTGGGGAAGAGACCTGTCGTCAAAGTCACCCGGCTGGGATTGCGGGGAGAGGTAGGGGGCATTGGAGGAGAGGTTGCGGTTGCGGTGGCGCAGGGAGGAGGGAGGAAACAAAAAGTACTGGTGGTCGAGGATGCCGTTGAAGTGTGCTGGGAGGTTGCTGTGGGGCATGACTGGGTACGGGGGAGGGGGTGAGTATGGATCGGAGGATTCTGGGAGTCACTTACTGATCGCTGGTAATGCCCTGAAGAGCTGTCTGCCACAAAGGGACCGGGAGTGGTTGCTGCACAAAGGAGCGGCTGGAGAGTGAGTTAATGAGTAACACGGATGGATGCTGTGATCTGCTGGACGGTGATCTTTCTACAGTGGCGAGAGTCGGGAGTCGGGGAAGAAGAGGATGGAAATCTGAAGGGAATATATAGAATATATAGAATGTCGCGGGATGCTGGGGCAAGGCGGTGGCCTCGCGGCGTGCTTGTCCTTGCAACTCTCAAACACTCGTCGCGCACACGGGAACGAAAGGGGGTGCAGTCCAAGCAGCAGTAGCGCGAGTACCGCCCGCCGGGTACGGGGCAGGCGGCGAGAGGGATGGGAATGTTCGATGGCCACCGGGGGACAGCGTGCAGAAGACGCCACCATCACCGGAGTCAGTCCCCGCCTCCTTTCTCCCCTCGTGCACAGACTCAGCCTCAACTGTCTCCGCCCCATTCCCTGTCCCCCTGTCTGTGCTGCATCGAGGCCGTCGCCACGCAGCATCATTCGCCCGGCCCGCCTATGCATCAGTCTGATATGTCTATTAGCGCTGTCGCCGGGATCCGAGCCATCAGCATGCACTGGCAACATCGGACGGCTCTCGTCAGCCCTGCCCATGCGCCGTTGTGGCCGCATGCACGCGTATACAAACATACGCGGGAGTATCCAATACCAACAAGGTTCATGTTCTGGCATCTGCTACAGCAACATCCATCACTCGTCGTCCCCAAATATCTGCCCCCGCATCAGCTAGAGTTCAGCCTCAATTCCCAGGAACAATCACTCACCTCGAGCAGCGCCCCCTTGCTGCCTGGCTTGCTCGCAAGGAAATTCTTCAGCCCCGCCTTCATGCTCGGCTGCTTCCCCACCACCTCCCGAAGCTGTTCCTTCGGCAGCTGCAGAAGCGCCCCATAGCTCGCCGGCGCAATCCGCTTCGCCAGCATCACAAACCCGTCCCAGAGCTGTCCGTTTTCCCATATCTTCTTCGCCACCAGCTTTGGCAGGATGTGGTTGGCGATGAATGGCGCCAGTGACTTGTACGTGTTGGCCACCTGGATGATGGTCCGCACAAAGATCAGGGGAATGGTGGGCAGGTCCGCAATCCGGTTCATCGCATTCGCCAGGACGTCAGACCGAAACACGGTCGTCATCGAAAAGCACACCTTGACAGCTATCAATCACAGTCAGCGCCGCCTCGTACAGACAAGTAAACCCACCCTCGATGATTTCTTTCAATGGGGCACCGCCTTCCTGATGCAACGCGACCATCAAGTCGGACGGGGTCATTTTCTGCAGCATCGAGGCAAACGCCGTCTTGACCATGTCCTTCGTCTCGGGGTCCACCAGCATAGACACAATTTTAGGCAGCTGCTTTTCGATCTCGGCCTGCATACTCGTTACTCGTGGCCTGACGCGTGTAGAGAAACTCACCTTGTCCAGCTCGCCCACGATGGGTATCACAAACTTGGGGTCCAGCTCTCTCTCTGCCAGAACGCTCTTGACGAGGGATACCAGTACCTGCCCCGCCCCTTCCGCACTGAGCACACCGATGACACGCATGACCAACTGGTCGGCGCCAGCGGGAAACTTTTTCAGAATCTCCATCAGCTTGGGGGTAGCTCCCAGAGATTGGATGAGGGGCATCAACTGCTCCTCGACGGCCTTTTGCACCTCGGGGATGAGCTGGGGATAGATTTTGAAAATGTCGTCGAGTAGACTTTGCTGACGTTTGGCGAGCGCAAAGGCCAGCTCGACGTGCTGCTGCACAGTGCGCGCGCTCGGCTGTTCCAGGTATCTATCGATTGACCCTTCCTCTTTCGGCTGCTCTTCCTTCATTTCGACGTCCGTCTCGGCAGATTCACCGATTTGCTCCTCGGTCTCGGCTTCCCCGCCCTCCTCTTTCACTGCCTCGTTCTTTACCTCCGGCTTAGCCTCAACCAACCTCCAGAGCACGCTCAGCGCATATTTTGTGATGATCGGCATCATGGGTGAATTTTGGCCCCATCGCCGGACGGTCGTGATGATTGCCATCACACGGATCTTTCTATCCGTGTGGGTGCACAGAGCTAGAAGCGTCTGCAGAGCCTGCTCTCGTACGGGAGGACGCGATTCGACAATATCACGCAGCACCGTAAAGCCCACGACGGCCCTTTCGGAATCCTGGCAAACGTCTGCGAGAATGTCGATAAGGGAAGGCGGGATGGCAGGGAGGTTCTGGATAAATGTCGCCAGATACTTGTCTTTGGGGTCGACTTTGGGGAGGTATACCGATACGATGGCCTCCAGATTCGACAGATACTGCCTCGGCTCCGAGACCCCGATCCTCTCATTGTACCACTCCTCATTCAACCACACGGACGCAAACTTGGACCGGTTTGCGAAATCCGCAAGAACAAACTCGGAAATGGTCTTTCTTTTGACCTCTGCACCTCTTGTCGCCAGCCGGGCGAGCAACAGCATCCACATTTCTTTCGGCTGAATTGCAGTCTTGGCCGCATCTGTTTCTTTGGGATCGGGTAGACTTGCGAGATCGGCGCCCGACTGCCATATCCGTTCGATGGTATTGGAAAGAATGTAATCCTTATCTGACGGATCGAGAGGTTCTGGAGGCGGCAAGACAAAATCGGTGAATGCCGTTGGCTCTTCTTCTTCAATAGCGAGCTCTGGGTCGTCCATCTACGACGCGTCAGCCACAGCCATCTTGAAAGACGACTCACCATGAGCAAGTCATCATCATCATCTTCGATATCCAACGGGTTGACAATTTCCTCATCTTCCGCCTTGACCTCGCCGGCAGCCCCTACCCCTAATGGAGAGGCCAAAAGTGGTTGCGCATCCAACGAGCCTTCTCGTAAAGCTTGCCTTGCATTCTATCGCCACGGTCAGCATTGCTTTCTCACCACCTAAAGAAAACTTACTTCAAGCGCCGAGACAAGCGTCTGCGAGCTCACCGACCTCAGCCCGCTAATGACAGTCTCCACCACCTCCTCCACCCCCATCCCACTGATATCGACAACCGGCCCCTTCCCAACGCCGCTACCAACGCCCCCTGCACTGCCCTCCAGCCTCGCTCTCTTTGCCGCCTGCTCGCTCGACTCGGGATCCACCCCAGCTGGAGGTTCCATGGGATGCTTTGTCCCCCGGCGTCGCTCCTTGCGGGCAGTAGCTTCCTCCACAAAGGCGTCCTCCATACGTTTCTTTTGCCTCAACAGGGCATCGTTGAGCTGAGCAGCGTGCGAAGCGATGGGAGGGTGGCGTATGAGGTGGGTCATTGCTATTCTGACAGTCTTTTCCACCGCTCGTATTTCAATGGCGGGACGACCCGCGGCGGCCATCGTGTTGGGCTTCCAGCTCGCCAGTGAGTGGACGACAAGCGGCGCGATCGACTGGCGCATCTTGGCGAGAGACGGAAAGGAATTGATGATGGGGTGAAGGATGGCAGGTTCCGTTTGTGTGTAGAGTGCAGTGACCAGCTCGGTCTGCAGTTTTTTACCTTCTTGGTCAATCTCGGCTTGCGACAGGATGCCAGTCTGCGTGATGTGGGAGATGTTGGTGTCTGTGACCGAGGACCCTCGTGATTGTAGCTGCAACAAGGATCAGCCAACGATCACGCAAAGGGAATCAACTCACTCGAGGATCGCCAGAAGTCGCAGGTTTCGTAGCAGCCAAGATGACTTTTTGAACAAACTTCCATGCCACCGCCCGCACACCAACATTGCCAGACTGACCCGACTTGTTCAGAGCAAAATCAATGATGGTTGATTTCATGTCATTAAACATTTGCAGGATCGATGCTTGCGTATTGGAAGTAGCGAGGATGCCAAAGAGGACGGGGTAGATTGTCGAGAGGATGGGGATGACGGCTTTCAGAGTAGGAATCGAGCCGGTATGAAGGAGCTGCAATAGACGCGGGAAGCAATGCAGTGTCACTAGAGATGGTGAGCCAGTGTTTCGCTCAGGCAAAGTCTACTTACCGAGTTGCTTGACATCTCCACTGAGTCCACCCCTCCCCACCGCGAGATGGATCATGTCGAGCGTCCAAAACCTCAAGAGCGAGTCGCCGCCTTCGCTGATGAATCCAAGAAACTGGGGGAGAAGCTGTGGCAGTCTTTCTGGGTGTTCCTCGAACCTCTGGGCAGCGAGAAGCAGGGTGTCACGCTGGTGTGCGGACTCTGGCTCTGCGGCGAGGGCGGCATTGAAGAGCTGCTGGGGGTCTGTGGGGGGATGAAGGGCGGGGTCATCGTCTGTGTCCTGGAGGGCGAGGGCCTTGGTGGGGTCGTCGTCTGCGTACAGCGACATGGTGCTATGGTGCTCTCTTCAGGAAGCAGCCCAAGAATGTACAGTGAGTATATGTCTAGTTTGCTCCCGGGCGGACATCCCCGCGCCAGCGCCTCCCCGCGCATCACCTCTGACATTGCGCTGTCGCCTCCGTCCACTCCTTTCATCTCTCATGAATCATCCAGTCATCATGGTGAGCGCTGACACGGAAGCACGAGGAACTGCCCGAGCTGACTATCTGCAGGCCGCCAACTCTCAAGGTATCCAGACCCTGCTCGAAGCCGAGAAGGAGGCTTCCAAGGTCGTTCAGAAGGCCAGGCAGTGTACGTCCTATCTACAGCGTTACCCAAGACGCCTGGCGATTTTGAAAGTCTACTGATCGATTGATACCACAGACCGAGTCCAGAAGTTGAAGGACGCTAGATCCGAGGCTGCCAAAGAGATCGAAGCGTACAAGGCGAAGAAGGAGGAAGAGTTCAACAAGTTTGAATCAGACGTGAGTGGATATCTCTGATACCTGTCTGCCTGTGTATAGCACATATGTAGCGGACCCTCATTGCCCTCCGCACGGACCCTGGCTGACCTTTTTGTATGTAGCACACGTCCCAAACCACCTCCTCTCAAACCAACATCGACAGCACCACCAAGACCCAGCTCGCCAACCTCGACTCTTCAGTTGAAAAGAACAAGGGCGAGGTCATCAAGAAGATTGTCGAAAGGGTCCTTCAGAGTGATCCCCATTTGCACCCCAATCTGAAGAAGATTGAAGCCTAGGCGGACAGTGTAGTGAAGAGATTTGTATGGTATATGAATGTGACGCGATTGTATGCGCAAAGCCAAGAGGAAGAAGCATACATGGTAATCACTACATTGCTGATCTACTCTTCCATCTCCACATCCTCGGTCTCGCCCTCCTCCTCGTCCCCGATAGCAGGCACGACGCCCTTCTTCTCCAACTCTTCCAAAAGCTCCGCCACATGTGCTCCAATCCCCTCATCCAGATAGTCCTCATCGGTAAACAGTTTGGCGCATTCTATGAGCGAACGCATAGCTTCAGACAAACACTCTTCTGCAGACATGGGCTCCTCGCTTTCGTCTCCTTGTCCTTCTTCCTTGGGCGCAGACGGGGGCACTTGTAAAAGAGCGGGGTTCTCAGTGATAGCCTCGGCTCGAAGATAGAGTGCCCATCCCTCGAGGTAGGCACCCTCGACGAGCAATGTGTCCTCTTCGCGGATGGTGGAGATAATGTCAAGGGCTGGAAGGTGTTCGCCGTGTTCAAGCAGCAGGCGGGAGAGCGCGAGCCTGACAGGTACAGGTGGTAGTATGGGGTCGACTGGTAGACGGTCAGATGTAGTCGCGAGGGATATTGCAAGACTTACAGGGCTCACGTCCCTCGAAATCATTGTACAAAGCAATGGCGACCTCCTTGGCCTCGTCGAATCTGGATTGTGACATCCTGATACTTGCCAGGGAGAGACGTGCTTCCGGGTCATTGGGAAGCACAGAGAGTGCGCGGCTGATCAAGGCGTCACAATTTCGCTCGGCAGCCTCCTCCATGCTATCGAATGTCAGTCGAGGTCACGCGGCACAGATATGACATACCACAAATCTGACATCCAAATCTCAATCATTGCAACCAACGCATTCACCACCGTCTTTCTCTCCTCGTCTTCTTCCGCCTCCTGTCCGTCCTCGGCCACCTGACTTTTCCCCTTCTGGTCCTTCTCTCCTATTCTCTTCTCCAGCATCGCGGTAGCAGTCGTGTAGTATCCCAGGGCCTCTTGAGGATCTTGAGCACATTGTGCGAGATAGAGATAGGGAGAAGCATGTTCCGGGGCTTGGGGTGTATGGGGAGGAAGGAGCTCGAGGAGGTGCTGCCGGCCGACGTCTGGGTCGCCAGCTTCGAGCTCGGCGATACCGACTAGCTCCCTGGCCTCGAGATTCTTCGGGTCAATCTCGAGGACGCGTTCGAGGAACTTGATGGCCAGCTCAAAGTTTGATTGACCCAGGAGGATGTGGGCCTTTTCTATGCCGGAATGAGCGAGAGGAGGGAGGAGGGAGGGTGTGCTTACCGATGAGGGTGGCAGGGTCGTACTGGTGGACCTGGGCGGGGGAGGGGGCGGCGGCGGATGCCTTGTTCGACTTTTTGGACCTGGCCATGGTGCGAGTGCTGGTGTTGTTCTCTGAGCGTCATTCTCAAAAATCGCATCGGGACGTGACTGGGTTACGTAAGAGGAGGCCGGCGGCTGTGCCTGAGGAGGAAAGCCGTCGAGCGCGTCAGGCTGCGCGTTGCTGCCTCGGTGTCTCTGCGTCAATTGCCTCTTCCTTCAGCGAGCCACACGCCATGCCTGCAGACTACTCGGACGCTGAGGCCTACGAGCTGCCCCCTATCTCCCGCTCAGCCAAACGCTACAGCCAAGAACAGCCCAGTCTCGACGACCGAGAAGACGCTAGGTTGCTTGATCCCGAGGCAGCCGACAAGGATCTCGAGGGAGACTTGGACGAGGACCCAGCATCATATATACGGTGGACACAGGATGAAGAGGTGGTGGGGAAGGGCGGAAAGGTGGAACAGCTGATAGCAAAGGCAAGTATGTCCTTAGTTGTCAACGGACGGACTGCTAGAGCTGACCTTTGTAGACGGTGCCATCTCATGACGATCCATCGCTACCGACTCTGACACTACGCGTGCTGCTCCTCGGCATCTCCTTCTGCGCGTTAGGAGCTTGTGCCTCTCAAATCTTCTACTTTAAAAGCAACGCCCCTTCCTTTTCATCCTACTTTGTCATCCTGGCAACGTATCCGCTGGGTCATCTGTTGGCAAACGAAAGGTTGATACCAAGAGGCAAGACGATATTCGGGTGGCAACTCAACCCTGGCAAATTCAGTATCAAAGAAGCGATTCTCGTCAGCGTGCTCTCATCCTCGGGGGCGTCTTCGGCCTATGCTGCTGATATTCTTGCCATCATGGACCTCTATTTCGACATGCCCCTCTCACGCATTCCCTCCATTATGCTCCTTCTGACCACTCAGTGCATAGGCTTTGGTCTTGCTGGCAAGTTGATTACACGCCGTATAACCCAGCTGACCATTCACAGGAATGCTTCAGAACATCCTCGTTTCCCCTCCCGCCATGTACTGGCCTTCCACTCTTGTCACTGTCCAGCTCTTCACCACTCTCTACTCTTCCACCTCGGTCTCTCTTTCTTCCGCCCAAAAGCTCCTCACCCGCTCCCGCCTTCGCCTCTTCATGTTTGTTTTTCTCGTCATCTTCCTCTACCAATTCCTCCCCTTTCTCCTCTTTCCAACCCTGACGAGCGTGTCGGTGTTGTGTCTGGTGAACAATGAGAGCTGGTGGTTTAGGACACTAGGGAGTGCCTATTCGGGGCTGGGGATGGGCGATTTCAGTTTTGATTGGAGTAGCGTGGGGTCGTCAGGGCCATTGTATACGCCTTACTGGGCACTGGGCAATTACTTTGGAGGGCTTGTCGGGATGATCTGGGTTGTAAGTGGGATATTGGCAGACGACGCTCATCAGCGCAGATCATTCCTATCATCTTGTTTACCAACTTTTGGAACGCCCGAGACTTTCCCACACCGGTCTCTGCAGGCTTGTTCAACTCTACATTCCAGAAATTCGACGTCACCTCCATCCTCAAGCCTGACCTGTCCCTGGACGAAGTGGCGTACGAGATGCAAAAGCCTTTGCTGCTGACACCATTCTTGTGAGAAGGTCTTGATGGATAGGTAGAATCAGACTGACGACCATACAGTGCGCTAAGTTATGGGATATCGTTCGCAGCGCTCTCGAGCGTGCTGGTTCACGTATGGCTTTGGCACAGAGATGAGATCAAAGATGGTATCTAGAAACCACCACAAGGTTTCGAAGCTAACGACCACTTAGCGCTTTCCGATCGCACAGAACTGAACGACGCGCACAAGTAGGCTCCCTTCGGTCTTTCCCACCCGATACTGATGTTTGTATAGCAAACTGATGCGGGCCTATCGAGCTGTACCGTCATCTTGGTATCTGGGTCTCCTTGCTGTCAACTTTGGCGCTGCAGGTAAGGTTTTCCCCGCCAGAAGACCCGGACTGACACACCAGTAAAGTGATACTGGTCAAGACTACACCTCTCCAGATGCCCATTTGGGCCCTGATGCTAGCCATGGCTATCGCTACTGTAGGTCGTGACTATTGGTGTCTGAAAATGGGCTGATGGGGTCATAGGTTTTCCTTGTCCCGTGAGGTGCCAATGTATATTGCAAAAGTCTACCGAGCTGACTCGCAAAAGTGTCGGCATTATTACGGCTGTCAGCAACACACAGATCGGCTTGGTAAGTCTTACAACTCGTGCTCGCTAGTCCACTGACAAGCAGCATAGAATGTCCTCACAGAATTGTTGGTAGATACGGAACGCCGAGACCTCAAAATTGACCGTGGTGTAGTGTAGCAGGTATCTTGATGCCTGGGAAACCCGTCGGCAAGTGAGTGCAGGTGCGACGAACAGATGGCCAGAGCTCATCCCAATCAGCGTCACTTTCAAATGCTATGGCTGTTAGTGAATCGATCATGACGCTGCCGTGACTGATACACCTACAGACATGGCAATGAGCCAAGCTTTGGCCCTCACGTCCGACCTCAAGCTCGGCTGGTACACGTCGATTCCCCCTCGCGAGATGTTTTGTTGCCAGATCATTGGCACAGTTGTAGGTGCCCTTGTCAACTACGCCACCCTCGAGTCTGTCCTCTCCTCCAAGCGCCCCTACCTCACTGGCGCCCTGGTCGACCCAACAGCGCAATGGACAGGAAGGGCTCCATCGATCTTTTATTCGGCAAGTATCATTTGGGGAGCGGTGGCGCCTGCGAGATTCTTTAGTGGAGGGTATGAGGTGCTATATCTTGGGTTCTTGGTGGGAGCGGTTGTACCAGTGGGGCTATGGCTAGCGCATCGAAGGTGGCCGAGGCACAAGCTGAACAAGGTCGTGCTTCCCATCATTTGCAGTGGAGCCACAGTCATCCCGCAGTAGTGAGTCCTCGCCCAGCATCTCTGCTCCTGACTGACTCTGCCTAGCCCGACCAACATCATTCTCACCTCGCTCCTTACCGCAGTCTTTGTCAACTCTTGGTTCGCCAAACGATATCCCCAAATTCACTCTCAGTATATATACGTTATATCCTCTGCCCTCGACGCAGGCACGTCTATCACTGCGCTAGCCATCTACATTCTCTTTGGGGGAGTTTTGTGGAATTGGCAGGGGTGGGAGTGGTGGGGGAATTCAGGCGTGGATTCTGAGCACTGTGTGCCGGGAAGTTGAGCGGTCATAAGATATGCATCAGTCTGTGTAAAAGTATGCATAGTATTGAGCATTGCCCAAGTCACATCAGGACCAAGATATCATGTGCGCGTACTCTACGTCCTCGCGTCTGTGTGCCGCAGAGAGAATAGCACTGAGCGAGCGAATGACCCGTAGAGATCTGGAGATAGCCCAGGACAGATAAAGCCATTGAAAGGCGTCGCTGACAATAGATCGCTTCCCACAATGACAGCCCAGCAATTCCAGGGCCAGACGCGCTTCCTTGCAACCTGCTTGCAACCGTCTCCGCAGTGGGCAGATCAGCTGGCATGTGTGATTACATGAAGTGCATGCATCGCCGGGCCATGCACTAGCGGTGGGGTGTGCCCCGGGTGGAGCTGCATGTATAAAGCGCTCGATGCATAGAAACCCGGACCACGTAAGAAAAGTGGTTGTTGTGGGCGGTGGAAAGTCCACGTCAGCGGGCCCCTGTGTCCTTGCTGCTTGTGGCTGTTGCGGGAGGAGGCCTCTTGCTTTGCTTGCATCTTCTGTCTATCCCTGCCTCCCTCTCCCTCTCACCGCCCCCACAGCGCCACGAGCCCACAACAGCCCACGCCTCCACGCCCCACCGCCCCTGGCTCGTGCGACGCCCCCAGCCCCCTCCCGCCCCCCTCACCCCGAGCAGCCCTACACCCCTTCCTCTGCCACTGCTCCAGTAGCGCTCTCCAACGCCGACCCACAGTCTGAAAGGGAGGCGGCACGAAAACCCTCAGCCGCCTTGCATCCCGAGCGCCCGCACGCCCGACCCTGTGCCAAGATGTCCAACAGTGAAGTGTCAGACCAGGAGATCAAACGTGAAATTCAGACCCTACGGTGAGCCCATTGCTATCAGACTCGACACTGTTTCACTACTAATGCCCCGACGAAGAAACCTTCGCCGACGATCCATCACTTCCGCTGGCCCGGGCGCGCTCCCACTAGACCCTGACCTTCCGCCCCCTTCCCCCAATCACCAACACGAGCACCAGCCCGAATACTCGTCCAACGACGATGTGACACTCTCTTCCAGCGACGGTCTCGACGGCGAAGGTTTGTTTTGGGTTCCCGCGCATATCCATCCCGAACTCGCTCCCGGGGAGTTTCGCGCATTCCTGAAATCGCATACCTCGTCCGACCCGACCCACGCGGACGCAAATGACGCTGGCGATGCTGAAGGTCTGGCTAGGTCGTCGTCGTGGCTATCTAGAAACCCCTCAAGGCGCTCGGAGGGCCTGGGAAGGAAACGGTCTATGTTGAGTAGGCAATATCAGCCCAAGGCGGGTGATAATGTCGAGGAAGAAAGGCCACCATTGCCTAGCAGACGCCCTATGAGCATCTATGGTGGCAGGTCGGGAGAGAAAGGGTTGACATTGCAGGATCTGCAAAAGCTGGAGCAGTTGGTAGACGAGACGGATGAGACGGATGACCCCGAGGATATGAGAAGGCTGTTGAGAAGAAGCTTGAGCATGAATGTCGCCCCCGGATGTGAGTCACCCATACAATCTCGACGGGATTGCTGCTAACGACTGTACAGTCCTCCAAGACGATGTTCCCTTGCCAGACGGCTCAGAAGCCCCTCTCGTCGCGCCGCGACCAGGCTCCATTCTTCGTCGATCAGCACGTACCAAGATTCGCAAAGCTGGTCTGCAGGGCGACGGTGGTGGTCATCGCTTCGCCGCTACTAGAAAAGGTCGTACAACTGCTGCTCCCCAGGTCGAGATTCCCGGTCTGGAAGACGACGACTATGGATCCCCAGGGGAGTCGCCTCACCGAGGCAGCGACGAGAATACGAGCTACGAAGGTGATGAAAAGTATCACGACGCTCAAGATATAGAGCGTAGACACTCGGATGACTCTACGGACGAAGCCTACATCTTTGATGCCTACGCGCACGAGCCGATGGAGAGCTTGTCTTCTTCGTCACATGACCATTCCACCTCGACATCACCGAGCCCTGAGCGATCTCCCCCTCAGAAGAAACTGTCACTCCCCCCTATCTCTGAGCCCACGGACTGGTTCTCCGAGCACGAGCGCACACCAACTGCCGACAATACCGTGGCCTCGGGAATGGACAACCTTTCACTTGGTGACCCTGTGACACCTACGCAGCGATCCACTATGTTGCCCAACGAGCACGAACTTCCTCCTGGGATGGCCCCTCCTCAACAGCGAATCAACCTTTCCCCTGCTGCCCCTGCTGCTCCCCCTGCCCCTCCTGCGCCCGCTGCTACTCCTGCACCCGCTGCTACTCCTGCACTTGCCCCCATCTCCACAACCAAATACGAACCTCCAACTCTCACAAGGACCGATACTGGTCTTTCCACGAGCAGCACAGTTACCAAGGAGAAGGAGAAAAAGAGCAAACTCTTTGGACGGAAAAAGGAAGACAAGGAGGACAAGAAGAAGAAAAAAGATAAGGACAGGTTCCTTGGTTCGCTCTTTGGTGGAAAGAAGAAGCAGGAAGAGCCCAGTCCGGTATCCAGCTTTTCTGCCGACGGGCGAGCTGCTGCCGCCGCCTTGCTGGGTAGTTCAAAATCTGCAAGGTCGGCTGGCATGCCACCTTCTCCGTCACCCGCTTCTCCCGGCTTCCAAAGTTACGCCCGATATCCCATCCACGTTGAGAGAGCAGTCTATCGCCTCTCGCATATCAAGCTTGCCAACGCTCGCCGTCCTCTGTATGAGCAAGTACTCATTTCAAACTTGATGTTTTGGTACTTGGGTATCTTGGGGAGAAATGTGACGGAGGAGAAGAAGGCAAATGCGGAAGAGAAGAAGGAGGAGGCGAAACCTGTGGCCAAGGGTACTCCGCCAAAGCCTGCTGATGTTGGTACGGCCGCCAAGCCAGGGCAGGTCATACACCGACCCCCTTTGCAGCCCATCAACACCACCCCTCACATCGAACCTCAGCTTTCATCTCCCTCCCCCCAGTCTCCGGCAAAAAAGGCGGGCCTGATCAAGCCAGAGAGATCGAGGGATGGGCGAAACAGCGAGGCGGCTGTGAGGACGCCACAGTATGGGGTTCAGACGGCACAGGTAGAGCAGGAGGTGAGACATGCGCAGATGAAGCAGCAGCCTACTCAGGCGCAGCCGCCTATGCGCTCTCATTCGCCTCACCCGCCTCCGTCCCAGTCGCAGTCGCAGGCTCAACCTGCGTATCAGGCCAATCACGCGCCTCAGCAGCAGCAACACCATGTCCAGCAGCAGAGGTCGGTGACGCCGAGTGGACCGGCCAGAACAGTCTCGCCACCCAGCCCTGGGATGAATGGGCCGAGGTCTCCAGAGGGAAACTATCACAGGGAGATTCCTAGCGCGGCTCGGGGCGTTCCCCAATCGTCCTTTGGTCCTCCCCCTCCACCTCAAGGACTGGATACAAGCAGGCAGCGCACGCTATCGAACCCCAACCTCGGTACACCCGTTCCGGTACAAGGAGGCCAACAAAGACGGGTGGTCACCGAGGGTCGCTCTCCTGTCGACGCTTCAAGGTCCCATCATGGTGCCCACACCGGGCCCCAACCGGGTCAATTGTTCCAATACCCAGGAGGGGCCCAGGGACAAACGCAGGGCCAAGCTGTCGGCCCGGCTTCTCCCTTTCCTCCACGCCCTTCTCAATCCCCGGGGCCCCAGCCTGGTCAGGTCTATTCGCGCTCGCCTCCTCCTCTGAATGCCCAGCAAGGTATGCCTCCTCAGCCTGGCCAGATCTTCCAGCATCCCCATCACCAGCAGCAACAGCATCAGGGCCATCCTTCTCAGCAACGCTACCCCCAACAAGGATATGGTAGACCTTTGCCACCTACGGGGCATCAGTCGCAAACACCAGGGCAACAATGGGAGCCTCCTCAGCGTTTACCTCCTGGTGCTAGTCCGCCTCAGTGGGCCAGTCCGGGCTCACAGAGACCGCCTGCTCAGCAGAGCGGACAGTACGATCCGAGGAGGACATCACCTCAAGGTGGATACCCTCCTCAGGCGGCAGGACAGGCGATCTATGGGGCACAGGGGTCAGCGCCTTCTCAGGGGCGACCGGTGGTGGTGCAGCAGGGGCAGGGGTACCATCATGGAGGAGAGTACGCACATCATCGGTGATGAGACGGGCTTGGGGAGAAGAAATCGATGTTTGGGACCATGTACGAGAAGGCGTTTTACGTGTTACGTTTCCATTCTAGATAGTAGCATTTCCTGCATTCGGAAAGATAGTGACGAGAGAGACGTGACGAGAGATACAAGTAAAGTAGAAAGATCATCAGACGAACAATCCCTTTTCTATCGTTTTTCATACATATGGCGCCTTTTGTATTTGTGCAGCATTCCTGTCGGCTGAAGATCAAAGAGATGGACACTCTTGCATGACTCAATTACTATATATACCAGTGACATTACAGTGCCATGCATAGCAAGCGGATTTATGATTGTACACAGGACATGTCGATCGTCAATTAGAGCCTCAACGAATTGATATACTGCGCCCTTGCAATAAACTACATGAAGACCACCCTACAGCCTATTGTATCTCGATTCCTCAACCACATCCGCTCTCAATCTGCTGACATACGAGGGAGGGGACGAATCGTCCCCAAAAGCCGAGAGTGTCACGCCACTTGCGTCGGCCATTCCACCTGGTTTGATCAGTTCCTGCCCGTTGAAGGCTACTCGGCCTTGTAACGGATTTGATGAATTAGATTCGGTATAGGCTTGTGACACCTTCCTAGGGCTCTGATGAGGATCAGACAAGTCATCGCCCAAAAAGTGCGAATCATTGACTGGTAACGGGTAGGTAGAGACTGGAGGCATTGAGGCCGGCAACTCGGTCTCCAGTTGGAATGGAAAGCTTCTGGCTGTATACACTGTAGACGTAGCATACTTGAAAGGATCACTGGCCCTCACTGACCGCCTCCCACCCTCTCCACTCTCGCTTCCCGAGTAAGAAGAAGCTCGCGAATAGATGGTAGATGTGGCAGAGCGGTATCGGTTCAATGGGGACTCTGAATTGAGCTTTGTCATTGGCGCCTGGTAACAAGGTGGAGGATAGCGGGTCATGGAGGGCCGCTGCATAGGAGACGCCAGCGATTGGCCAACGTCTTCAGCTGACGGAGGCTCAGCGATAGATTCAGGATGCCGTGGCATCTGCATCTCATCTACCAGCGGCGGCTGTTTCCCTTCCATCTGGGTGTCTTCCTGCCGCTCTTGGTATTGAGGCTGTACCGTGAGACGAGGAACAGGTGGGTCCAGCATTGTCTCCCACGGGACAAAATCAGAGTCACGGGGCGGTGCAGAAAAGCTGCTCGAACGCTTTGCGATATCAGCCGGCTTCCGTTTCTGAGGCTCATAGACCAGCGAGTTGCTAGAGGCATAGTACTTGGCTCCGCCGCCGATTGCAGAACCTTCCTCTTCGTCCACGGGGCGTCGGAGTCGCAGCCACGAGGCATAGGCGCGGGTGATGTAAGGGTCAAAGAGCAGAGAAAGTAGAAGGATTGGGGCAGGCAGACCTTTCAGAGTGGTCAGCAAGGGACCGGAAGAGGATTACATGACGCACCTTCGAAACATCTGGGCCACCATGCACCATTCCAACCTTGGACCTGCTCCAAAATCAAGTAGACCACACACCCGACCAAACATACAAAGAGAAAGCAGGCTTGAGCCCAGTGGCGAGCTTGGGGTCGCACAGTAGCGGAAGGGTGATCTGCTGTGGCAATCAGAGCAGTGAACAGGAGAAAAGAAGCCACAAGAGCCACAACAAGGGGCCCAGAAAAGGCGATGATACGGACTGCTCATTAATCCGATGCAAGTCAGAAGCAAGGTGATGACTCACGGACTCGCATCCAGCTGGCTTTCTCCCGGCAGTAGTAGCCCCACCATATGCCAAACCCGTCGGGCACATCAAAGCCCATTGATCCGGCTATAGCCAAGGTCGGTACCAGAGGGATTAGAGCGTATACGTGAGCGAGACCAATGCAGATCGCATTGCGGGTTTTGGAAGGGCGAGGTGGAGAGGGAATGGTCACACTTGGCGTCAAGACGTACTTGTACTTGGGCCCGACGTTCAGCGTCGTGACAGATATATGGCGTGCCGTAGACTCACGATCGCTACGATAGGCAAGTGTGCCAAGAGCAAGGTTCCAAGGTAAAGAGAAAGCATTGAATCCAAGTCGCACAGTATCTCCAGCATCTCCGTGCTGACCTTCATGATCATCTGATCCAAAATGGTCACACCCCCCTTCACGACGACCACTATAATGAGAGATATAGTGGGTACACTAGGGCGAAGACGTTGAGGGATACCAGTCATTCTAGAGGGGAGAATATAGGCTGGAAGAATGAGAAGGAGAAGGGCAGCTGATACCTGAGATACCACTGTGCTTGCTATGAGTCATAGATCCAAGATGGACGAAAGTCCTCACAAAAGTATACCTGTTGGCTAGTATCGATGAGGGCCATGTTTTCGCCTCGGCTCTCGCTGCTGATCCATCAATCAGGTATCCCCGAGTTTGGAGACAGAGCTTCTAGGGTGTCTGAAGAGTGAGACAGCGAGATCGGATGGAGAGATGGGGGCTGAAATGACAGTAGTCGATATTTCTAGCTGTCACGACTCTGCTGTAGAGGGTAATGGGGTCGTCAAGTCGACTCTGTCGATATGAATGGAACGGCTCGCTATGAAATCCAGACTTTGCGAGTATGATCCGATGAGAAGATATAAAGAGTGGAGGTGGTCAGTACAGTAGGATCCCGGAAAAGAAAGACAATGCCAGTCAAAAGGGGTTGCGATATGACCCGACATCTCTACAGGGTAAGCAAGAACCTGGCACCGTTGTCTGTCGACTGTCGAGCAGCAGAATCTAGAATTTAGGGACAAGTCGACGCTTAGGCCTGTGGGATGAACGTATGGGTGCGGTTGTGAGGTTGAGCCTGACGACTGGAAATGAGTCGACTGCGCGGCGATAGAAATTGATCATGTATGAAAAGACCGAAAAGAGTGGCGGGATATAATACACTGGTCGCCGTGGATCCGTCTGGAGAGATCCCACAGCTTGTCAGGACAGAGGGAAGATCGTTGAGAGAAGCCAAAGAGAAGCAGGCAAGAAGAGAGCAAAAGAGGATCAGGAGAGCAGTAAGTATCCGTAATTACTTGGTTAATAAAGAGCACGCACCCATCTCTTCAGATAGAGCTGAGATGCAAGTGAGATTGTCCTCTTGCTCATCCCTCCCACACCATGTCCACTGCCCCATTCTCCGAAGACGCTCTGAACCGGTACCGTATAGCGCACCCAGACAGAGACCTCAAGCCGCTCCTCCGCCGTCTCCACCGCACCACGGTTCCCTCGACCTCCGGTGATGACTCTTCCCTCGAAGCCCACCTTCTCCATCTCGAGCTCCTTAAATGGAAATCCACCATAGAGCGTATTACTGGATCAGTCACAAACCTTGACAGGCAGAAGGAGGAGTACACCAGGCAGGCTGAGGGGCTCAGGGAGAAGACGGAAGGTATGAAAGAGGTCCTCGAGAGAGAGAAGAAGGAATTGGAGAAAGCTAGGATGAACAGGGACCACAGGGCGAAATGCAATGAGCTAGCGTCTATGATCAAGTCCAGAGGGAAAGGAAGAGACGAGCTGGATGCGTGAGCTAGCAATTGACATACTGCGATCCATACTGACTCGGAATAGCGAGATATCGACCGTCCAGACCTCTCTAGAAGAGCAACGGGCCTCTCACGGCATCTATGCCCAGGCGGCCCAGGCGCGAGCAGATACATTCACACAAATATCAAAACTTGTCGAAGAATGTCGAGGGATCAAGCTCCCTGTCGACCCCACGCTGGCCGCAGTGGCAGTCGAAAAGGAAGACCCTCCCACAATCATTACCTCAGCCCCAAACAACGTCACATCATCAGCCCCTTCCTCTAGCGGACCTCCTTCCAGCGGCGCAGCTCCAAAGCTGAGCGCAAATGCGCCGATCTTCCATCCACCTGCCAAACTCTCTGTTCCCTCGCACGAATTGCCAAATCGTCCATCGGCGTCTCCTATATCGTCCGCTAGCAATGGTCGAAATAGCGCGAGACCACCCTCCTATTCTTTGCCCCATAGGCCATCGGGTATGCGGACGTCTTCGACGCCAGCTGGTGCCGGGAACGGGAGACGAGGAGGGGGGCTGGAGGACGGGGAGGTTGGCGAAGAGGGCGAGCTAAGTGAAAGGAGCAATTCTGGGGGCGGAGGCAAACGGGCACGAGAAGGAGACGGGGGCGGTAAACGAAGCACCAGGCGGAGGAGAGATTAGAACGTTGGTGTGATGTCTTATCGCCATGTATGAATAGTAGCCCAACACAGCTATAATCAACTGCCATCGAATCGTCCAACGTATATGTCAAATGGGGTCATTCATCATGATCGCAATCTCAGGACTCTCCACACATTTTACAAGCCCAAGGACAGTCAAAATGAACTTGCCGGGATCTCTGGCGGGGTGCGCCGCCAGCAACACCGACGGCCACTTGCGCGCCTGTCTCTGTGTCTCTCCTGTATCTCGCCATGTCTCGAGCGGCGCCTCGGCCCCCGTCCGCCCTCCATGAAGCAGTCAACCCCCCGCCCGCACGCCGCCTCGCCACCATCCTCTCCTTCCCCGCCCTCTTTCTCCTCGCCATCCCCTTTTGGTGGTATACAACTTCCATCGTCCGACTGCCCCTTCCCGAGTCCAGAATAGAGCACCTCAGTAGCACACATGTGAGTCGAACCCATCGTCACTCGATGCTCGCTCAAACGCCCCAAGCTACCTACACCCCACGCCCAGATACTCTTCACAGCCGACCCCTCTGCGTTCCCTGCCTCACCGCCTGGCCGTCACCAATACGAAACGAAAGAGATACTCCAGAGCCTCGGGAGAGAAGTCACGAAGGGCGTCGACGGGATCTATGCTCGAAAGCCGGAGAAGGAGAGAGATATTCGGAGGTGGGATTTTGTCTACACAGGTGCGTGCTGCTACGAGTCCTTGCAGAGTGGCTCATGTGCAATCTAGGTGATCAAGAGGCGCAAAGAACGCCCCTTAGAGTACATCTCAGACGCTGGGAGTATGCTAATAGCTCGTTTCCACTTGAGCCCTACGTGCAACCGGCCGAGAGTGGGCTGGTGACTTCGGGCATTCCGGCAGGGACGCTGGTGGTGCCAGTGCATCCAGAGCAGGTGGGAGACCGCAACTTGAAAGGCCAGTCTTCGACTTGCTGAAAGGCAAACTTATTAACACGCCAATAGTACACTACAAGATAGCATTGATCAATTCGATTCTATCTGTCTTTCCTCCCAATCCTCCCGACTTGCCACTCAGAGCCCTGAAATACACTCCCAATATAACCTTGAGCTTTGTCCTACTGAACGAGGATGCCACTGAAGGGAGCTATGTAAGGGGGTGGGATATCGATCAGGCTATCAAAGGTGCGTATACCTCGCAGGTGGCAGGCAGTCGCTGATCCGTCCCTCAGATCACTTTCTGGCTCATCTGGAACCGCTCAGACCAGTGTTCAACTTTGCCATCGAGTCCCAGATCTTATTTCATGCCCCGCTCAGCTTTGAGCCTCACTTGGGACTCATACCCGAAGAAGAACAGAATCGGGCGATTGATGAAGGTGTGGAAGCCGTCAACTCGGCCTCTGCCACCGACGCTACCAAGGGGGCAGAGGTGGAGGCATTCATCAGTGAAACGGTGGACAAGCGAGGGGAACGGGTGTGGGTGATTGACGAAGAACAGCTGAAAATATTCGTCAACTCTGAAAAGTGGTCGCTTGGTGAGTCTCATCTGGTTTGGTCCATGGAATCAGAGCTTACGATTCAAAGACTCTGGTAGTACCAACAACCCAGTGTTGAGGTTCTTGCTCTACGTTCCCAGCAAGCAACACAGACCCATGCGTCTCGCGTCTCCTGATTCTGCCAAGTCATTTCTTCTTCCTCAGTTTGGTGGAGTCGTTGTCATCAATCCTCCAGAAACGTCTGCCCCGGCATATCATCTCTCTTCACCTGCTCTTACACCGGCATTTCACCTGTTCACTCAACACCTTTACTCTCTCCTCGCCCTACCCCACCTACCATATGAGACGAATAAGCTACATATCCCACCCCCATCCTCTCCTTTCCACCCTCAATCCATTTCTTTGCAGCCTCTCACTCCGTGGCAGGTCCATCAGGTCGAGCTCGCGAGGATGCGGGAGAATGCGGTGGAGGCAAGGAAAACGTTGATGGGTATCGTGCGTCTGGTGAGGAAGATCGTGGAGATGAAGGTGGGAGAGGGAGTGAGGAGAATGGTCAGTGGTGCAGTCTCGAGACTCGAAGAAGCTCAAGTGAGTAGCCATGACTGGGGCATGACAAGCGGTAGCTGACCTGATACCCAGAGGACCGATGGTAGAGATGTCTTGGAAACATTCACTCTCATCAGAGACGCTGTTACTCTCTCAAATAGAGCATTTTTCGATCCGTCGATGATGGGCTTGTTGTACTTTGTGGGTCGACAAGGTCGTCACCGGTTGCAAGGGCTGACCCATTATTGCAGCCCGATGAGCACAAGTTTGCCGTTTACACTCCGCTGTTCGCCCCTATCGCTGTACCGCTGATTCTTGGGCTGATCAAAGAGTTCGTGGCTTGGAAAAAGGGCAAGTCCCAGCAGAAACATGCGCTACAGGACGAAGGGAAGGAAGCAGGCGGAGATTTGAGACCGGTAGAAGGCGACGTTAATGAAGAGCCGAAGGGCGTCAATGGCGAGTAGCTCAATACGAGCCCGGCAGTGTGCCAGTGGACTAGGAGGATCCACTGCAGTGGCCGCAAGCATATGTATAGTTGGAATGCAGCATTGAAATAGTAATCCATCCACCCTTTACTCTCAGTGTATGCGACAAGTGGAGGCAGAAATCACGGAAGGCCGCACGCGCTATTCTCCTCTGTCCGTCTTTGTTCTTTTCCTGCGTGCTGCACAGGAGCGATGCCGTATTCCGCACGCCCCGCTGCTGCAATCCACCCCACCACCAGCACCCTTATCTACAACTCGCCCCATGGCTTCCTTCTCTCCCCCCTATTCAGCAACGCCCACCCACGGCCGTTCCCAGCTCCGCCCCTCCTCTCCCCGCCGGACCACATCTCGTCCTCTCCCACCGGAGAATGGATCATTGCATATCACCCACATCCTCAGCACGGAGGGACCCTAGCCATCTATCCACAGTCGATCCTCTCCCCGAATGCCGCCCGTTCATCAATAACGCCCCTCGCTACTTTCCAATTGTCCTCGAAACCGCTGGCCATCTCCCATCTGTATCCCCCACGCACACATCTTTCGCGGGCCAGGTCTCTTCCTCTGGGCCCCAGTCCGCCTGCGGGTCATGACACGTCACGTGGTCCGACCTTTACCATCCTTACGGCCTTTCAAGTTCTTCTGGTGCATCCACAAGCCATTCCACCTGGGAGTCTAGACGTCTCATCATCATGGGTTATGAGCTGTATACAAACCTCCATCTGGACGATGGGCTTTTCTCAGGATGGTATGACAGGGCCACAAGAGAGCGGAACGCGCATAGAGAGAGGGTGGATGAGTTTGGTGGCCGGAAGCCGGGGCGTGTGGATAGGGTACGAAGCGGAAGGAAAGGTGGGCGTGGTCAGGGCGGACGTAAACGTGAACGAGAACGGAAGCTATCGTATGTATTCTTGTCGTGTCGTCACTCTAGAACGCTGACAACTCTCAAAGATCTACAGACCACACGTTTGGCGTCTCTACCGTTCGTGGACCGCCCGCTACTCGAAGGCGCAGAGACCAGTGATTGTCGATCAGTGCTACAAGATATGGTATTTGTTCACATACCTAGAGAGAGACGGGATGTAGAGCAAGGAGTGGAAACTGGAGATGTCCGAATGGAGGATGAAGAGTCGTCTTTGTCTACAGAACGAGCGGGCGTAGTACTGGTTTATCGAGACACTGGTCAGTGTTTCCAAGGATGGTACACCTCAAACTAACTTGGGCTACAGTACTTGATGACATAGACTCGCTATCGAGGACACGACTTGTCACTATGGTCTTTGAACGGAGACTTCTCCAACTGGCTCCAGGGTTCAGCGAGATGTCGGATGCCAGCACCGAAGTGGGAGACTTGTGGGATTGGGTAAGGCGATACGCTCTGGCCAATCTGCTTTTGCTCATTCTGTGTGTCTCAGTTCACGGCCCCACATCCATCACGGTCTGTTTGCAGTCCAGCCTGTACGACCATACTCTTCCTCCACCCTCTATCCTCTCTCCCACCCTATACCATTGCCCTCGCTATTATATCCACTCCCAATGGCCTCTCTAGAGTGCACCTCGACTTGGGCTCCGATCAGTGGAATTTGTTGAGCGAATACAGGCTTGGGGACTTGCAAAGCGACGATCTGATCCTGCTGCCAAGTCAGGGAGTGGAAAGAGGACATTTGGGACTTTGTGCAGTCGTTGGAAGAGAGCGTCTCCAGTTGGGTGCCGTCAGAACGTTGAACGGTGGGCCAATATCTGACAAAATAGAACATCCCGACTCACTTCGCGTAGATCAAACAATGATTGGAGACCACAAGCCGGGATCCATGTCGCGTGAAGAGAGCCAAGCTGTTTCTGCCGCCACCAGCATCATTCTCGCTGAGCGGCAGGGGTCAGACTGGTCCGATGTGATCCGAGCTCTGACGGCAATCGTTGATCTGTCTTCCCAGAATTGTATGTCTTTACATGTCAGCGCATCTCCGGCTCTGACTTTTTTGTAGCATTTGTCAATGACCTTTTGTGGCGGATTTATATCTTGTCCGGAGAAGAAAGTGCCATCGACCAGATGGATATTCTAGGTCGGGTACAGGTCGCTCTGTTCAGCGCATTCAGAGATTCTCGTCTCGCGCTATCTGCCGATGTACTCCGCTTGCATGTTGCAAGCGAGTTGCTCGATCAGTGCGCGACTTTTGAAGAGGATGGAAAGATTACATTCGACCTGGGTGAGTCGCATTTGTCTTCATGTTGCTTGTATCCGTGGGCTAACATCTGGGCAGACTCGATATGGCCTCTGATATCTGTCCTTGACTGGTGTCTCTTTCTGATATCCAGCTCCATGCGCCAATCTCTCATTTTCAGGGCCTCCTCGTCAAAACATCCCACTGTTTCTCAAAACTTGATAGATCATCCCCACACCTCAATATTTATCCTCTTCCATCCCACGCTTCGTTCACTCGTCATCCGTATTCTCTCCCAATTACATCAGTTCTGTCTTTTCCTAGCGACGCTCGGGAGACCAATTTTGCAACCAGAGGCCGGCGGCACTGGAGGAGGAAGAAGGAGGGACCCTATGGCGACAATTGTGGCGAGAGAAATGACCGGAGACTTGGCTACGAAGTGGGGAGTAGATTTGGAAGGGTGGGGACAGGCATTGGAGAAGAGTGAGTATCTGGCACATTCAACAACGGACACGATCTGATACATCATCCAGTGGGCGAGCTTGATGAACTCTCATCAGTGCAGACATCTTTGACATCACTATCGGTGACACCGATACAAGAGCACCTCCCAGCATTCCTCGAGGCACTGTACGACTCCTCACTGCTCTTTACGAGCGCCGCAGCTGTGAATTCCAGGGATGAGCCCATGGCGTTCGATGCTCTCGAGTGGACACTGCTACCCCCTGTATGGAATGGAGAGGACAAGGGCACACAGAAAATAATTGTCAGGTGCAATCGATGCTCGAGTAGGACAGAGGCACTGGCGAGGAGCACAAGGGCCCAGGACGCGCTTACCAGCCCCTGGATTAGATGGAAGACGGCGTCTACTGTGCATTGTTTCTGTGGGGGAGCATGGATAAGATCAGAAGTGGTGGCCTGATTATGTCTGGACATCTTGATGCATTCGTGCCCCCCCCCCCCCCCCCCCCCCCCGCCCTAATTGTCAGGTGCAATCGATGCTCGAGTAGGACAGAGGCACTGGCGAGGAGCACAAGGGCCCAGGACGCGCTTACCAGCCCCTGGATTAGATGGAAGACGGCGTCTACTGTGCATTGTTTCTGTGGGGGAGCATGGATAAGATCAGAAGTGGTGGCCTGATTATGTCTGGACATCTTGATGCATTCGTGCCCCCCCCCCCCCCCGGTATGCTACTACTCACTCTTCCTTACAAGGTCAGATAGATCTTGACATATATATTATGACTCGTCCTCGGAACGGGATATACAATAGAGCTAGGTATCATTTGGTACAAGAAAAAACTATAGTAGATGGATTTTACATCGTGACTGTGTCGTACAAAATGGGGGTGACTTTACCCTGTTTCAATGGTGTTTGTGTTACATTTTTGTTTAAGAGGCGCCTAATGGTGGCCGGGGGTGGAGGATGATGAAGCTAGGTTGGAATGATTGTTGTTGGCAGCAGGAGCAAAACTCCAGGCCATGATATCGCCATCGTCTGAGATGATCATCAGTAAAAGCGAAAGTGTGCAGTCTTCCATGCCAACTCACCTGAACCAGAAACGATCATATCGTCACTCAGCTGACAAGAAGTCACAGCACCCCGGTGCCCAACAAGGGTCTGCACACATTGGGCACTCTCTCGATCCCAAACCTTGATCGTCCTATCATGAGAGGCAGAAACAAGTCTCAGCGCATCAATGTCCACTGCCCAGACGCCTTCGATATGACCGAAGAGCGTAGATTGCTCTTGGCCAGTTTCGACGTCCCAGATCTTGACGGTGCCGTCAAGAGAACCAGAGGTGATGATGGCCTTCTTTTCGTCGGCACGAGAGTTGTCTCTGGAGCTCGTTCGCTTGGAACGACCTTCGGGAGAGTGCACGTACACGCGCGGCTGGACAGTCTGCTCTCTGCCTCGACCACGATGCTCGACCGGGTCAAAGCCATCGGGGGCTGCGTCAGCTAAATTGCCGTTGACCTCGCCAGACGCATGTACACCGACTGGAGACGCATTTGAAGCAGTGATGAACCCGGAAGTGGTATGGGGGGGCGTAAGCTGGCGGCGTTGGCGTCTGTCCCGAGTAGCCACCTCTTCTTCCGTCATGTCTACCATCAAAACTTTCAGGCTTTGTACTTGAGCCTTGTGGCCCTCGAAGGTGCGAACGCAGGTAGCTGTCTCGAGATCCCAAAGCTTGATGGTCATGTCATCGGAAGCAGAAAAAAGCATGGTGCCCGGCTCAATGTTGGGAACATCAGGCTGGGAGGTCTCAAGACCAGGGGTGCTGCTCTTGTGGCATCGATTCGAAACAGCTTGTGTAAAGCTCGGCATAGCCGTGGGATCTGTGTCGGATGGCGACGTCTTGCCGTCCCAGAGCACAACGCTGTTGACCCATTCTTCGTGCCCACGGAGGACAAATTTGTTGCCTGTGCGGAAATTCCACACCTGGATTGTAGTGTCTGCAGAACCACTGGCCAGGAGGTAGCCATTGTAGTTCAACGTGACGACGCCATCGGTGTGGCCGTCCAGGACCCGCAAGCACTCGCCGGCTCTCCAGTTCCACATGCGCACCGTGCCGTCCATTGCACCGGTGAAGAGCAACATCTGGTCAAATTGAAGAGCGCGGACAGCGTGGGTGTGGCCGCGTAGGACACGGACCTCTTCTCCAGACTCGAGGTTCCAGACGCGTGCTGTGCGGTCATAGGAGCCGGTAATGAGGACGGGATAGGAAGGATTGGTGAGTGCTGTGTGGTACTGAAGGCAGGTGACACCGTCCGCGTGACCCTAAAACGGATGTCAGCAGGGAGCTTGCGGCTAAATGAGGCAAAGTACCTTCAGAACTTTGGTGTTACAGCGTCCCTTCCTCCAATTTCTCTCCACCATGAGCCTCTCGCAATACACAGTCTTCCACGGTCTCGTCAATCGGACTTCTCGAGTCAACCCGCCGGCACCATTTTCATTGCTAGATCTCCCACGCAAATCCAACCCAGAGTCGGTGTTGTCAAATTTGGCCTTCTTTGATGATGCGTGGTTCACGGCCAGAGCAGAGTCTGGGGCAGGACGCTTGCTAGAGGGTACGGATGTGCCTGACGGTGACGGAAGGTACATGGCCGGAGAGTCACAAGACTTGAGACCCACCTGACCTGGCGAAAGGTGATCATAGGCCCCAGAAAGAACTTGGTCCCTCGTGACGAGCCTGCTTTCTCCGTCTTCATGGTCGTGACTGTGGTTGTGCTCGACCAACTCTGCAGGGCTTCGATCCTTCAGCTCCACCCGTAATCGCTTTCGTTCCAGCAACGGCAAACCCCATCCACACTTTTCGCACTTGCGGTCAATATGCTGGCCACACATTCTGCGCCAAAGAAGATCGTCGTCGGCAAGGGCCTTCCACAGTTTGGAGACTTGAGCGGCCTTGCCAAGAGAAAAGGCGTCGAGGAAGCCAAGAATGCGGAGCGATATTTCGCGAGGCAGCAGTGAGAAGGGATCGATTCGGATAATTTGGACCAGAGAGTCAGAGAGGTGGGAGAGCTGGGAGCTTCAGCGTGCGTCAGCCAACACGTCACATGATGCGCGGATAATACTTGCAAACAGCACATGGTAAGGATGCCTTCAAGGATGATCTTCCTTTTACCGTGAGGCGCAGTCGAGAATGTCGACCACATTTGAGTGATGGCCGCCCGTTCAGAAGGGCTGAGATTATCCAACGACTACCAGATCATGGTTAGTCAAGCTGAGTGATCAGGCGCCAAGTACACCCACATGTTGCAGCTTTTCGTTCATGTTCTGGTCGGCCATTTGCTTATGCCTAACACACAATTTCCGGCCAGACCTGGAAGGGATGACATCGAGCTCGCGCTCGGAGGGTGATGACATCGAGTTGGGTGTCTCGGCGTAAGCCGGCAGGCTGGAGGAGGCGGAGGCGTGGTTCATTGTCGGTGGGATGGATGGCGGGGGCGGGGGCGGGGTGGCGGGGGCGGTGCTGGGGCGGGGGACGGGGGGCGGGCGGGGAACAAGAGGCAAGAGCAAGATGAGAGGCAAACTCAAGATGGGAATGCAAATGCGGCGACGATAACGGCGAGCAGCGAATTCCAAAGCGGTCACGTAATCACACACATTCCGAAAAGAGGGTTACGTAATGCATATCGCCATGTTTGCGCCATCAGCACGCGGGCTTATCTCTTATCGCCTCGGGATCAAATTCCAGACAAGTTCACTCCTTATACAGCCCGCCTTCAGCACCCACCACGTCCTGCCCGTCCTCCGAGACGTCCTCCAGCCCCTTGCCGGCCCTCCACGAGTCCACCTCGCCCTGCATCGCCAGCAGTCGCCCGATCAACGCCTGTCCCGTGGTTCCAACCCCGCTGCCGCTTTCGTCCTCGATCTTGTTGATCGCCTCCGTGAAAGCGCTCGAGAGACGTGAGAATGTATCTTTGAATACCTGGGGCTGGAGGGGAGTGAGCCAGTGTCACGATCGTAAAAGGACCACGCACGTTGCCGAACACACCTCTGACATCACCGTGGTGGTCAGGGGGGCCTGAACCGGGCATAGAGCCAGATGGGGCCGCAGCGGCACCCGTCTCACCCGCCTCTGGGAACACCTAATGCAGCTTAAACATATGCACTATCTAACGGGTTTTGTGGGCGATACTCACGCCCGCAGGGTTGATACTACATTCATCAGAACATTGTCAACATTCCATAGATTCGGACTTACGAGGATGAGCCAGGACCTGTGGACTGGTCATGTTGGATGACAGCGTCCCCGGCCTTGTTTTCGCCTGTATACCCTGATTAGCTTGGGATGTTCGGGGAGCAACGGGGTTGACTGACGCTCAAAATTGGCCATGGCTAAAGTTGTGAATTGTAAGTGGGACTGCAACGCACGCTGGACACAACACGCTTGCTGATAACCAAGCCAGACGGCGCCGTGACGTCATTACTCATCTCTGTCACTGCTCTGTCAGGCCAGCCCTCAAACATGTACACACACAGTTCCTCGTGGCTATGCATCCTAGTACGTATCGCTTTCATGTACCCCCATGCCCGGGCAGCTTTCCAGCCATCTGATCTCTATCTCGTCCTCCCTCATCCGTCTTCTTCATCTGATCTCTTTCCCGCTGTGCCTTTGCTATGGTCTTGCTCCTTGCCCTCTGTACCTCCTCTTTCCACCAGCTCTCCATCTCGTCACTGACTGATATTCTTTGCACGCTTGGTTCAGATAGCATTTCTAACGTCTTGGACATCTTCCGCAACTGTCCACAGACGTTAGCTTGTGGTTCACCCACAATAGAGAGACGATATGTACCTGGTGTTCGATAGCCACATAATCTCTTTGCCTCAATTGAGGATTACGGAAATTGTATCTCATATGGAGAAGAAAGGCCGGCCGAAGATTCTATCCAGTCGTGTGCCCCGGATTAGAGCTAGCTTCCATGTAGATATATCGGCCTTTTACGCACAGGCGGCTTACTCATAGCTGCTTTGATACATCTAGAAGTAGCATGCGTTATCAGCTATGCGCTTGATTTTTTTACAGGGATGACACTTGCTCTCGGTAGAGATTTATCACATCTTGTTGAAGACCTGACCTGACCATAGCCGAATGACGAATCAATTCTGTGTAAGGATTTGTATGGTGGGTATATTCTCCCTGCTAGTGCGAGATGGGACTGCTTTATTGTTTCTGTACAGTAGTTCCACCGCTGCATACGAGTCAGAGAAACTGACAGCAGACGGAGCAGGGGGGTGGAGGCAGGGAGGCGGCAGCGGCCGGGTTTAATTGATCCCGCCGGTTGACGCGCAAGCACCACCAACGCGGCCTCTTGGGATTGGGATGGCATCAGCTAACCCTACCGCCATGAACGCCGTCCGCCAGCAGATCCAGCAGCCCTCCTCCCTCAACAGACTCGCCGCCTCTGAGGATGAGCTTGCCCACACCGACCCCGCTGCATGGGGCAGTATGGCTGGTTTCGGCAACCTCTCTAGGACCGGTGGCATCGAGTCTATGAGCATTCCCCGAGTCTTAGATGTAAGTGCACTGGCCAACGTCCATGGCGGCAGCTGACGCTGGTCTCTACAGCCTACTGCCTTCCTGGACATGCACACGGACTCCATGTCCGCCAACCCAGAGGCCAAGATCAAGATTGCCCACGGTACCACCACCCTCGCTTTCCGATTCCAAGGAGGTATCATTGTCTCTGTCGACTCTAGGGCCACTGCGGGAAGCTATGTCGGTAAGTCTCCATGCAACATGCCGAGTTAAAGGACGGGGCTTGACGATGTGCAGCATCCGGTACTGTCAAAAAGGTCATCGAAATCAACAAGTTCTTGCTCGGTACCATGGCCGGTGGTGCCGCCGACTGTCAATACTGGTAAGTCTTGAGATATATCATTTAACGAAATCATGTGGCTGATAAATGCAGGGAAACATATTTGGGTATGCAATGTCGATTGTACGAATTAAGAAACAAGGAGCGAATCTCTGTGGCGGCTGCCTCAAAAATCCTTTCCAACATTGTGTACCAGTACAAGGGGATGGGTCTGAGTATGGTATGTCATCTTTTGCGCCACAAATACAACAACTGACAGTAATCAGGGTACCATGGTGTGCGGCTGGGACAAGACCGGTCCCCGGATCTACTATGTCGACGATGATGGACAGCGACTCACCAGCGACATCTTTTCTGTTGGGTCCGGTAGTACCTTTGCGTACGGTGTTCTCGACCAGGCAAGTCAAGCCTACGTTTGACATGGCGCAGGCGCTGATACTGTTTATAGGGCTACAGATGGGACCTCACCGACGAAGAAGCGCAGGAGCTCGGAAGACGGTCAATCGTTGCGGCTGGTCACCGAGACGCCTTCTCCGGTAACACCAATAACCTTTACCATGTCAGGGAGGATGGTTGGGAGTTCATCGGTCAGTATTGTCGTTCCTATCTGCGGACAATAGCTCATTCCGTCTTCAGGAAACTACGATATCAACGAGCTGTGGTACGAATACGAAGGCAAAAAGAAGGCGGCGCGAGAAGCTACCACCGAGGCGTCTCCTATGGTCGTCGAGTCATAGGAGAATATAGAAAAAAGGGGTGTATTACGAGCACATGTATACTTTGGATCTCAGTCTTGGAAGCTACCGCTATCTCGGACAGCGTGCTCTCTTCCGGCGCAGGATCTTGTACTGCACGAAGCCACCTCTTCCGTGTGTCACACAATCCTATTCGTATGGACCTGCATGCATGCACCAACTCCAACTCGTGGCGATCAGTGGGCAACGGAACCAAAGTCGCCAAACGGCGCGGTACGTGAATAATGGAAAGCCGAAAATGACGCTAAAATCAACATCCCTGTATATCGGCAATATGTTGACACTTTTCTGATCACTTTTCCACCAGCTCCCAGCCCTGGGCTCATCTCCTTTTGCCCATGTCCCTGGTGTCTGTCCTCACTCAACTCCTCAAGATCTGCTGCGGCGGTCAGCAGGAGTCAACAGGTCCGCAACAACAGGGTCAGCAGCAATATGGTGGCTATCCCGGAGCTGTTTCACAGCAGGGAAACGCATACCCCCCTCAACAGCAGCCTACATGGGCCGGTGTCACTAGCCAAAATCAGCAGGAATTCCCCCCACTCAGCCATCAACAGCAACAGCCTCATCAGCAAGCCTGGCAGTCGGCACCTCATCAGCAAAATCACCAATCAGCAGGCTGGCAGAGCCCACCCCAGACGAACGGGCATAGTCCCGTCCACTTTCCAGCGGGCGGTGTTGTTGGTCCTCATGCCGGTCAAGTCCGTCTGGCTTTCCTCGGGACAGAAACGTAGCTTACACGGCTTAGAATATGAACAGCGATATGGTGAACGCGACCAATCAGCAATATGTTGATCTGCGGAACAAAGCGAGGAAAGAGGGCGATGAGGCCCACAAGTCAGAGATCTCGTTATCCGTACCGAAATAAAGTACTAACCGGAAACGACTAGGTGCTTTGCTGCTTCGCAAGCGGCTTACAAGTATGTCCAGCATCGACCCAAGGCTCCGTACTGATAAGATATGTCATTAGATCTGGCGATGGTGCCGCAGCTCACAACTTGTCGGTACAAGGCAAGAGTCACCAGAAGACCCAGGACGACCTGGATGACCAGGCGTCTGCATGGATCTTTAATGGTGAGTCCAAGTCTCCATTCGCAGTGAACGCTTCTAAAATGTAAGCACATAGAGAACAACAAGGATTCTCCTCTTGGTACCATCGACCTTCACGGCCTCTACGTCAAGGAGGCTATCGAGCGCACGGAGGCCGCCATCATCGACTCCCAGAGACAACGCCGTGAGGAACTGCGAATCATTGTCGGGAAAGGCTTGCATTCGCAAGGAGGACATGCAAAAATCAAGCCTGCAGTGGAAAACTTGATGCAGAAGTGAGTCTTGATAACAACCGCCTGTACTTGACTTGCATTGACAAAGCGCGATAGGTACAACCTTTCTGCATACGTAGACCCGAGCAATACCGGTGTCCTCGTCGTGGACCTCGAAGGGAAACAGTCTGGTTCGAGGTCGCGTGACATTGGTGGAGTAGTGGACGCACTGGGTAAGGCAGACGAGGGTTGCACAATTATGTAGTAGCAGGGGCCGGACAGATTGGCGTTGGTGGTCGAAGAGGTGCTCGCATTCACGACCGGGACTTTACTTATTTGGGATTCTGATAGAACACACGAGATGTAGCAATATTTATACATACAACAACTCCACAAAGGCCATTTCTCTCTCAACCCTGCTTCCAAGTCTTTGAAGAAAAGCGTCTCGACATTTGGCACACAATCTTTCAATAATGGGGCGCCCACCCTTTCGTCTATGGTCAGCATAAGAGTACACATAAAAGCACCTCGGACTTGCCTGTGTAGATTGTGGCCAAGTTGTTGACATCTCGTGCCTCCTGAATCAGTTGATTGACTCGATACTCCACTGACAACTCCTTCGACAACTTTTCCCGGACTTTCCCCAGCACCCTGTCAGACTTTTCGTGAGCCAAGAGCACATCATGTCCGCCACCCTGCGCTCGCACTTGTTTCTCCGCACTGGACCATGAATGGAGGGGATCGTGCTTGAAGACTTCCAGTATGGTCAAAATGACGTCGGAAGAGTCTATGAGCACCTGAAGAGCGAGCTGAGAACATCGCCTCATTACACCCTCCACACCTGTAATACCGAGGGCATCGACCAAGTCATCGGTAAGACGGAATGGCACATGCTCAGCAATCGGCAACAAGGTTCCCTACGAGACCCACATTGTTAGTGTCCATGCATTGAACGACGTGATAAACTCACAGCCTCAAAGGCCACACCAAAGTCGATGTGAACCAATTCACCAGTGATATTGTCGATCAATATGTTTGAGCAGTGCCGATCACCGATCCCCAAAACCCACCCAGTCATGCTAGTGACGGCGACGCTCCTCCCATAACTTGTCCGCATGCTGAGCCATGCCACGGGATCTCGATGCTTTTCAGTGAAGAAATGTCGCATGACAGGCCTGAAGTTCTTCTTGCACGTCTTGAAGATCTCCACCAACTGTGTTGTCAAGACTGATTTGTCGACTTTCGGCTGCTTTCTTGGCTCGGCCAGTCTTTTGCTGAAATTCGAGGCTGTAATGTCATGAGGACGATACCTGATACAACGTCAGCCCCACGTCTCATCCCAGAAGCGACAGGAAGCATACTTCGTATGGGCCCGTCTCAGCCAATCGCCTATGGGCATTGTGTTTGGAACAAAGTCGATGACGCCGGTATTCAAAGGGAACGCCACGACCGTATAGGTTCTGAATCTCAGATGTCGTCGTTTTGATTGCGTTCGCTCTTGTAATAGATGGTTCACTCTCTCAAATACTTGCTCCATCACCGTATCTTGCCTGAAACCATCGTCTCTCTTGAACTAGACCCCCGTAAGCACTTCTTCACGAATACAAGAGAAAAAGCGTACCAGTTGAGTGTGCTTATGGCCCTTGTTGTCGTAGCAGGTCATCACCTTGGGGGTAGATATTCCTCCAGCAATCGTGAAAGTATTTTGGTAACGGGAAAAGAGAGCAATATTGTCGTACTTGCAAGTACAATCGATTGGAGGTGGTTTGGTCGCGATGGGTATATTCTGTGGAGTTTTGTTCAAGATACTGTCTTTTTGGAGCGACCCTGACCGCTTCTTGACGCCTTCGGCATTTTCGTCGTATATGATAGGTTCAAGAGTCCAGTCAACCGCGATGTCGACAAATTGCTGCATCGATTTGGCAGCTGCCGAGCTAAGGCTCTTGCCCTCCAGGCTCGATAGCTTCTCGAGGATGTTTGAGGCAGCAGCTGCTCGTCCCGCTGCGGCTTGATCCGATCCGGGGTCCCCATGGTCAGCCTTATTCACGCTGGGCGCATGGGCAAGAGTGATGACCTGGTACAATATATGGTACGGATGATCCTGACATACGCGAAGAACGACGTGATGGAGGGATTTTGCGAATTCCTCTTTGTCGTCGTTTTGATTGAGGCGAGCGGTGATCTGAGGGGCGAGGAAAATGAACTTGTAAGATGGAACAGTGGATATTTGTTGCCCTAGAGCTTGATTTGCTTCTTGGTCTTGGTCGTTCTCGAACCAAAGAGTGACGAGCGACATTATAGTGTCGTCAAACTCATCGCTGTAGCAAAGCGTTTTGATATAGTTTGTCTGGGCAGAACGGAGGTAAGCAGCGCTTCGCTGCTTCAAGTCCTCGAATGCTGTGCTATCCGCTTGAGCTTCTTTGAACTCGGCAAACTTTGCGAGGTGAATTTCCCCTTTCTGAAGCTTGCTTTGACGGCGGCCACCTTTTCCAAGAGCTTGTGAGGCGATCGCTCCGGCCTGGCGACGCTTCTCTCGCTCTTCTAATCTCTTGAACTCTGAGCTGTTGGCCAGAGAAATATGCTGTTGGTGTGAAAAGCATGCGAAGTGGTAGTAGAGTCTGGCATGTTCTGACTTGCGTAGTTGAAATTTCTTGACCCGGGATACCGCATCTTCAAACGTTGATTCGATCTCTTCGGCAGATCTCAGTCGGGCAGAGGAAGTCCAGAGAGCCTATGCCAACAATTCAGTAATGAGGTCTGTAACGACAACAATGAGATTTACCAATTTATCTCGTAGGGCAACCACTCCGTTGAGATCCCTGCTACTACCTTTTTCCTCTTTTATGCGCGTCTCCACCAGCTGTATAGCTAGGCCGTGCTCCCCTTGCTTCCAAAGCACCTCGCAGAACAGATCCTGAGTCTCTTCGGATCCCCGAGAGGTATCCTCTAGTCGTTGAGCCGCTGTGATGGAGTTGATGGCTGTCTGCATTCTGCCATCTTTGAGGGCTAGTTTGCAGAGCTGAAGATGACATGCTTTCTCCGCTTCCACAGTTGCTTTAAAACCAGGGCTCTCCATGTCGCCAATGAGATTCTGGGATTCGCGGTGCTTGGTTGATTGTATCAGGGACATCCGAACGGCAATAATCTTTTCTGCAATGGAGAATCTGGACAAATGCGATCAGTCATTGCCCCCTCAATGCTATTGTCGCACTCACTCAAATCTTGTACCAGAATCCTCAAAGCTTTCCCCTGCACGAAAGACCGTGGATTTGGGCGAGTCCTCTGACTGCTGCCGGTTCCACTCCTGTAATTCTCTCAAACAGAGAAGATTTGTGGTGATAGATTCGATAGAAGACATTTTCTCTCTAGAAGCCTTGGATAATTCTTCGATGCTGATTCGTACAGCTTCATCGATAGCCACTCTTGCAGTATTCAGGTCTCTGCTCTTGTGGACTGCGCTTAGCGCCTCATACAGTAAGCCGGAGGGTGTCGCCTTGGCCTCTGTGCTCAGCGGTAATGTCCAATTACCAGTCCTCCATCCAAGCTCTGCGAAGAATGGGTCCTCGGTCGTAGCATTCGTTGCGTTCTCGGCTTGAGACACTACAGACGAGGCCAGGCGAGAGAAACCGATTTCGTGAAGATTGCGCACGACCGGCAGTATAGTCGAGGGGCCATCGCCGGCTGCGTTGAATATTGCACCATCCCAAGCCAAAGCGGCCCATGACGAACCCTCATGCTTGAGACGGCGACTCAGAGCGTCACGGGCATCGTTATTTTGGATACCATAAAAGCCATCTGGCTCGTCAACATTGCTGTATACGTCATACAAGATCTTTAGCCCATAGTCAGTATGAAAGCATTTGACAATAGATTGAACACACTTACCCTCTGAATGTTGCTCCTTGTCAGGTCAGGTGGGACAGGCTGGTCTCTCGCCAACTCAAGAAACAAGAGTGCTGTCACATACGAATCGCAACGTATAGCCGCTTGGCTCAATGTGACAAGGTCGATACTGAGCCACTCGTTGTCCTCTTTTCCGGAAGTGTGTGGTGCTTGATACTGACGCAGATAGAGACTGATGTCAATAACAGTCTGGATCGTTTCGGTGGAGGCTTGCGACGATTGGACAACTTGCTCGAAATATCTGGCAAGTATTCGTGAATTCTTTGGGCTTGCTTTGTTACTTTTGTCGCAGATTAGGACAGCGTGTACAAGATAAGGCAGGAGATGTCGTAAAGGGACCTGAGACGACAGCAGTGGATTGATAGAGAGGTAAAAGGGGTCCTGGTGAGAGGCCACATCACACAAGAGCCGGGCTAGGTCGAGTGCCCATGCTTCAGTATTACACAAGAGACTGTCCCAGGAGGATCTGTCCAGTATATCCGATAATCTGTATTCCTTCTGGGACTGTGCCAAAACCAAAGGTTCCAAGATTTCATACAGATTGTGTTCGACTGGGGAGAGTCTTGTCTCTATCCCAGCAGCAGAAATGTGTGGCTTCATACCTTGGAGAGCGCGATATGCCGCTGCGCGTACTCCATGGTGGTGGTCATCAAGTAGGCGGACAGTGAACTCACTGATCCCCAGGAAGACGTCATGTGCTCCATTTGCTGTTGGCTTTCGAGGAGACGCCCCAATGGGTGGTGCCGAGCGTATTTCTCCACCAGCCATGTACAAAAGTTCTTGGAAGGCTGATATGCCCTCTGGATCCCATTCACGTCCCATATCACTTTTGATCGTCCAGAAAGCTGAGGCCATGAACGCAGGTGCAACCTTGCCAGTGTAGTCGTCTTCAGCAAGCTTCTTAAACTGCTTGCACAGCTCGGAGCCTGTTCCAACAATATTCGCTTCGCTCAAACCGCGCAGCTCCCAGAGGGTCGGGGACTTCAAGGGAGTATTTAATCGGGACCGAACATCATCTGGCCACAATGCGGCTGCCTGCAAGAAAGAGTCCTTCACCGTAGAAGTCTCCCAACCGGGCAATGCGCTTGTGATCCAGTCCTCCAGTAAGTGAGCTAGATGCTGCTGTCTTGGGACAGAAACAGCTCTATGGGATACGCTCCACACTCTTCCTAATTGCAAGAACAGGTTGGTTGTGTTGGTAGGCCCTGTGCCAGCAAGGGTAGTGAGTCGAGTAAACCCCCACTTGACCATAGGCAAGACGGTGTGGGATAGATTGGGCTGGTCGAGTAGAGCTAGAACCTCATGCAGAAAAGTTCCCAAGATCATTTTCTGGCGAAAAGCCTTAGCATTGATAGCTATTAGGCAGAATAGAGCACGCAGATGGCGATCCTGCTCGCTGACCAAGAATGCCTCATTGATGAGAAAAGTCAGTCGCAGAATCGCAGCAAATACCATCCCGTTGATTGACGAAGAGGTCCCATGCCTCGTGGCAAGGCTCGAAGATACGACGTAGACAACATCAACAGACGCAGATGGCTGAAGAGCCGTCGATGCAAGAGACCCTGGCGAGCTCTCCATATCTGGCGGTTGGATTTCTCGAAAAGTGGCAGTTTCAATCTTTTCACGTTTGAGAAGACTAGTGATATCTTCTGGTGTCGTGTTTAGATCGATCAATTCCCAAACATACGCCCGGACAGCGTCGACATGATCTTCAAGCAGTTCTTTTGCTGTCTCGACAGTATTGATTCCCGGTAGCGCGGCCAGCCTCACTAGCCCGCTCTCAATGTTTTTGTCCCTCTGATTGACACTCCAGGAAAGAGTCATGATGACTGAGGCTATCTCGGGGAAGTTCTGCCTGATGACTTCCTCTGTCGGGAGGTGTATAGACTCGCATGCCCTCGAATAGAAATTGAATTGCTCTTGATGCAGCAGATAGGGCCCGCAAGCTTTCAAACATGCCACATGAAGCGCATTTCGGTCCGAGAATCCCAATATGCGACTGAGACTGTTTGCCGTATTTGTGTGCGCCTGCGCAACGAGGGCCCCAGCACAGTATGGAAGACATAGCGTGGATGCTGATGACAATCCCAGGCGACCCGCAGCCGCACTCAGGCCGGCCTGGATATAGGGCAACCCCGCCGATGTGTCGATGGCCAAGTTGCAGAGCATTAAAACAGCCGTTTGACGGACAGCAGCAGATGCGACGCAGCAATTGACATTCCATAAGATGTCGGTGACAAAGTGGTCAATTTGAGCCTCATCCTGAGATTGACGAGAGCAGCTCTGATAGAATTCGGGGTGCTGAGACAAGCCCAGCATTGGGCGATAGAAAGCGTTGCCTGCCATGGTGGAAGCACGGACACGTATCCGTATATCATCATCCCTGAGCGCCCGTGCTGCCAGCACCCATAGCTCATTGATTTTGCGGTTCTCCTCCGCAATCTCTTCGTTTCTTGTGTCCTCTGTAGGATAATTCGCCCATAATTGGATCGCCTTTTCGTAGCTGGTGAAATCCTCCAAGAATTGAAGAAGATCGTACTTCAGCCTCCATGACATTGGAGTCCCGTGAAGGACTCGGGCGGCGACAAAGTGGATAAGCTTCATACAAGCTTCAAATAGCTTGGTGTCGGCTTTCAGCAGCCATGCAGACGCCGAGCATCTCAGGAATGCAAAAGCAAATGACCACGCAGCCTCGTCATACCGGTAGCTGTAGCTTCCAATGAGTCCATTCAGTTCGTCGACTACCAATTGGACAGCCTCGAGGTTAATCCGTAACCATCCTTTGTGAATAGCTTCACACAGGGCTAGCCCGACTGCTAAAGAATGTGGGGCATCCGATTGTAAGAAGCAATTGATAAGAGACGGATCTTTGTAGGCGCGAGGGGCGTTTTGGGCCAACTTGCCTCCCTTCAACCGAAAGCACACGACGGAATGAAGGATCGAGGCACTCGCCCGCTTCTCAGGTGTCTCCTTGGATGGAAGCACTGCGGCATCCTCAACAGACATCCCAGAAAAATCATCGTCATCGTCGCTATCATGACCGCCAGCCGCCCGAAGTTGTGATTGTACGGGATCAGACGATCGAGACCTCCTTGCGATTTGAAGGCAAGGTTCAAAAAGTCCCTTGAGCGTGGTGGTAACCTAATGATGTGTCAGAATTGAACTGCTTTTCGATGAACTGTACTTACGGTAGGCAATCGCCAGATGGCATGGACAAGTGCGTCGTCGCCAGTGGAATCCTGTGGAAGGACGGGGTATGATCCTTCCTGTGACATATACGTAGACGGAAAGTCTGATGGGAAAGTAGAATGACATTGGGTGGACGTTGCGGTGGGGCTACCCTCGGAATCTCTGCTGGCTGGCTGTCCCTGCTGCTGCGGCAGGAGGTCTGTTCTTATGCCTGACGGTATACCAGGCAGAACAAGTATCGGCCAACGATCCACGTCGTAGTCTTTCCCAGTGTCGGCGACAAGACATCTCAGGCCCCGCCAGATAAGGTCCAAATCGGGTAGTGGTAGATCATGGGATGCCATTGTAGGCAGTAGCGAGTCAAGAAGGCGGGTGGCAGCCTGTAGAGATGCCGTGTGAACTGTGTAGCCATTCAAGCACAGCGATGCTTGATAAGCATAGACCAACACGACCAGGTCGATTGACCGCCGTGTTCTCTCCGCCAAATGGTTGTGAATGATGAACGATTTCCCCTGCTCCTGAACTAGATCGTTGCGCATCATACTGCTCATGAGCAGGGAGAGACGAAGACAGCGAGACTCGAGGGGCGAGGAATTTTCCGGTTCGAAAGCTCCTATAGTGACCGCCCTCATATGCGTGACGGTCGAAGGTGGTTGAGGAAACTTTTGGTAGAGGACGATATCTCTGATTGACTGCGTTGCCGCTTCCTCGAACAAGTGCTTGGACACCGCAGATTCGGGCACGAATTCGTCAACAGTGGGCTCCACAAGCGAATATGACTGGACTCCAGATATCGCGGAGAGTAATCCGAGCAGATCGCTGGGTGCCCTCTGTTCTAGCCGCCCGTCGGACCCCTCTGATCTGACAGCCTTGTCTCCAGCCCAAATCTTCTCCAGCCATGCCAGAACCTTTTCTTCCAAGCCCAGCGAGTACAGTCGGATATCCGACTGAGCCATTTCCAACGCTATCGTGTGCAGCACACACACAGAGTCGAGTGAAGCAGGGGGGCCTTCGATTTCAACGCTCTGTAACAGACTACGTATACCACCCACGATGGTATTGTGGTCGAGTAAGTTGAGTTGGATCAAGATGGCCGTGAGATGAGACGCCGCTCGGGATGTCGCAGGCACATAGCATTTGCGCACAGCGTGACTCCACACCTTGTTCCATATCTCGTCATTCGACGACGGGGCTTTGCGGTTACCCCATAATGATGTGTGTGTGTTCAAGGTGGGGTCGGACTTGTCGGTATGGAAATCAGAGCCCGCTGTGCTTATCACAGCCGCCGTGGCCAGACCGAGGAAGGCCCACGATTGCAGAACTTCGTTCTCATCGTTGAGAAGAGCGTGGAGGCAATGAAAGACCGCTTGCTGCGTCTCCATCTCTAGAGAACTCCATTGTCGGCCAATGAGGAATATGAGGGTTTGGAGAGCAAGCAAGCGAGACTCGAATTTGCCCAGATTCACTGCAGAAAGAAGAGACGATAGCGTATGTTCGACCTTCCTACGCTTTGGGGTGGACCCATTACGTCCTATTTCGACGTCGGAAGATCTGGTGAGGTAAAGCTACGAAACGCGTCAGGTTTGTAGCGATCAAGCCTTGCCAATGACTCACGTACTTGCAGCAATCGCTGTATAGTTCCAAAGCAGCCCATGAGAATGTTTGGCTCACAGAAAAATGATATCCAGCCGAGAAGGATACACTCTCGAAAGGGACCAGATTTGTGCGACCCTGAATCCGACTTTTCAACCTCAAGCAACCCATATCCAGATACTCCAGCCTTTTACTCCCCGCTTCTCTCGGCAGCACTTCCCAGAGTGTTTCAAGACTGCTTCTAATTTCGGCGACATACTTGGCCTCCATTGCAGGATGAGTTATATGAGGCAGAATTGTCCTGATTGCAATGACAACTTGATCCACCACGGATCGATCCTGAGACCTGACAGAATTCGACCATAATGTCACGAGTTGGGGGAGTATTTTGATGCTCGCATTGTTGAATGTTTCACGATGATTGAGCTCCAGTTCACTCAGGAGGATATTGAGAGCTTTGAGTAGATGAGGGTGATATACAGTGACGTGGGGCTGAGCGACAAAAAAACGTCGCAACTTAAGCAGCAGGCCCAGACCCACTCGTTGATTGGCTGGCAGTATATCGCCTTGATTCAAAGAGGGAGGTATGATGGGCGCGGTACCACTAGACAGAAGGATGGGTACCAGCTTGACGAAGCTCTCATTGCTGTTTGAAACAGGTATTTGTTTCGTTGAGAGGCTGTGTCTTTTCCCACTTCTTTCTTCCTCTTCGACGATTTTGAGCTCCAACATCACGCCGAGCGTATCGGGGTCGTCATCCGATTCACACTTCACTTCGTCTCCCAGGATGACAGCAAAGCTGATAGACATCAAAGACAGCCATGAGGCCCGATCTAGTACTTCCAGATGGGGAGGGTGTGATAGGAGAGTGACTATAGCTTTTGAGTAGTCGACCAGAGCTGGCTCATATATCTTGCGAGACCACAGTAGCTGTTGCCGCATGGTACCAATAAGCGCTAGTAGTGGAAGCCTACCAATGTGGTGGACAGATTGCTCTGCTACAAGCCGCGCGATGCTGATCGCGTTGGATAGCCGCTGCTCTAAAAGGTTTCATGAATATATACTCGCACAGCCAGCAGATCACCACTCACTCTGAGCGGCAGTATCTTTTTTGGACATTAACACTTTCTCTGAATGGACGGCATTCATCACACAGGAGAACAGGCTGATCCAGGGCCTGGCACTGCTCTCTTGGGCCGCATCGGCGAAGCGCAAGATTGTATCCCTGTTGTGGAGTAGGTCTCTGAGCTGATCATGGCCTTGAGAGCGTTCTTTGATTTTGTCAGATCTGTAAAGTTCCAGCGCCTCTTCCAGTCGTTTTAATATGCCCATGATTGTTCTTGTGGAAGAGATGTTGGTGTTGGTCGGGCACTGTATGTATGTCGGTGGCCTTTTGCCTTTTATGGCTGTGGGACGTTCATGGGATAATTTGCCGTCTGAAGGTCGTGGGGCGGCTGAGAATTTCGGGTGGTGAGGTATGGACGGCTGATTGGCCAAATTCAGGTGGATATGTGGAATCCCATATGAATCGCATCAATCGGTTGACTGGACGTCGAGCGCGTCGCGTCCGAGGTTTTGCTTCCGCTACTCGTACCGTCACAGTAGAAGTGTAGAGAGGGGCGGCTTCAGTCTTCCCTGGCCTAGGTACATCACTGTACTCGGATAGTACTCGTACTCTACTGGTTTTTTGCAACGCATCACTTTTGATATACCTGGAGCGCGGACTGTCCGCTGCATGATAACGTGTAAGATCTTGTCGTGTCGTAAAGTAGTAGGTGAGGCGCTTCTGGTCACATATGGAGTAACTTTGAGGCAGCTGATGATGCGACCGAGATGGCCTATCCGGCATGGGTATGAAATTCCGATAGCGTAGCAAGCTCGTACATGATACAACAGCCCAAATCGCCTCAATCTATCAAACTCCAACAAACGAAGAGAGTCTACCCAGTACCGCCAGGACAACAACAGCCATCACCCAGCGCCAGCTAGGAAGCCAGTTCCCAGCAACACGCCGCTGCGCTCGTTGCTCTGCTCTCGCTTGTATGGGATTTTGCGTTCGAGGAAGAGTAGCAGGTGGAATAGGAGTAGGATTCGTTTGAGGGGTTGATGAAGATTGAAGAGACGGGTCTATTGGCTTGGAGTCTTTGGACACCTCAACGAGATCAGAGTCAGGTCGCGATACAGCAAACCAAATCGAGTAGAGCACTCACAGATGCCGGGGGCACACCCATATCGGGAAGATCAGTCATCTCGGGAGTAGCGTACTGGCGAACGAGTTAGGACAGGCTATACTATCGAGTCGGGAAGCTTACGTCGGGAAACACATCCTGATCGACAAGTGTCAGCGCACATATACGGTGAAGCAAGGGCAAGCTCACTCTAAACTTTTTGTTCTTGAGATTGTACGCATGGCTCTGCCTGGCCAAGATTCTTTTTTCCTCGTCCGTAGTCTTCACGCCACCTGCAGTGATCCTATATTTCCCTTGAGCTGGACCACCTGATTCAAAAAAGCTGCACCCACTCATTGCTAAGCATGAAACTGAGAAGACCTGTAAGAATGGTTGCGACACTCCAGGCAGCATTCCACCTGCAAAGTGATGATCAGTATCGTACCGGAGCGTTGCTGCATTGTCACATACGTGCTAGGGTGGCTGGGTGATGGGTGCATCAGCGCTGAGTGACCCCCATGATTGACAAGTACTCACTAAGAGGTCATGCTCATGCAGATCTTATGCCCAATCTCGAATCGTCCAGAAGGGGTGAAAAACTTGACATCTGGGGGCTTGAAAGCTGCCGGTGAAGACGATGAGTATTCCAAGAGTCGGCAAATGATAGGATCACGTACGGTAGTCGCTGGGAAACCAGATGAGTCCGTGAAATTCTCCTCCTTCATAAGGAGTATCAGGAGGGCCACGCTATAGGATGTGAGAAAACCCCTAAGAGCTGACGAATATCAACGTACGATGATGAAATGCCCTAGAAGAGTTCTAGTCAGCCGAATAATGAAATAAGGATGTGCGACCTACAGTCAAGGATATTCTTCTCCTCCGGGCATGCCCAGACAAAGGGAGGGGGACTCTTTTGCATGGCGAGGTACTCCTGTGGAAGTGGTCAGTCGAGCGGGTCAAACCCCCTGACATGGGACAAACCTTCTGGAGCTACATGGGACATCAGCGTCAATTCACAGGATGTGCGCGCCCCGGAGGAGAACCGCTTTGTGACTGACCCTTTTCTGAGCGACTTTGGTGGCCATCGGATGGTGTTTGAGTCGGATGTGAGCGCAATGCCAGTTTCCGGTCCGAATGTATACTCTTGAGAAGAAATCCAAACAAGAACAACCAGTGGGCACAACGCTCGAGCGTCCTTGCCTGTTGCAGTAGTCGGTGAAGGCCGGTGGCGGCCAAGACCGGTGACGCGACGCATGTCTCTTCGTTTATAACAATGTGGCTGGGAACATGTTGATGAAAGGAGCAGAAACCCTTTCCAAATGATGGTATGCATCAGCAAGGTAAACATGTCATAGACATAATGCAAAGAATAGGCTGACCGGCCGCGCAGAAAGCGCTCATCGATTCCTCTCCGCCTCGCGGAGTGATCCTGGTGGCCACACCAACAATCACCGCAGCAGGCAGATCCAACTGTACATATGTGTACCCATAGAAAACCGCCCAGCGAAGAACTGTTGTACATTGCCTGATCATCCAAAGCATACAGTGTTCGAGCAGCCAAAAGTACACTGTGTATTCGTACAGTGAGTGTACGTCAGTACCATGAATCATGATCGCGAGCTTGCGGCTGCACAAGGGCGGTGACCTCTGACACCTTCATCTCCTGCGGCCCAGAGTCGGTAGCTACGGTGGAAAGGCGCTCGACAGAGAAGGCTCGCATACACACGTAGACGTGCACGTCCGAGCCCACACCTGACTCTCTAATATAATAATCAACAGCGAGATAATCAGCGTGGATGATAGAGCGACCGCATCCCAAACATGATTGGTGGCCATGTTCAGCAAGCGCACGAGTGTGAAGCTCTCCAAGGCAATGTACACTTCGCGCAGTATCAATGCATTACTTTCTGCTGCCAACAGAGGAGAGTGCCACACGACGCAGAGGGAGAGCTTTGGCCACTGCCGCTGTGGCTTTGTGGGCCTCCATCTTCGGCATTAATGTCCGTCTTTCATTCGTGGCAGGGCCGCAAGCCGCGGTGGCAAGACATTTTGTAGACCAACGGTGACGACATTTGTAATGAGATGAAATAGATCAGAGAGGGTGTAATGATCAGGGAAATTACTGGAAAGGGAAATTTATCCGGTGTGCCCTTAAACGTCCCTTCTCGGACCTCTCCATTCGCCAGGGCTGCCAGCGGGCTGCTCCAATACGCTTTTCATACCTCTCAGTCAGTCTGCCACGGCTGCACGCAGTATACTTGCGCACCACCGCCGCCCGCCCCCAGCTGCTCCGCCCGCCACAGCGTCACTGCCACGCCCGGAACCAATTCTGGCATACCATATTCCGCATCTGCCCCACCCACGTTAGCCGAGTTGCCTCCTTTCGCTCCAGTTACTACCTCATCGCTGCCCTCTCGCTCGTCTCTCCATCTCCCAACGCCGCAGACTCCCGCCGCTCTACTCCCGCCGCCTCTGTCTGTACCGGGACCACCAAGCAGGCCTACCCCCGTCCGTCTGCTGCACCATGGCCCAGGTCATACCTCCCATCGTGAGCACAGCAGCCCCTTTCACCCATGTTACAGTCGCTCACTCATACCCTCTTTCTCTCCCCCATCTCTCCCCCCCGTACTCGGCCGACATTGCCGCCACCCTACTTGCCCGTCGCCCCCGACTTGCGACGACTGCCGATCTTTATAATCAACCTCCACCAGACATCACTCCCATCAGACTCTGGGGCTGCACCCTCAGTCGAGGACATCCAAGACCGCTTGCCGTCTATATGTGTCGACTATCTCTCACATGACTGGTCGGAAGAGGATGTCTGGGCGTCATGGCGTAATATGACTCGTCATAAGCATGAGATCGCCAACGGCGTCCGGCTAGAGAATGCCAGTTGGCGAACGTGGAACAAACAGAGGAACAAGCTCAAGACTATCAGCCCCGAGACTCTCAATTGGTGAGCCGTCTCTTTCCATATACTTAATTTGGGATCGCCTTGGTTGCTGCCCCAATCGGCGAGACACGGCACGACTGTGACTGAGCAATCGCTGGAAGGGGTCCCTATGGGGACCACGTATGTGCACCTGGTGTCTTTACATCCCTTGTCAGCTAGGGGTGGCTCACTTTGGGGTTTGCTCTGCTTCATCTTGAAGATCAATCCAGGGTTTGCCACCTCTTGCATTAAAAAGTTCCCGCTCCTACTTCACTACTTCTGCGCGATCCCACTTTTGCCCGTGGCATATATTCTCGATGGTTTGCTAATGCTGTTCTCAGGTTGAAGGATTCAGATGTCACTTGGTTGTACGGACCTCTCCACACCGCCAACGTCGAGCCTGTCCGTCCGCTGAAGGTGTCCTCCACCGACGATCGGCTGGGTATCGATCGTCCAAACCCCGACGCCAAGAAGCCCATTCTCAAGCACCGAACCCTTTCGGAGATGCTCACTATCGCGTCCCCTTCTTCTCCTGGGCTCGAAGGCTCTGACGGCGATCATGCTCAGCCTTCTGATGATGAAGACCGCCCCAAGCTGCTTCTCCAGACCAAGTCGGACACCAACATCTTGCGTAATCGCAGTGCTGTTCTGGCCCGTCAAAAGAGCCCCGATCGCCATCATAATCACAACTTTGGGTTGGACAAGAGCCCATCTGATGAGAACGACCCCACTTCCCCAACAGATTCTCAACAGACCAGTAGCAAGAGGCACATCAGCTTCAACACTTTTGTTGAGCAGTGTATTGCTGTCAGCGATCCCACCGAAAACCAGCAGCATCACCTGCAGCAGCAGTCGCAGTCGAACAGCCCTAGCGACTCGGACGATGAAATGCTCGAGATCAAACCGTCTTCTATGAGCTCCAGCAGTCGCTCTTCTCGGGAGTCTCGTCCAAGCTTGAGTCGTAATTCGTCTACCGGCTCGTCTGAACATCTCACGATTGCGATGATTGCGCCCACCATGCTGAAGACTGGGCCGGGCCACAATCCCGATCTACCTTGTGTCTACGCACCGCCGCCCGAGTACAAGTCTCCGAGCGATGATAGAACAGATTCCTACGATTTCCCTTCGCCTCAGATCGACCCCTCCACGGGCAAGTGGCAAGAAGAAGACGAAGACGAAAGCGGCCGCGACAGTGGACCCTATGACTATTTCCATGGTCCCAATCTGGGAGGCAGTGAACAGAAGAAGGGACAGGCTATTCCCAATAACAGCGGCCCCTATGGTAACGGACGGCCCCCTTCTGGCTCGCCTCCTTCAAAGTACCGCATTGCTGTCGATCAGGAACGCAACGACGCGTCTACTGCCCCTTCTTCCAACCCCTCTGCCAATGTCGGCAGTGTCACCTCTCCCCCTCAGCGCGGTATCCTCAAAGTTCGTCCTCCCGGACAAGCTCCCCCTCCCGAGCCAGCTTCACCTCCCATGGCGTACTTCAACTACACTCCTTCTGCCGCGACGGGTATTGGTGGTATGCGGGGAACGTCGCCCTACGACCATGCCGGTCCCACTGGATCCCCTGTGACTTCTCCTGGTGCGGAAGAGCGTGGACGCGGAAGGGCTCCTTCGCGGGAGCGATTGCACGACAGGTCTTCTTCTCGTGGTACATCCACCAGCTCTATCAGCTCTTCCTCTTCGCGCTCTCCCACCGAGAATACTGCTGGGCGAAAGGTCCAAACTCCTCCTCAGCTAGACCGGGTTCAAGAAGAATCGCACAATCGCGCCGAAGGGGACCAGACTCCCAGGAAAGGCGACAGCGTCAAGCCAAAAGGCATCGATCTGCCTGAGGCTCAGCCTGTAGAGCCTGGATCCCCCTCGCTCGCTACTCCGGCCGAGCCCGATGAGAAGCTCAAGGATTATGTGGCCGATAGGTCGTCAACTCCTACTCCTCATTCTTCTCCCCAGGTAAGTCTTCAAGATTGCTTTCTCGGTAGATTTCGACTCTGACTAATCTAGATCTAAAGATCACATTTCGCCCTTTAAAAGACACATCTCCCGCATCCCTTCCCCATACATCCACTCATAACAAAGCGCAATCTCCCGACCTTCCCAAAGCCGACCCTCCTACCTCTGTTCCTTCTGCCGATAAATCCAATAATTCTGGCGCTCGTGCTACGATTGCCCACGTTGGCACCAATGCCCAACCCACATTATCTCAACCTATAGAGGATGATGATGGAGCGAGCATCATAGGGCGCGCGGCAAACATTGCCAGCACAGCAAAAGATCTGTTGGGTTCTCTCTGGTATGGACAAAATGAGGGTCAGGGGCAAGGCCAAGGTCTGGGTCAACATCCTTATCAACAGCAGACGCAGCCATTGCCAGGGGCTCAGATGCATGGCGGGAATGCGAGGAGGAGGGCGGGTTCCAGCTAGAGTGATTCTGGATATATCTTGTCCTACAACCAAGGGTCTAGCTTTGAGTTGTGTGTAATAAGCTTTCTTTCTCCGAGTTTCTGTGTGTCCTTCCTATCATTTAGCTTCCGACCTGTTTCTTTTTTCAAACATCTTTCCATCTTCCATCATGTTATGTTTTCATCAGCCCACGCCTTCGATGTCTCTTTACCTCCCATCCATACCTCGCAACGACTCTTCAACTTCTCTTCTTCTTTTTTCTTCCGATTCCCTTTTCAATAGCCATTTGACTTTTACAGAGTATCCATCCGTAGTTATAGGCTGTCAGTTTCATCGGGCTCTCTGGCTTTGGTTTGGGTGTATGCATGTAACTTTGCATAGAGTAGATGTCCCTCGTGTCTTGGTCTCCGCTGCAGAGAGATATATAGTCAAGTCATCAACCTCAAGGGCACAAATCGGTCATCTCTATATCAGAAGGGACGATCACAAGACGTGGGCTCTTTGATAACGGCCCACCGCTGGTGCTTGAAAGCATTGCCTATCCCCTTTTTTTTCGGTTTCACTTGTCAATGGTTGGCCCAATCCTCAACTCGCTCCGTCAGAGAGTACGATGAAGAGAGGCACTACTGATTGCAAGAGCCCGACTACATAGTACGTGATCTTATGCTGGTCTTGATTTTACGTTCGTTCTCATTCAACACAGGGCCAAGACCCTCATCGCCGAAAGAATATGCAGCATTTCAACTGCAACGCTAGCTCGAGACAAACGTCCGTGAAGTATATCATAAAGTCATGATATGATGCAAATGAAGTATGCTCAAACCCTCCTCCCAACATCCACACCATATCTCCCACGCTCCCTTTCAATCTCATCCTTGCTTCTCATCCCCCTGCCCTTGTTCTCTCTAGGCCCCTTCTTTCCAAAGAGACCTGTTCCAAACCCGGAAGGGTTCCCGCCACCGTGTAAAACCTGGATGGTGGCCTTGAGAACATCTGGACGATTTCGGGACCCAACAATCATTGCACTGGCATCCTTGATACCGCATGCGGTAAAGACACGATGGATCATGGGAGGTACCATGAGACCGAATCCTGAGACATTATGAGCGTGGGGACTGCATTAGCCTTTAGACACATACCGGGAGGTCGCGCACGCAAGTGCACTTTGGCAGCTCCCCATTTGCCCACGAGATCTTTGCCTTCACCCCAGAGCGTTCTGGACTCGTATTTGTTGACATAGTCCATACTCAATACAGCTGCATACAGGTCAGCGCGATGTCACGGGTACGCATGTACAAGAGTTACCTTTCTGGAACGCGTCGTCCTGTGCAGTAGCACCAGAGTGTCCTCGACCTCGTCCAAGACCAACAAGACCTCGTTCTGGTGATCCAACGACGACATATGCTTGCTGGCTCGCCCTGTTGAACATCAGCATAGGTCGACCAAAGCACAAAGACAGCTTACATCTTTCCCTTTTTTGTCATGTGCTGCACTTTCTTGGATCGCACAGTAAATTTGCAAAGCCCTCTGATCTCTGCTCTGCTGAGCCCCGTGATAGCCGCCAACTTGTTCTCCAACACCTGCGGTCCCTGTTCACCTAAGCCCTCGGGCATTTGGTCTGCCGGTAATGGGGTGAAGAGCGGTGTGGGGTGGTTGTAATGCTTGTGCGTAGGGGAGTTGTGGGTGTTGGGGAAGTTGGGCAGACGTGGCACAGGGGTGTATGGGACGGAGAAGGCGGGTCGAGGGAGGGCAGATGTCGACGACTGAGGGTCGGCAGGGGGAGGGGTGGAGGACTCGGGGGAGGGCGCCGAGACGGAGGTGGAGGCGCATCGTGCGAGGTGGCGGGATGCAGGTCTGAGGGACTGCAGGGGTCGTATGAGGGCGGACATGGTTCGTGCTGGCCTGGCAAGGAATACAGACCGTACTCAGGATAGTCAAGTCAAGCTGAAAAAGGTCCCGCCACAGACGGCATTTCCAGGTAAAAGCCGAGATCAGGACACCCAGCATACAAGTCGCGTCGTTGATTTCTTTTTGCCATGAACAACTCGTGCTGACATTTGGATGCATCTGGGATGCATTAACCAGGTCCACTGCCCGCTCCTTCCCATCTGTTCCAGGCTTCCATGCTATTCCAGAGCCTCTTGAGACCTTCCATCTCCTCTGGCCGCCAGTCTTTCGTACTGCCTTTCTTTTCCATGCTATCAACAGTCCCATCGGATCGCAACGAGAGAATCCTCTTGGTCCTCAGCTTTTCATAGCTCCCCTTGGTGCCTTGTCCGGTCTTTGATGGCTTGATAGAGGATGTATCAACCCTCAACTCGCGTGCGATACGCGAGTATGTCACGCGCACCCGGGCATCTGCCACCGCAGCTCTGGAGGCGGGCGTTCGCAGAGGAGTCAACTGGAATGATAGGATGATGTCTGGAGGGGAGGAGCAGGTGACGGTGATGTTGCCCAGGGCGTGATACAACTTGGCCTGAGAGTTACTATCAGCCAGAGTGGCTAATATACTGTACACGAGCAATCTCACCTGGGGAGTCTGGCGTTTGTAGACCTCGACCAGTTTCCGCACCCTTTCCCATTCCCTTCTTTCGCCCTTTCCCCATTTGCTGCTGTGCTCTAAAATAATCTGCTTGGGAGCTGTCGCCGCACCCTCTTTGAGGCTCCTGATCGATAGCCTCTTTCCGTGCGAGCTGACACATATCTCCTCCTGACGATCTGCCAGGCACAATATGAGCTCGATTCCTTTCCTGGGATAGACAAAGATAGTGTCTTGACGGATGAGAGTCCGATTTGGCGGCTCCGATTTTGGTGGTAGCGGTGATGCCAAGATGGGGCCGGGCAGGTTAGAGTGTTTCTTCGAAGAGGGGCCATTCATGGAGCCCATGGGTGTGATAGGCATGTCGAGCGGCTTTGGAGGTATAGCTTCTCTCGGGAAGCTGGGCTGTTTGGGTACCGTTTGTGTCGGAGATGTGTTGACCACCTTTGGAGATACATTTGCCACCTTAGTGTATAGAGGGAGGGTAGGTGGGGTGTCTGGAGGAGTCGGGGGATGACTGGATGCCATCTGGCAGCGCACGGACTGGGATGCAGCCGCTTCTGCTCTATCGATTACGGGTGTATTGAGAGGGGACAAGTGAGTCTGTCTTGTTATCGCAATCTGTTTCCTGCTCAGCGCCCGCGAAGCAGCTACCGGACGTTCCTGTTGGCCTGACTGGAGGGTAATGTCTTCCAACACCCGTCTCCTTCTTTGCTTCCACTCCTTTTCCAGTAGCCTCAGCTCTTCTGGGGTCCCTGGGTCTTGCACCGCCTTCCCATGATGAATGATACTTGAAACGCGTGTAACTGACGCAGGTGCAGGCGACGAGACGGCGAGGGAGGATACGGCCGGAGAGGCGACGGGAGAGGGGCAAGAGGTAGGCGGCGAGAGTACAGGGGAGCGGGGACGTGGTCTACACCGGAGACGTGCTGCAGCGGGAGAGTCCATGGGTACTGTAATGGGACGCAGAACTGAAGAGACACAAAAGCAAGTGCCTGAGCAATGATGCGCGGTGGTCGGCGATACGCGCTGACGGGGGTGTCCGCCAGGAACAACGCACTGCCACGCTGGGGGTTTGCTTCTTTGGCCGTTTTTTGGTCCCGGCTGGGTACTGAGACTTTTGCGAATATCGATGCATTGAGAAACCCAACGCAATTCCCGCCTAAGTGCTTAAACGGTTCTGCGTATATCAACTCGATCAAAGTGAGTCAACGCTTCCACGGCAGGACAGCTCTAGTGTGGTGCAGGGCGGCGCAGGCTGGCGCAGAGGAGGGGTGCGAAGGTGCCAGATGGCCAGGGAAGACATGCTAACCAGTTCTTCTCTAGATGAAGCTTATCGCCGCTTACCTCCTCCTCCAACAGGGTGGCAACGCCTCCCCCTCCGCCGCCGACATCAAGGCCCTTCTCGAGACCGTTGGTATTGAGGCTGAGGAGGACAGGCTCTCCAAGCTCATCTCTGAGCTCGAGGGCAAGGACATCAACGAGGTATGTCGGGATCAGGAGAGCAAGACTGGGCCATTTGGAGATGCGGGACCTGAAAAGGGAAAGAAGCAGAATGGCCTGGTCTAGCTGCGCTGTTGAACGTCAAGGGGTATCTGCTGACGTCAAGTAGGTCATCGCCGAGGGTGCTTCCAAGCTCGCCTCCGTTCCCTCCGGTGGTGCCGCTTCCTCCGCCTCTGCTGGTGGTGCCGCCGCCGCTGCCGGTGGTGACGCCCCTGCCGCCGAGGAGAAGAAGGAGGAGGCCAAGGAGGAGTCTGACGACGACATGGTGCGTTATACTCAATTGGTTGTCGTTACCTTGCTAACGTCCATTTGCAGGGCTTCGGTCTCTTCGACTAAGCGTCTCGTCCAAGACACTCATTTGGTGCTTCTGCCTAATGGATGTAGCTTCTCGAGAGCGAGTTGTATTCTGCTGGATTATAGTAGAGCCCTCTTCTCTTTCGTGGCATATGCATGAGGTTCCTTCTACATTAGGCACGGATTTAGTGAAAATGACATCGGGTACGGATCTGGTAAAAATGAATTCAGAGGACAGTTCAGTAACATCCAATACGGTCCTCATCTGCCGTACGTGTCAAGGCCACCGGTGACAGCAACATCTTTTCAGTCTCTCATTTGCTCTTTGATACAGTCAAGATGCGCCTCGCTGGCTCAACGCTTGTAAATGGACAGTGTAAAGACTCCATCATCAGACGAGTTTCGCGGCAATGGCAATCAGGTCTGGCAATGCCGACGACAACGCCACCGTAGAGGAAACACAGTGCGGAGCAGTCGTTCACAGGGCAGCGCTCAATGCTTCAGCCCTCGCGTCGAGCCTTGATCCACTCCATATAGGGCATATGAATCACTTCATCATGAAAAATAAACCAAACTATCCAACCTTCTCTAGACCCCCACCAAAGAACTATCGCTTTGCACCCCCGGGCTGCAGTTCCTCGTCAGTACTGAATTGAATCCGCTACATGCTCCCACTCACAAGTGGTCTCCTGAAAAGCACTGTGTACACCCATCGCGTCAGTACGAGCTTGCCCACTGTGTCTTTTGATCACATAATACTCACAGATATGAGGTTCAGGTGCTATATGCTCGTCAGCTTTGCACGCGGCCGTTCAAGAATACAGCCATCACTTACCATGCACTTCAAAGTGTTCCCACCCCAAAGACTGCGTGATCCCGATACCACGCCATTCGTCTTCTTCCAGAATCCTCAATAATCCAGTATCATCATTTGAAAAGTAGCGTTTGGGGATGAGTTTGAGCATTTGTTTGGGGAGAATGACATGGCGGTACTCGAAACGGTCGTCCGAGTCTAGCGGGCGTAAGTGAGCTTTACGATGAAGGCAACGTGTGGGCATGCGGAGCGCTCACAACGGTCAGAGTAGATGATTCTGCCATTTACATCAGTACTGATCCCCATGACACATTTGGGAGCCGTAAAAACGTCCATGGAATATGCACTAACCGTTCAGAAAGTTCTTCGAGGGTGGCAGGCTTGTTTCCTGGGGCCATGATGGAAGTGTGTGATCTGTGGCCGACTTGATGGGTGGGGGACGCGTCGAGCGTGGGAGTGGACCGACAGGCAGACGAGCAAGCGCGGGGATTTGACGGACTGGACGGAGCGTACGATGGCGTGTATCCACTCGGGTGGGGCGAGCTGAAGAGTCACAAGGGGGGGATTCGAGAGATGAAGAATTGGAAGAGAAGATGACTTGCAACGAAGAATCGCCCTGAGAGCGCGTTCCCGCCAATCTCAGCTCGCGTCAAACGAGCGGGATCAATATCCCGCCCACGTGGGATTGTTTTGGCTCTGTTGCTCGGCGGCCCCCGTCCACTCCTATCAGAGGGCATCGCCCGAGCAGCATGAGAACAAGGTGTAGAAGATACACCACAGCCCTTTTTAACCTCAGTCGCATTGCATATCAACCAGTGCATGATCGCGACGGGATACTCCGAGCAGGACGAGCAACACTGCCAATCACGTCAAGCGCCGCAATGGCTTGCAGCTCGATACCCTACCTGCTCTTGCTGATTGCTGTATGTCTTGTCACTCCTTCGCTATCCCATACTGCACATCAGCAACCATTGGCTACCGCATACTCATCCCATATACTTGACAAAAGGCTATGCGCAGAGATTGATGAGCTCAGAGAGAGATGGGGTGTCAAGGGTATCACTCTAGGGGTCGCTGCTTCCCCGAATTTCACTAAAGCAACCAAAGACGGGGCAGGTGAGGACTGGACTTCTGAAGTATACACTTTCGGCAAAGCAGACCGGTATGAAAATGACGTGGACAACCGAGTAAGCAGTGCCATACTCGGACAGTCGTCTCGACGACTGACGTGATCGCAGACACTGTTCGGAATCGCCTCCAACTCGAAAGTATTTGTGGCTATATCGATTGGGCTGCTCATCGAGGACAAGACATACCTACCGAATGGAGAGCTGCTGGACTGGTCGACAAAGATCAAAGATATCCTACCTGGATGGGGTCTCATGGATGACTACGCCTCAACCCATGCCGACCTGATTGATCTCCTGAGTGGGTTACAGTGGTGCGCTTTGTATAAGGCTAATGGAGAACAGGCATGCGTTCCGGGCTACCCAGGCATGATGCTGCCAAAGGGCGAGTGGATGTTTTCTTCCAGCGAAGGATGCTGATTCGACTGTCTTGCGTTATAGACATCAAACCCCCGAGGTCATTGTCTCGACGATGCGATACCTCCGACCCTCGGCAGAACTTCGACAGGCATGGCAATACAACAACTTTCATTACATTGCTCTCGACCTCGTCATACAAACGTTGACCAACAGATCTTTGTCTGACTTTGTACAAAGCCGAATATTTGATCCAGTTGGCTTACAAGACGCAACATATAATGCTACCCAAGCTCGATTGTCGGGTCACAGAAGCGATGGCTTTGTGAGGCTGAACAGGAATTACACACAGTGTACGGTTGAACTTGATGTCTCCCGAGCTGGCATACCCCATGCATGCCTGGGCACGTCAGCGAGTATAGGCTGGTGGGTAAACGGTGACGGCTCATTCGAAGCTGGTCCTGGGGGAATTATCATGTCGGGCAGTGATATGGTAAGATACTCTTCGCGTGTAATGGCACAAGCTCATACTTGACCAGGCCAAATGGACCAAAGAACTGCTTGATCCTCGACATCTCCCCGCCGCTCTTGTTGACAAGTTGACTGTCACCTACGACTCCATGTATGGCAAACCCCAGAATCCGTACGTGGGTATTCACACCTATGGCCTCGGGCAGTGGGTTTATACCTACCGGGGATTTACTGTACATGGACACGATGGCTCCCTTCCAGGGCAACATTCTACCTTCATACGGCTCCCAGACATCGGTTTTGGGTTCTTCCTGGCCATCAACGACGATGATTTTGGTACGCCGCTTCACAGGGCGATCACCAACATCATTCTTGACAAGGTGCTTGGGCTGGACTACGTCGATTGGGAAAGGCAGGTCAAATCCCTGGTATTCACAATCCCAGAGTATCCCGACGTACCTATAAACCCTCGAGAAGCACCGGCGAAAGTGGCTGGAAGATACACGGACTCGGGGTACGGAAATCTTGATCTGAAGCAGATTTCGCACCCCGCTGGCCCGTTTGCTGCCCACATACTCGAGACAGTATCTCTGTCGCTCACGTCTGCGCCTCTCAACATTACTGGGCCCATATACTTGGCCGAAATCAATAAAACATTTGCTAGCCACATCATCTTGACACATTTTGACGGACCGCTGTTTAACATTACGCTTCTGGCTACGGCCGAGACTTTATCTCAAGCGGTTGAAGTGACAAGGACTGCAATCAAGGTGGAAGGGTACGGTACCGCTGTGGTGCAAGATGCAGGAGTGGGGATCTTTGGAAATATATGGGGCAAGGGGAATCTGGCAAGAGAATCAACCGTCACTGAGGAGCAGACTGTGGTCAAAAAGGCTGCCGAAATATGGTTTGACAGGGTTGGCTGATGCATATTCGAGTCTCTGTTCAATCATGTGTATAGCACACGTACAAAATTATAAAGTCGTGCATCTCAAGTATCTGCAGAACTGATATGTTGAACGATGAAGGCTTCGCGCGACTAATGACAGAGGCAGCTTAGGCGCGCGGGGCCGCTTTCTTGCTGAAGATGCTCAGCCGGTAGTGACTTGACGGACTTGCGAAAACAAACTTGCTCTGTATCCTGTCCAGCTTATTCACACCCGCAACGAATAACACAAGCGTACCCGACAAGGGTCTCTGTCCGACATGCACGCCCTCCATCAGACCCTTCTCCCGCCATCATCCATCCATCACTCCCTCTTTCTCCCTCACTTCACCCCCTCCACCATCTACCCTCTCCCCAAACCTTCTTCGGCCCTCGATACTCAGGACATCCGAATCGTTGGCAACCTGATCGTTGCGGGCGCACAGGTGCTGAGAGTCTTTGAGATCAGAGAGGAAAACGTGACTATCAAAGAAGAATCTGATTCTCTGGAGGAGTCAGGATTGGGTGGAGGGACTGAGGATGTGCAGATGGGCGATGTAGGGGATGGGTTTTTTGACGATGGTCATGCAGATGTGGGTCGCATGCAGCTCGTTTCACTATGTAGATCGACACGCTTATTCCACTCCGATATAGCGTGTTCCTATCCAGCGCGCAACTGTCAAGAAGTTGCACCTGTTGACGCAGCATGAACTGCATGGCACTGTGACAGGCTTAGCACCATTGCGAACTATTGAAAGTAGCGCGGATGGCCTGGATCGTTTACTTGTTTCATTCAAGGATGCCAAGGTTTGTGACGTTCAAGTCTGGCCTGCGCTGCAATACTGACTTTATCCCAGATCGCTCTTCTAGAGTGGTCAAGAGGTGACATTGCAACAGTGTCTTTGCACACGTATGAGCGATGCCCTCAAATGAACACTGGTGATTTACAGAATTATGTGCCAATGCTTCGCGCAGATCCGTTGTCACGACTGGCTGTCTTGACCCTCCCCGAGGATTCCTTGGCGGTGTTACCTGTGGTCCAGGAGCAGTCGGAACTGGAAATGACAAACGGCTTTGCCAGGTGAGTGATACCCATCTTGTCATTTGGCGCGTTGTCGCTCATACCCTCATAGAGATGCGCCATATTCACCTTCATTCGTCCTCTCACTATCCGACGTCTCTGCCAGCATCAAAAACGTACACGATCTCCTGTTCTTGGCTGGTTTCCACTCGCCTACCCTGGCTCTTCTCTTCTCTCCATTGTACACCTGGTCCGGTCGTTATCAAACGGTGAAGGACAATTTTTGTCTTCAGATCCGGACCTTCGACTTGTCCTCTGGCGGCTCATACCCTTTGCTCACATCGGTCTCTGGGCTGCCAAGCGATGCGTTGTACCTGGTAGCTTCCCCAGCGGAGCTCGGTGGCATTGTGGTCATCACCAGTACCGGTCTCGTCCATGTTGATCAAAGTGGCAGAACAACGTGCGCCAGTGTCAACGGTTGGTGGTCGTATGTCACCTCGCTGAAACCGCAATCATCGCACAACCACCTCAAGATGGCGCTCGAAGGGTCTAAATCTGTATTCGTTGGCCCTTATGACTTGATTATCACTCTTCAGAGTGGTGATGTCCATCAGGTTCGGTTTGAGATGGAGGGACGAGCCGTCGGGTCCATCTTCATTGAGGAAAAGTCCTCCATCGTCCCCCCTCCATCTACTTTGACCAATGCGGGCGAAAAAACTGTGTTTGTTGGGTGTGCAGAGGGCGATTCTTGGCTTGCCGACGTGATACGGGAAGAGATCACACGGGAGAAGGAAGAGGAACCCAGAGAAGATATAGAAGTAGATTGGGATGAAGGTCAGTCGTTCCGCTCGCATTCATCCAAAACAGCTGTCTAACGATGATGTAGATCTATACGGTGACATCAATGATCCGGCCTTGGATAGTGCTTCCGGAGCTCGTCATGAAGACGGCCCAGCCAAATTATCGCTGGCGCCTTCTGATGTTCTTTCGGCTGTCGGCAAAATTATGGACATCGAATTTGGCATCGCTGCTTCGGATCAAGGGGTAAATCGATCGAGCGCTTTGGAAAACACTGCTAATGAATCTTGACAGCTGCGTACATATCCACAGCTGGTTGCAGTTGCGGGCGGCTCCCGTAACTCGACATTCAACGTTTTTAGAGTACGTCCCCTGTGGTCCTTGAGATCTATATATTGATTCACGGGTATAGCGTGGAATACCCATCACCAAACGACGGAGATTCAACGAGCTCACGAATAGTGAGGGCGTCTGGTTCCTCCCTATTGATCGTCCATCAGGGCAGAAATTCAAAGACATTCCTGAGTCGGAGCGGGCGACAATGTTGTTAAGCAGTGAAGGGAGTGCAACGAGGGTGCGTGACAAATTCTGATTCGATGGCTCTGCTAATGCCTTGCGTAGGTCTTTGCACTGTCAACTAAACCAGCCCCTCAGCAGATCGGACGACTCGATGGGAAGACTTTGACCGCCGCACCATTCTTCCAGAGATCTTGCGTTCTGCGAGTATCCCCATCGGAGGTCTCATTGTTGGATAACAGTCAGTACCACATCGGGGTGGATGGATCATCTCGCTCACATTACTTAGACGGCAAGGTCATACAAGATGTGTCCCCCAAGAGCGACCAGGCGCCTATCGTCGGTGCCAGCATCTCTGATCCTTTCGTGGTGATACGGAGAGCCGACGACAGTGTCTCATTTTTTGTGGGCGATACGGTCGCCAGAACAGTGTCTGAAGTTGCCATCGCTTCCGAAGGTGTAAGTTGATTATCTCATCAAGTATATGCAGCGTGGCTGATAACCTTGCAGAAGACATGTCCTCCATGCCAAGCCGTCGAAGTGTTCTCGGATACTACTGGCATCTATCGCACCTTCGAACCGTCCAGAGTGGGCCCATACGAACATCTGCAAAGCAACGTGACGGCCAGGGTCAACGGCGCCAACTCCTCACGCAATACTCGACAAGCCCAACTCACAGCAGAGCAAATCAAACATCTTCAAGAACAGGAACCTGCCATCACCATAGACGCGCCAAGCACGGAAGCTGCCATCAATTCGTCTCATGGTACGCAGTGGCTTTGTCTCCTGACACGGAAAGGCGAAATGCAGATTCTGTCGCTCCCGGATATGACAGTGGTGATGCAGAGCGAGGGATTGTCGTCGTCGGCGCCGAGTTTCACTGATGATATTGGAGAGCGATATACCGGTGAAGAGAAAATAGAGGAAGGTGAAGAGGAGGACGAAGTTAAGCAAATGGTCTTTTGCCCCATCGGCAAGAACAACTTCCGCCCGCATCTACTTGTAAGCATTTTCGCCACTGCGTAAATTCCTATGTTTACATATCTAGGCTTTGCATCATTCTGGTCGTCTCAACGCATATGAAGCCCAACCTCGTTTCACAGTGGACGCCTCGACACAATCCCGTCGGTCTCTCGCCGTCCGTTTCAAAAAAGTACATACCCAATTACTCCCAATCTCTGGAGGCGTGAGAACCACGAATACCGCCGAAACCCGACTGCCGTACTCCATCATACCCTTCAGCGATATTGAGGGGCTCACTGGAGCGTTCATCACTGGTGAAAAGCCTCAATGGGTAATATCCACTGAAGCTCATCCTCTGCGAGCTTTCGCGTTAAAACAAGCTGCGATGGCGTTTGGAAAAACGACACATCTGGGCGGCAAAGGGGAATATTTCATTAGAATTGAAGATGTGAGTACTTGCATCTCTACATCAGTGCTGACATGATTAGGGTTCATTCATATGCTACCTTCCGCCAACTCTGAACACCGAATTTGCTATCCCATGTGACCGGTATGAAATGGAGCGAGTCTATACCCACATCACATTCGACCCAACTTCGGCCCACTACGTTGGTGCGTCCTCGATCGAAGTACCTTTCCAAGCCTACGACGAGGAAGGCGAAATACAACTCGGCCCTGAAGGTAATGCTCTTGATTGAATCCCTCGAATGCCGTTGATATCAGTCTCAGGAGAAGCTTTGATACCACCGACAAATCAACGCTCCACTCTCGAGCTCTTTTCGCAAGGGTCCCAACCTTGGCGTGTCATAGACGGCCACGAGTTTGACCAAAATGAAGAGGTGATGTGCATGGAGAGCGTGACCTTGGAATCCATCGGAGCTCCTGGGGGGTACAGGGATTTCATCGCGGTAGGAACTGGTTTCAACTTTGGCGAGGATCGAGCGACTAGAGGCAATGTGGGTTCTCTGGCTGTATCACGTCCAATATGCTGACATCAGTAGACGTATATCTTTGAGATCGTAGAGACTGCGGGGGCACAAAACTTGCCCGGGTGGAAGCTTCGGCTGAGACACAAGGACCCTGCAAGGCATCCAGTGAACGCGGTCGCAAATATCAATGGATATCTGCTGAACACTAACGGGCCGAAGGTACTTATGACGACTCGTACACGGAGGGAATCTACTGATCATGTCACAGCTATATGTCAAAGGGCTGGATGATGATAAGCAACTCATGGGCCTCGCTTTTCTTGATGTCCAGCTGTACGCTACGACTCTCAAGGTTTTCAAGAACTTTATTCTCGTCGGCGACTTGTGCAAGTCCTTCTGGTTTGTCTCTCTGCAGGAAAATCCCTACAAGTTTTCCACCATCAGCAAAGACTTGCAGGGCGTTTCCGTGGTCACGACGGATTTCTTGGTGCACGACGGTCAAGTGACTTTTATCTCGAGTGATAGAAATGGTGATATAAGGATGCTGGAGTTTGACCCCACCGGTGAGCTCACCTTCTGTCAATGGTGTGACCAAGCTAATAGTATCTGAAGACCCAGACTCTCTGAACGGCGAGCGTTTGATGTTGAAGACGGAGTATCATGCTGGCTCCATTATCACTGTGTCCAAAGTCATTGCGAGAAGAAAGACTGCCGATGAAGAGTTTGCGCCTCAGACGCAGATTATATATGGTTCGTCCCTAGTTCCCTCTCGAAGAGCACGCAGCTCATGCCACAGTAGCGACTGCTGATGGCGGTCTCACAACCATGGTCTCCGTCAAGGACGCCCGATTCAAGCGTCTACAACTTGTGTCTGACCAGCTAGTCCGCAATGCCCAGCATGTTGCCGGTCTCAATCCTCGAGCGTTCCGGTCAGTCTGGCAAACCTCACATACGCTATAGCTGACATGCGCCGCCTATAGTACTGTCCGCAACGACCTCCTCCCTCGCCCTCTATCGAAGGGTATTCTCGACGGTCAGCTTCTCAGTCACTTTGCTCTGCAGCCGATAGGGCGACAGCAAGAGATGATGCGGCAGATTGGCACGGATGCGGTGACTGTAGCAAGTGATCTGGCAGCTTTGGGAGGATTCTGGTGAAGGCTCAGAGGGATGACAATGTTGGAAAGTTCAATAAGGGGCCATACGTATCTCTGGTAATGATTTGATTACACTGCATTGAGCATGCATGATTCCATTTCACTTTCCACAGCGAGGGAGCTCAAGAGACTGTCCCTTTGAGCAAAGCTCCGCGTCGCATGTCTTCTACGGTCTTCTCGACCCCCGAGACGTCAACGTCCAGATAGTTGCCTGCTGGCTCTTTCCCCTGCTTGATGGTATCCACTGCCTCTTTTAATGCTCTAAAATTGGAGACCTGCTCAGGCAGCTGCTCATGCGTCAGCATCGCTTTCATGCTGTCGAAACACACTTACAGGTGTCCTTTCCAGACCGGACGTGCTAGGAACCACAAAGAAGTAGGTATACTCTCTCTGCCTGCCAGGCGAGAGAGCATGAGGCAGTCTTATTGACTGAGGTTTTGAGAAACTGAATGGAATCTTGGTTTCTTTGCCCTTCCTCTTTCGAGGCGAGATAGGTGAAGGGGAAAGTGCACTATTCAACCGACCTTTTCTTGGTGTCGCAATGATCTCCGACGGCATTGCAATGTCATTATCACAGTCATCATCTGTTGCCTCCATTTTCGGCCTCTTCTGTGGGGTCAGAATGGAGACCTTTCGTTCTGTACCCTCTTGCGACATCCCAGTCTCAGTCTTCACCACTGTCTCGACTTCTCCTCCATAGAAGACTGTCTTTCCCACCACGCTTTCAAACACGTCCCATATCTTCTTGCCGACGAAACACACAATACCTGGATGATATCTGACAAATTTCAAGAGTAGTTGGTAGGTGTTGAGGCGCATTTCGAGGGTGGAAAGCTCGCTTTGCTGGAGAGAGAAAGATGTCAGCGGCGTCCAAAAATATGGGTGCCACATACTTCTGAAGTGGGTCGATCGACCAGGTTGGTCTTTCAAACTGTGAGCTGAAAAGGGGTTCTACGTTGCACGAGCGGCAGCTTACCAAGCCAAAATTGAACTCGTCGATGATCAAATGGTCTTCAGTGGGAGGTACAAGTCTCGATGTAAGACCTGTCACAAGTCTTGAAAAGAGTCTCTTCTTGTATCGGAGACACGAACCTGATTGATAGAGGGCACGCTGACCGATTTCCAAAGATAAGCTCAGCCCACGCTGGACGCCCGTTCTTACCCAGAATTTGTTGGTGGGGTGGGCAAAATGATGGCCTGAAGAAGCCGACTGTTTGCCTGTGAATGGGTAAACGGTTGACAAGCCACTCTGATTTTGAGTTGAAACGTGCATACCTGGACTATCAGGTATAAAGATACATACTGAATCAGTGATCCTGTAGAGACGCAAAGATTCAACAGTGACCGACGTACTTGATTCCACAAAATACCACTGCGTGCAAGAGATCCTTGTCAAAGACGTCGTTTGCTAGCAAGTCGTATACTCACAGTCTAGGTCATCCGATAGCAAGTCATTCACTGGCCTCAAATGCTCATAAACTTCCGGGCCTGCATACCCCCTTGGTTTTTTGACGGCCTTCTTACTAGGGCTTGCCGACATGGACCTCTTGGGTGTCCTCTCTTTTCGCTCTTCAACATTTGAGTGTTTTGGCGGCCTCCCAGGGACTGATCGCTTCAAGCGGGCAGAAGTATCTTCCCAGGTCGTGCCAGAGGAGGACGAAGCGACGTAAGCATATCTGGCCAAAGAGCTTGCAAAGGCTTTCGAAGCAGGACTGGCGGATTGCTGGTCTTCTGCCGGCATATCGGCTGTGGGTTGGCGAGGTAGCAAATACGGTTGGCGGTGCTTATCTTTTGGGTTGGATAGATGGACAGTGGCTCCAGTGGCCCATGCAAGCTAGTTTGAGCGAAGAGCAGATGTAGCAAGCAGGTGGAGAGCGCAGGTGGAGGCTGGTTTCTGGAGCCGCCGTCATCATGATCCTGTAATCATCTTTGCCGCTGCCCACCCTTCATCAAGTCTTACCAGTCTTCTTACGTACTTGTACAGGAGCCGGCGGGCAGGAGGAGTAGAAGGCGCGGGGGTGGTCGAGCTTCATACATGCAGTATGCTGTTGACCTCGAGTACCGTATCCCTACGCCTCGATGCCCCTCAAATGAGCCTTCAATGCAACGATTCGCCTCTGCTGTGGGGATTTTTCCCGAGCAATACAAAAGGCCCAATACCCAAGTGTCCCGCAACTCGCTTTGATTGGTGCTCGGAGCTGCCGCGGACCGCCGGGTCAAGCAGATGCTGTAGCAGGCGACGGCGTAGACTGATGCATGCATGTGGCACACGGGATATGCAGAGAGGAAGCGCATGTATGGCCTGACAGAGCAGGGGACGGGGAAGAGGGCTGCTGGATGCAGGGCGGGGCGGGGGAGAGGGAGCGAACCAGCGTTGAGGGAAAAGAATGGGGGGTGCGACGCGGACTGCCACACTCTGGCTCTGTCGTTTCCCCGCGGCATCCGGGCGGTGGGTTATCATTTCTGGTGGCTTTCATTGGGCGCTGCCTACAAACGCGCTTACTGAAGCTATCCTCTTTCTCTTTCCTCAAAACATCGCAATGCTCTCCCAGGCATTCCCCAGGCTCGCCGCGAGGGTCTCCAGGCCCATCCAGCCCTTCGCCAAGGTGTGTATACATGCCTCCCATCGCAACCCCTCCCTGACCCCCTATTAGGCCCGATTCTCCTCAACCTCTGCCCCCGCCCAACCCTTCCTCGCCTCCCGTTCAGCCGTTCTCGCTTCCTCCTTTGCCGCCGCCGGCTCTATCGCCTGGTACGGCCACCTCTACGGTCTGCCCTTCTTGCCCGAGGCTTCAGCCAACAGCGCCGGAGAAAATGGATTGCACCCCACGTCTTGGCCCTTTGAGCACTACGGCGCTCTCGAGACTTTCAACCACTCTGCCATTCGACGAGGGTACCAGGGTGCGTACAGAGGGTGCCTGCTGCATGGGGAGAGACCGAGCGCTGACGGTTTTTTGCCCTTGTCCCATATTTTTTTTCGCCGCGTCGCTCTCCGTCGAAAATCGCTCTCTCGCTATTGGTGAATCCCCGATCGATCAACAACAGTCTACCGCGAAGTGTGTGCCGCCTGTCATTCTCTCGACCGAATCGCTTGGCGTAATCTGGTTGGCGTGTCGCACACCGTAGACGAGGCCAAGGCCATGGCTGAAGAAGTGGAGTACGAGGATGGACCCAACGATGACGGAGAGATGTTCCAGCGACCGTGAGTTGTCTGTTTTGGAGGCAATGTTTGGGCAAGTTGGGCATTCGGATGGTGGCAAGCATGTCGTCCAGGGCATTTGGGGCAAATTTCTGCGTGAGATGGTCGACGTGACACCTAGCCTCAAATTGGTGACAGGGTACCACGTCAACGCGCGCGTCGCCCCAAAGATGTCAATCCGCGCGACTCGTCAAAGACTGCCCATTCTGCCTGCACTATCATCTTTTCATGCAACGGCAAACTGACTTTGAATGCAGGGGAAAGCTTGCCGACTACATGCCCGCCCCCTACCCCAACGAGGAGGCTGCCCGTGCCGGTAACGGTGGTGGTCTTCCCCCTGACCTTTCCTTGATCATCAAGGCTCGTCACGGTGGTGCCGACTACGTCTACTCATTGCTCACTGGTTACTGCGACCCCCCCGCGGGTGTCAAGCTTGCCGAGGGCATGAACTACAACCCCTACTTCCCCGGTGGTGGTATCGCCATGTCCCGAGTCTTGTTTGACGGTCTCGTCGAGTACGACGACGGAACTCCTGCCACCACCTCTCAAATGGCCAAGGATGTCACCACCTTCTTGTCTTGGGCCGCCGAGCCTGAACACGACTTGAGGAAGAAGATGGGTTTGCAGGTGAGTGACCATAGCCTGCCGATCGCATGGGCATCGTACTGACATTGACTGTGCAGGCCATGATCGTCCTCTCTACCCTTACCGCCATCTCCATCTACGTTAAGCGATTCAAGTGGGCTTACCTCAAGACCCGAAAGATCGTATACGAACCTCCCAAGCCTTCTAGGCATCACGCCCTTTAAAGCGGTTGCCGATCTTTACGAGATTAGAGTGTGGGGAGTGGCCGGGGAGAGGCTCCAGACCCCTCGACGTCGTTTTTTTCATCTAGGGTTTGACGATCGATGGGCTGGGTGTTGGACGAGTTGTGCATGGACTTGGAATGCCATAGCTTATGGCATGCAAAAAAACATCATTTCTACCAGGCTCGCTGTGGAATCATGGCATGGACCTCGAGCGCAGACCTGTTCAAAGTTGGGGAATGGGTTCATGGTTGTCACTGCGATGGATCGCAATCGTAGAGAGTGCGTGGAGTCATACTGCAAGAGACAGCTGAGATGGCTGCAGCTATCTTACATCATTTTCCCAGGTGGACGTACTGTGTTGCGCATCAGCATCGGGGGAGGAATTCTAGTGCACAGCGGGGCGGGATCACTTGTGAGTGACAGGGATTTGCGGGAGGAGGAAGCCCAACTGGACAACGAGTTGATCGTGAAAGGCGAAATATAGCTCAGCACCAGACAAAGGTGTTGCCTCTTCTCCACTTTGCAATCTCCATGAACGTTCCTCTCGTGATAGTGATGATACATCTGGCGTTGGTCCGGCGCGACGTGCTCTTTAATGACCATAGCCAGGATTGCCGCGGAAGTGTTGACGTCGAGGGGCTTGACTCTGGATCCTGCTTGAGATAGAGAGAAGCGAGGCAGCTGGATGATATTTTTCTGTGAACGAGGCGTCGAGTGGGCAGATCATATTGTAGTCGACATGAATGTGGGCGAGGCTCACTCCCTGTCTCCTCATGAATGCCGTGCTTGCCTAGCGACGTGCGCGAGATGACTCACTGAATCGCTCGTCCCCAGTCTAATGCCGCAGTCAGAACTGGATTCTGCATTCTGTTGGCCACAACGACTTTTGGAGCTATGCTACTGGGCATGCTAACGACACTCGATTTGAGTAGTGACATGGGTAGCGACCATACTAAAGCAAGCGACAGTATGGGTTCAAGAGAGATGATAAGATTCGGTTGCAACTCGGCCGTGCGGCTGACGTTATTAACTACAGAAATCGACGCGATGAGCTGAGCCTTACGTAATATGCTACGGCAGCTCGGCCCGATATATATAACAGAAGATGAGAACAACGCACGGTACAAGACGGGTGGTCTCAGACGGGGAGTCATGCGCTGGTGCAGAGCGGACGGAGGAGACTTGAGGGGGCAGGGATTGGGCGGAGATATGCGGGATTGGGGAGGCGGCAGGGGCTTATCAGTCAACATGGCGCTGGCTCGCTTTGGGTGTGGCTGTGATTGGTTCGCGCGGTGATTGGGCGGTGCCCCGAGCCGCTAATACGTAACCGGCTCCTGCTCGATTGCATCTAGTTGATCGAGTCGTTCAGTGATAGCAAGTTGTGCTGCTCTGTCTTTCTCTGCTCATCCTCATTACACCCCAGCCTAGACGTGAGTCCCCCGGCCCTCTCCGCCCGCACACCGCTGACCATCCCGCCTCCCCTCCCTCCCCCTGCCCCTGCCCCCCTTGGCACCACTTGCCCCATGTGCCCATCTCGTCTTCGGCCGTACACCCCGCCACGTGCATGCATCCACACACTCCAGGCTTATCATCAACATGGGTGAGCTTCAGACGCCTGTAAGTTGCCCTATCCAGCACCCTTTTTCCTGCAGATGGCGCCGGATTCCCTAGCTTCTGGGGTCGCCCTGCTATCTGCACGATCGGCACAGCACTCCTTTGTCTGCCATACTTGCCCAAGTTGCCTAGAGACTCGAGGAAACCATCCCCTACCCCATATAACACCGCTGACGAACGTGTTTCCATTTCTCCCCCATCGCCACACTTCTCGGCACTCCACCATGCCCGTCGACATTGTTCCCGAAAACGACCTGGATCGCGGAATTTACCACCATCGCACTCCATCTACCCATCAACAGATCGAAGCCTGGGTCTCTCATCTCGGTATTGAGACCTCCCGTCCTGGTACCCCCACCAGCGCCCCCACCGCCTCCGGGACTCCTGTCCACACGTAAGCCCTTCTCCATCTCACAGGAGCACTCCTGACACATCGCTAGCATCCATGGTCTTCGAAAGAAGCAGGCCGGCCACTCTGGGCCGCTCAAAAAGGTCCTCGTCGCCAATCGAGGCGAGATCGCCATCCGTGTGTTCCGTACGGCCCACGAGCTGGCCATGTCCACCGTCGCCATCTACTCCAACGAAGACCGCATGGGTGCCCACAGATACAAGTCTGACGAGTCATACCTTGTCGGCAAGGGCCTGAGCCCTGTCGCTGCCTACCTGGCCCAGGACGATATTGTCAGGCTTGCCGTCGAGCATGGCGTCGACATGGTCCACCCTGGGCAAGTTGCTTTCGTCTACCAGAATGGCTGGGCTAATCTATTCCTAGTTACGGTTTCTTGTCCGAGAATGCCGAATTTGCTAAAAAGGTCGAGGATGCCGGTATCGCCTTCATTGGCCCTCGCCCAGAGACCATCGACGCTCTCGGTGACAAGACCAAGGCCCGAGACCTCGCTATCAGGACCGGTGTCCCCGTAGTCCCCGGTACTCCAGGCGCTGTCGAGTCTTACGAGCTGGCTGCTGAATTCATTCGAGAATATGGCTTCCCTGTCATCATCAAGGCCGCTATGGGTGGTGGTGGTAGGGGTATGCGGGTTGTAAGGGACCAGGAGAGCTTCAAGGAGAGCTTTGAACGAGCCGTCAGTGAAGCCAAGGCTGCATTCGGCGACGGTACCGTTTTCATTGAACGTAAGTACCTAATAGACAACACGTGCTGGGCTGACCTGGCGTAGGATTTTTGGACCGACCTCGTCACATCGAGGTCCAGCTTCTCGCTGATGCCGAGGGAAACTGCGTCCACCTCTTTGAGCGAGACTGTTCCGTCCAGAGGCGTCACCAAA